GGGAATTGTTGCGCATTCTCTGGGGTTACATGGGCTATACAGCTAGTATGTTATCGTGGGGATCGACATCCAATGGTTGGTTTCTAGAAAACTATATTGGAATGAGTAATTACGGGTTATTGGGCATAAAGTAGCTTTACGGGGATCTCTGTTGCATTGAAAGCGGAAGCTCAGGCAATTGCAAAGCGGAGATCGCTGCTGCTTCGATACTGTGCTGCAAGACATGCAATGGCAGTGGAGGCCGGGGCGGATACATGTTTTGGCATCGCAGCAGCTTCGAGAATGCCCCTGAGGCCCAGGCAGCTATTATGCCCGGGTTAAACAGTATCGGTTTGTCGACAAGCCCATGCAGAGCTAACTTGACACCCGACTGAGCCAGTTTAGATACCACCTGGTTAATTAGCCAATCCAATTAGCCACGGCCAGAATAACATGGTCTCAAAGCCAGCCTTATGTCGGGATTTCGCCGCTAGCAGCATGCTTGCACTATACAAACCGCCCCTAGCTCCCCAGCCGGAGTTGATCAAACAACACCGGATCGATCATCCTAAGTTTCACAGCAGCCTGCCTTTCAAAGGAACACCTAGAGTGGCCTAGGATCGGTGGCGCTTGGCAGCAGGGGCTGCGTTTTCATCAGCATCTGCATCATACACATCCTCCGGCCATTCTTCCTGTCCTTCCATCTCAGCGTCCTCCTCCTCTTGCACTTCAGCATACTCATCCGGATCCTGCTGGCCGTCGGCCTCCTGCTGTTTCTTCTTCTGTTCTTCTTCAGCTTTCTCGCGCTTTCTCTTCTCAGATGCCTTACCTAAGTAAGTGGAGGTTGAATACTGAAGAAGCTCTACGAAGAACTTAATGCAACTAGAGAACGGCGTTCTTGTCCAAACAGAATGCCCTCAGCGTCGAGAACCTGGCGTTGGTAATCCTGCGGGACATAGGTCGTAGACAGACCACATAATACTCTGCAAAACACCCATTGTCATAAGTTTGCAAGCGATCCTTTAGCTCGTTTTCCTTGTAATAAAGCATGCACCGCTCGCACTCATCGAAAGGCGTCGATGCGAAGATCATCTGCTGGATCCTGGGCCGGATTAAAGTCTGGGGAGCCTGGACACTTGGCGACTTAAAGTTCGGGCTAGCTACCGAAGCCGGTTCAGGATACCTTGCTTGAAACACTTTTGGGTCGGGCTTGTAGTGGTTGGTATACAAATAGATATTCTAATACAGTATAGCAATATCTCTATAAGTGCATATATATATATATATACATGTATATATATATATATATGCAGATATGCATATACACATATACATATTCTATAGAGCGCATAGTATATACATATGTATATATATATACTTGGGTATCCCAATACTGTACCATACAGTATTAGTGCCTCTGGGGTTTTCAATCGGGTTGCGGGTTCAGTATTCACGTGGTCCCTATACTAATATTTAAAAAGGATTCCGAATCAACATATACCCGTTGGAGTACGTTTTCAATTCTAAAGCCGAAACCTCTAAGTCTAAAACCCTGCACCCTAAACCACCAGAATCTTGCCTGTATGAACCCCATAAGCTCTTGAAGCCAAAAGACTCGTCCCGGATGTTGCCACACTTCGTGGCAATGTTGCCAAGTTGGCTGATAAGGCCTTCCTGATTTGCTAAACCGCATTGGCCCAATCCGGCGGCGACGCTGACGGCTTTGTCAACGAGATCTCTCACCCTCAGCTTGTAGTGTGATAATATTTAAATGGTGGGGTACTGCAACTGCAATCAAGCAAGATCCGTCTTTCACTAAATATGTCGAGCCACGATTGCAAGTCCTTATCGAAAGCCTTTTTCGCAATCTCCTCCGGTGTAAGTTCCTGCAGGACTAGAAATAATGAAGAAAGCTCCCGGTAAATCCCGATAAACACTTCCCAGTACGATTCTCTCGCAGTCCTTTTTGCGTTTGTTCTTTCCATCCCCTTTCTTGGGCGCCGGTGTCAAGGCACTTTTGTGCATCCCTGCGACCTTTCCTTGAATCGTCTCTGCGATAGCAGCTCTCTCTGCCTTGTTGGTCGAGGCCTCCATGCTGGCCGTCGTCTTGTTGCCGACTCTGTTGATGTTCGCATCTTGGCACTATACTATATCATAGAGGGTCACCGGGCCGGAGGGAACTAGCACACACTTTGTAAGTGGATATGATCCTGCCCAGGCACTGCTGATAGTGTTCGACTTGAAGAGCTTATACAGCCGCATGTTTTCATCATCGGATTGTGGGTGCTTCTTCCCGGCGCCCTGACCTTATGCATAAGAAAATGTTCTAGATAGTAACATAAACCCCTGATCAAGCTTGCATACGAATCTTGAGGCAGCCGCTCTGCATCAGCTCGGCAAGAAACTTCTTACCTCCCTCCACCTTCTCGTAAATTTCTTTGATCATGCACAATGGCAGCTCTTCGAAGATTTCTTTCTCTTTGGCCTCGGAAAGCCTCGATGTTGCGGGTTGATGCCAGCTAGGAATTCGGACCAAGGGTATCTGTAACAATCAGCCGAGGGACTCCTCGTAGTAAGGCGAGACTACGATGCTAGACATGTCCTTGTCCAAGAGGAAAGCCTTCAGAAATTCGAACCTCGGTGTTGGAAACTTGAGTCTGGACTTATTTAACTGGTTTAGGATTTGGGCCTGAGGGTTTTTAGGAGGTTGAGGCTTCTTGGATCAGAGGGATTTCAAACATGTTTGTAATCGAAACGAGGAGCCGGGCCATGGAGCCTGGCGGGGTTGCAGCCCATTGAGCCACCAAGCCCTTGCGTAGGCCTGTGCTAAAATACACTCAGCAATCATCGAGTGGCCCAATTATATGAGATTGTGAAATTATAGCTAAAAGCCGGCCTTGGCCATTGTTCATGCGCCTACGGAGCTTCTCGTTCAGGGCCTTGCGTTGCTGGAGCGGGATGTCTGCGGGGCCAGATAGAGCCTGGGCGTGCAGGAGATCTTAGTGTTTATCAGGATATAGAACGATCCAGGAATCCAGGGTATCAGGCTATTTATATGGGGGGAACAATACATTGTAGTGGACTACTTCAGAATATGAGTCAGGGCACTTGAATCTGTGCTCGCTCGTCATCAGTGAGAGGTCGTGCCTCGCGCACACACACACACATGTATGCATGTAGAAATTTGTCTTGTGCATATAAGAGCGAGTTGTGACTATGCGTGTGTACCCGGCTGGGAATATATAAGTACAGCTGAGACACACCATCAGGAATATTAAGCGGCGCCATCTCGACCGGCCCCAAGCCATCACTCGACGTCGAGAGACCGGTATCCGACCGGAGGATGGGCCGACCGGGCCTTGGTAGATGTCAAGACTAACGTATTATAGTGGACTTACATATATAGGGCATGATCGACAAGTATAGTGAGTACATTAATCGTGTCAACCAGGCAGCTTTGCACCCCTGTCTGGCAAAGATGGACTCATCGATGTCGTAGTGGAGACTGTGCGGAAGCATACACAGGGATATTGATCATCATGGAGCATGAACTATAACAACCTGTGTGCGTGGTTTAGATGAGAATACACATCCCGCCTTCATCGAAAGACACCCTGCGACGCACTGCGTGGTCTTGGCCGTCCCATCCAATCTTCACTGTGCCTTTGCCCTCCGGTGCGGATGCCTCCTTGGAAACGGCCTTGGTCTTGCCCTTGCCTTTGTTACCTTTGGCTGTGTTGCTTGGGGGTGTGCCGGTATGAGGGCTGGGCAGTCCAGCTGTCGACCCATTCCTTGGCGGGGGGGTATGCGGATCAGTGCTGAGTCCCCGTCCTTTGCCAGATCCTGGCTCACTGGCCTCCGGACTCTTGGTTTTGCCCTGCTTCCCGCCTTTGGCACCCTTCATGCCACCGGTCTGAGCCTCATCCTTTCCAGGGGTTTTGCCGCCATCCTTTCCAGGGGATTTGCCACCATCCTTTCCCGTGGTTTTGCCGCCATCCTTTCCAAGGGATTTGCCACCATCCTTTCCGGGGGTTTTGCCGCCATCCTTTCCAGGGGATTTGCCACCATCCTTTCCGGGGGTTTTGCCGCCATCCTTTCCAGCGGATTTGCCACTATCCTTTCCGGGGGTTTTGCCAGCATCCTTTCCAAAGAATTTGCCACCATCCTTTCCGGGGGATTTGCCAGCATCCTTTCCAGGGGATTTGCCACCAGCCTTTCCGGGGGATTTGCCAGCATCCTTTCCAAGGCTTTTGCCACCAGCCTTTCCATCCGTGTTGGCACCATCCTTTCCCGGGGATTTGCCACCATCCTTTCCGGGGGTTTTGCCCCCATCCTTTCCGGGGGTTTTGCCACCACCCTTTTCTGGGGATTTGCCACCACCCTTTCCTGGGCTTTTGCCACCATCCTTTCCAGGGCTTTTGCCAGCATCCTTTCCGGGACTTTTGCCACCAGCCTTCCCAGCGGCTGTGCCAGCAACATTGGCACCATCCTTTCCATGGGTTTTGCCACCACCCTTTGCCAGCTTTCCTTTCCCAGGATTTACAGCGGCACCATTTGAATCGACCATCTTCCCGACATACGTGTAATGCCGTGGCTGGGTTTCGATGGACAAATCAATCGACTCAGGAGCCGATGCATCCCCGCCGGCAGCACTCTTAGATCCTTTTGGGGCTTTGCCTTTTCCGGAGCCACCCATGGCTGATCAATCTAAAGCTCAAATAGCTCGATCGGTGATGCTTCGGGGTGCGCGCGAAATGCTCTAAGTATCTAACAGCCGATACACGCTGATACACGCTATTCGCCTGTTCATACCTGCAAATACACGCAGATACACGCTGATACACGCTAGCTGCTGGGTACGCTCCCGGCCGGATGTGCATGGCGAACACACCGAGTGCATAATAATTTGGGTTCCGAGGCAACTTCTGAGCCTGCAGTTCACCCGTTACAAGCACAAAATTGAACAGCTGACCCCTATTCAAGCTGCCGCATAGCAAAGGTATAACACCTGCACATCTGGATCACTGTGGGCCGACCAGGTCCTCGAGGCCAGAATCGGAGCTTGAAGTATCACTGCTGTCCATAAGCTCCATATCCAGCTCGTTGACAACAGGTGTTGGCTTCAGGGTCTTGAAATGTTCATCCAGTAGATCAGCGACCTACATCCATGTGGGCCCCGGGGATCGATCATGTGCACGCACCACTCTACGAGTTTTGCTGTCATTTAATGCATGACGGGGAACCTTCAATGCCAAAGTACCAGGGTAAACAGCCGTCGCTGTCAAATCCTTCCCACCCACCTCGATAATCTTGACATAGATCAAAGTAAGTCCCACTTGAACTGAACTTCAAAGCAAAACACACACAGAAATGGACAAGGCACTCGGCGAGCACGGCCGTGCTCATCGACATATCCACGGCTTATGTCCATCTTGAGGAAGGATTGGATACGACGCAGCTGGTTCCTGATTGAGACTTTTCCGGTTAGTCAGGTAGTTCCCTGTTCGGCATTCTACTTTCATAGGATTGAGGTTTTTGGGTGTGTGCCAGCCGTGTACAGTATATACTCTATCCCCAATACATCTAGCACGATAGTTCGAATCTATCCATAGAAGCAATCGAAGCTGCATACAACATGTGTTCTAGTATGTTACATGTGTTCGTGTGGGTATATGTACATATATAATCATGAAAAGCTGGTGCGGCATGATCTAATCTAGGTAGATATCAATCTAGCTTCGATTATCGGTACAGGGAGCTATATATGTGTATATGAAAGAATTAAAGGCTCGTCCTTCCCACCGCCGACATTCTCTTATACCCTACATTGATGTCATCGAATGAAACCAAGAACTCCCAGAACTTCCTAACATCCTCATATAGCTACTAGCTGGTATTGGGTGTTTTAAGTATATACCTATACGATGGTTGAATACCACGAACTTAATTATATAGAAGCTGCAAAGATGAATTCCTGTAATCAACCTTTAAACTCGGAGGCTGGGGCTCCTCCTTGTGCCGGACAGTTGTTCGTAGAGCTTGTTCAGAAACGGCGCAGTGCCCCATAGCGTAACCTAGGTTGATTCGGATGGGTCGATCTTAATTGCAGGGCTTGGAACTACATATATCGGGTCAAGTAGCACACTTTCTCGACGGAGCTCCCACGGCTCCGAGGCAAAGGTTTATGGATTTGGCATTGTGGGCTCGCAATCTCGCCTCAAGTTTATGAACAGGGCTTCTATCGAAGGCTTGGGATTGCGCGAAGCTTCAGGTTTAGTGGATTTGGGGGAGTCTTATATTTGCAGTCTGAAACACCTTTATGCACGGATACTCGAACAGCATGGAGCCAGTGGGATTTTCGAGGATGTAGTAGGACCCAGATCGGTGTTGATATTCGATCCTCGAGTACGCACTAGTCCTAGCTCATCCTGCAAAATGATAGAGGACGACATATAGTGCATCACGGCCGCAAATATGCAACCCGTCTAGCCAACCGGTTGGCATCCTTGACCTTTTGGCGTTTCGGATCGCCTCAGATACGGCAGAACCAATCAACTTTTGTACGCGCAACAAGAATCTCTATATTTAGGCTTTGGGAATACATTTCGGGCTTCTAAAAGCCAGCTGTCCTTTGACATTCAAGCGCCGGCGCTTCGAGGATCCACGACTCCTAAGATGAAGTTGCAGCAATGCATCGATGCAATATCTAGTGTTGCTATTTTGCTTACATTGCAGCCAAAGCTCATAAATATCCAGCTAGAACACGGGACGGCATACCAGGCCACCCCTTGGGGCCTAAGCCGCCTCGCCTAAGTGGTTCCCCATCCATCAGACACGGAAACCCTAAAATAATCCCAACTCGACTTGCAAGCCAGATATAGGCTCCGGTTTAATCGGGTGGCAGGATAGCGTTTAGGGTGGAGGGCCGGGAAGTTAGGGTTTAACACTAAGAAGGTGTAGATATATGTATATATATATATGGGTTGAGGTGAAATTTGATATATAATCGAAATCTAATTATCGAGACTATAGGGTTTGGGATGTATATGTAGAGTTGGGGTGCTGGCTTAAATTCGGGTGTGATGGGATCCTTGCCGAGTTGCACAGTTCAAGAAAACCATGAATCCAAATGAGGATAATATGTCCAATTTGGTGGAGTAAGCTACCTTGGATGTAGGAAGGTTTCGAGAGTTTCGGCCGAAGTTCATCGGTTCTAGGTTCTAAGCAGTAAAGTCTCGTCCACTCCATGGCATCGGAGGCCATAGAGCTTCGCGGCGGAGTAGAGGAGGTGTGCTCCTTCATGCAGTGTTACAGTATATATACATATATATATACATATTCTGCAGCTTAATGCATGCAGTCTACAAGAAGGCCGAAATGAACATCACGAAGCTTGAGCTAGTCCTGCGAAGATCTCCACAAAATCTAAGTCGTCAGGTTTGGGGCCGAAACCTGAAGCACCAGCTGCATGCAGCAGCAAAATACATTCCCTCGCGTGTAAGGAATGACGATCGCTGAATCTGGCCCAGCTGCTGATCCTCAACGTCGCCAAGGCGACGAGCAGCTGAGTATACTTCATAACGGGATCCTATCCTATGGTTATAAATAGGATAACTTCCAATATATTACTGTGATTCTTCTATATAAGGATACAAAGCATAAGCTTACCATCTAGGATGCATGGTCTTTAAGACCTGACAACTTTGAGCACATACACAGGATGTAGATAGCCATGCAACCCCAGCGTCGGCCCGAGACTTTGCAAGCAGAGGGACCTGTAAAGCGAGTTTTCACGAACCTGGCATCGATGACAGCTCTCCGACCCCCAAGTTGCAAGATTAATCGCACTGCTCACTTGCATAAGCAGCGCATGCCAAAAACTGTGCACGCACACTGCTCTAAAGCCCCCTGCATCGATCAGAAGCTTCTCGAGTATATAGTCTGAGGTCGCGGAACTGTAAACAAGCGGTAAATGAATCATCACACACAGACTCTAGCTCCTGATCACACAATCCCTGCTTGAAACGCAGCAGATCACACACAGCTGGCAGCACTATCGTCGCCAAAAGCTCGCAACTTTAAACTATTGCATAGCGGCGACGCTTCATCTCATTGATGTCCATTCCCTGCAGCACCTGCTTTCTCTCCTCACTGTTGTTCCACCTGCGGGCATAGAGACTTGAAGGTTTTGGGTTAAGGGGTTTAGGGCTTATAGGGGTTTAAGGAAGAATCTCTCGAGGCTATATGATCCTGATTATCAACCCATAGTGGGAATTCTCAAATATATTAAAGAGTCTCATGCAGCATGCCTCAAGATTTCAGTATTGAAAGATTTCGGGCTTTCGCCAGGTTTCCAGCATTTATTGCATTGAGAATTACCCACGTACTAGGGTTGATGCTTGTTGATTGTTCGAATTCATACGCTTGCAGCAGTGTCACTTGTCATGTGAGTAAAATCTACAAGTGTAAAGTGCCCGCGAGAAGAGAGAGAGAGAGAGAGAGAGAGAGAGAGAGAGAGAGAGTCAGAGAGAGAGAGAGAGAGAGTCAGAGAGAGAGAGAGAGAGAGACAGAGAGAGACAGCTCCAAGCTCCAAAAGCCAGCTAAAAGCTCCACACAAACGGGTAAGCATCGGTCACCTAAATTTAGGTGACCCAAATAAACACTCAGAGTCGGTCACCTAAAATTTAGGTGACCCAAATAAACACTCAGAGTCGGTCACCTAAAATTTAGGTGACCCAAATAAACACTCAGAGAGAGAGAGAGAGAGAGAGAGAGAGAGAGAGAGAGAGAGACAGAGAGAGAGAGAGAGAGAGGGATAAAGTGTGAGATGGCCAGACAGAGACAGGGACCAGGGAGGATCCGAGTGGACCGAGGCAGGATAGTGAAGCGGAGTCGGGGGTCAAAGAGAGACTGGACGGGTGAGCAGAATACCATACACATACTCTGATCTTATCGGAATCCATTGATTCCAACAAGCCAGCACTGGCAAATGGCGAATTCGTCTGCTTCGGCGCCTTTTTTATGCGACGCGACCCACAATCTGTGATTAATGCATGACGAGTTGGCTAGCTCCGAACATTGTCGTTGCCGACCTAGAGCTGTTAAAGCCAGAACATCAAGAACGCGTAAACTCATGCTGCGTGAGCCGCTATCTGATGATTGGATCGATGATCCGACCATGATTCACCGATTGTTTGGAGTACTGCATGCGGTCTCAATCCTATTAGCTGTTCGAAGGGTGTTGGGTTTGTTGGGATTGGGTTTGTGAATCCGTAGGATGGTTCTTCTTTTGTATCATTAGTCGGTTCGTTCCTGGGCCTCCTATACAACCGCTGCATTGGCGATGTGTAGAGCCGTATACATAATCCGACATGCAATCCCAAGGCCCCCCAGCATGAGGCCGTCAATCTTCCATCGATCTGTCAGATTGCTGCAACAATGCCATGCATGCAAGAGGGTTTTGTAAACAAGTCCCGCCAGCTCTTGTTGCCAGGTGCAGCATCGATCAAAGTATGATCTATGTGTATTCCAATAAGTAATAAAGTGCGTTATTCCGTATTTGACCTTAAATCATTTCGTATAGTTATGACAATGGATGCTATTTCACAGCCCCTAAGCCCGAAACCCTACTTTATAAACGTCAAGCTTTGCATGGCAGGACTACCGATGGATGGATGGCTGCTCCTTTACATCTTTCTCGAGGACAACGAATGCACTTAAATACCACAACCCCAGGGTCTCGGATTGGCGTTTTTTGTTTTTCGAGGGATGGCTTAGTTCATTGCCCGGCGATTAAATCAAGTACCTGGAAGCTCTTGGACCCCAGGGAATCTCCAATTCCTAAGGATGAATCGATCTAGATCTGCTGAATGCACCGGAAGAATTTCAACAAGTCCTTGGATGCACTTGATCCCAAACAAATGCCGTCATATACCGATCCCTATTAATTCCTCAGACCAAACCACACAAATTCAGTCGTGTCTACATGCAGACAACCGGGCCCTCGAATTATTGGGATTATGTTGGTCTTGAAGCCTCAACCCTCAGTATTCGTACCCATCGTCTTGATTTATCTATTGTAATGCCCCCCAAATTACCTCAACACTTCACACTGCAGTCAAATGACGATACATCCCAAATTCACATACACCGAAGCCCATTAGACTATATTATTAAAGGCTAGATCACAAACACAGAAATCCGTTGTGAACATGCAGGCAGTATTGAAGCTGCCTGTGCTGTCGCTCCGCGAAACGCATGCCCTTGTCCAGCCTGGGGCGTGCTCCGGGTTACGATTTCGGAGATAGATGCTGAAGCTTCGGCTACTATATTCAGATCAGGAACGTAGCAAAGTACTTCTTTCTCTCGATGTTGTATTCCGTGTCTGCATACGGTGGTCTCGTCCCTTTGCTTTTGGCGGCCTTGTTTTTTGCACTCGCCTCGGCCTTCGCTTTTGGTTTCGCCTTTGCTTTCCCATTCTTCTTCTCCTTCTTCTCGGCTTCCATTGTTTCAGAGGCTTCTGGTTTCGGGGCATCGGGAGCCTTCCCGGCTGCAACAAGCAGTCGTTGGCGATGGGGAACAACCGCATTGTGTTTCCCACTAAGTGCCGCCTGGACAACACTGGCGGGTACACCTGACATCCCCGTCATTCCAGGGATCTCGAATGCCTGAGCTACATTGGAAGCAGATCCACCCCATTGTCATTTCGAATTCCGACCCCCCGAAGTGCGCAACACTCCAAATGAAGCCAAAGCGGCAGCAGGACCTTTGAGGTCGCGGGTGCGATCAGCTGGTTTGCCATGATGCACGGCCTGAAAGCTTGCGAGAATGTGGCTGGGCAGTGAGATAGGAGTTAGCGTGACTCGGATCGGTCCTTGACCCTAGAATACTTCGTTGGTTAATGTTGTGGGTGATATTATTCCTTGGGCCCCTATATGATTAAACAAAGTATTCTAACTTAAACCCAGGATGTAAATCTCAAGACCGATGCTCATGCGTTCTCGAATCGCGCACAAACACACAATTGGACCGTATGCACTCCTCTCCTCTCCGCCTGCCTCATCATTGGCAGTCTTGGCCGGGATCTTCGGGCACCTGGGCGGGGTTTCTATAGGGGTCGACATCTACTAAATTAATTCTCGGGATTGATGCAGCAGATGCACGCAGGCATTGACGTATCAGGGCTGGATCCAGGGAGCTCCTTCGTCGGAAGCCTTGCAACCTTATGAGCAAAATCGTCAAGCCACACGCTTCCAGCATAAGTTGTCGAATATCTTATTTGACCGGGAAGCGATAAGCCGATTACACATAGCAAGCTTCTCCTCATCGGTGGCTGCGTCGAGCCAGAGTGCCATGTCCTGCGATCGTGGGTTCTGTTTATGGTAACACGATTCGGATTAAAATTAAGGCTTAGCGGTTTAAGGTTTCTGATGATAGCAGTCGCAACTTTGTTGTGGTTTATAGGGCCTTGTAGGCTTGTAGGGTTTCCATTTTAGGGTTTGGGATTTCTGAACTACAGACCCACTACAGTCCAACCAAACTCGGCTGGCCACCGTGGATGCGCACTAATTCGTTTCAATATCTATGGTCTGGTTTACCATTAGGTTACATTTTAGTTTTATACTAGTAGTCAGCTCAACCTGGTCTACTCAAATCAGATTAAACCGTATGGTTCTGTTCTAAATTGATTCCATCTATAACCCGCCATATTATTCCAATATAAGCCAACTGCGTTTGAAATCTGATCTCTATATATGCCACCACGTGTGCAGATTGATATTCGTATATTGGTCTATATTATTATTTAGCGTGAATATCGATTATATGCGTTAGTCGTTATAGCTTATGATTTTATTTCTATGATCTATCTCATTATCTATCTACTTTGAAGATTTACTCATGTATACATGTGTGTATATATATACAAACATACATACATAGCAGGCTTATCTGTGTACTTCGATCTTTGATTGAAAAGTTAGTCTACCAAGTTGTGTAGTATAGGTTCGTTTTCATACATATACCTATATATATATATATTCATTTGTTTCAACCTCCGGTACCTATTCAACTTAGTGGTACATCTGACTGGTCTTGTGTTCCATGTTCGACCACGATATCTTCAAACGACCGTCCTCGAGGCTTGTGGGCATCGGCTCAGCGTGATTCACGGGCTCTGTGGGGTTCGAAACCTTCTTGTTCCCGGCAGTGGAAGGCTCCTGCATGTGTGCGGGATATATAAGAACCCAAATTAATTCAATCAATCCGAACCACGAAACATACACAACTAGTCAACTATATGGACTCCTGGGCTGGGTTTGTCTTGTACTTGGACCACCAAACATCGAGACGCTCTCGGTCGGCCTTCGTAGGATACTCCTGGGTCACGTTTGTGATCGGGGCCCTTGGCCACGTGGGGTAAATGTCGGTCTCTGCGCCGACAGCCGCCTCCCACTCCTCATCAGCCATGCTTGTGCCATCGTGATTGGGGTCTTCATCATCGGCAGCTGTCCACTGCTCGCCCTCGGGATTGGGGCCTTGCTCATCGGCAGCTTTCCACTGCTCCTCGTGATTGGGGCCTTCATCATCGGCAGCTTTCCACTGCTCCTCATCCGGGCCTTCATCATCGGCAGCTTTCCACTGCTCCTCATCGGGCCGTGATCATCGGCAGCTTCCCACTGCTCCTCATCGTGATCGAGGCCTTCATCATCGGCAGCTTCCCACTGCTCCTCATAGGAGCCTTCATCATCGGCAGCTTTCCACTGCTCCTCATCGGGGCCGTCATCATCGGAAGCTTTCCACGGCTCCGCCTGGTGACTGGGATCATCGGCAGGCCATGGCTCGTCCTGGGCAGTCAACTGCTGCTCATCGTCAGCAGCCCAACTCTCACCCAAGTGCTCGGCTTGATTAACGTCTTCATCACCATTGGGAACCCATGGCTCCTCATCGGGAGCCCACTCCTCCTCGCCAGCCCAGTCCTCATGATCATGACTGGCGCCGGTTTCCCACGGCTCCGTGTGATCGGGGCCTTCATTGCCATCGGCAGGATCTTCATCGGCGGCTTCATCACCACCATCGGCCCCAGCGCTCTCACCCACGGGAACAAACCACATCTCCACCGGGGGCTCATCACCCACGTGCCACTCCTCTCCGTCGAACCAGTGGCATGACCCGCATTTGGAAATCGCATCCTCTGTATACTATCATAGCCTATCCCCACCTACCCCAACCAGCTTTAGGGTTTAAGTTTAAGGTTTAGGGTTCAGGGGTTGAGGATTTATGAGGGTCCTATTGGGCCCAGGTTAAATATTCTACTCGGGATTGATAATTGCAAACGGTCCTCAGGGCCATCATAAATCTCACGAACCTGCGACGCGTCCTTCCACGACCAATCGTCACTCGCCTCGGATTTGCAGGAGGACCGGGTCAACATATATAGCAACTCTACATACATGTCTGTATGCATCCGGAATAGTGCAAACTATGTCACCTTTGGCATATCACTCTCCCCATCCTTGGATAACTGACCGGGTCAAGCATTGCACACTGCACGCGAAGCGCACTCAAACTGCGAGTAATATATACCGTGCTATTCAAAGAGACCTTGGGAACAGGAGCAGCGACGCCATCGCCAAAAGCATGTTCATCTTCATCACCCCATTCCTCCGGATTTTCCCCCTCAGTTGCACAAAGTATATACAGCCGGATCGAACTCGCAACAAGTCTGAATACCTAGCCTTAGGGTTTATCTATTGAATTGAGCAACCTCGACGTCGGTATCAGGAATGCAAAGGTGGCTCGGCCTCGGATCACGCACACAAAGTCACATTGAAACAAACCTTGAATTTAGCGGTCTAGGGGCACATAATGCTCGGTCCCGGTTGCGTCTTGGCACGTAAGCGCAGGCGTTTCGATGGCTGGAGATCGGCAGCCTTATTGAAATTGTTTGGTTGGATGTATTCACTACCAAGTAGATATTTGGTAGCTATAGTCGGAGGCAAGACACACCCATGTCACTGGAAGATCTTTTGTTGATCAGTGGCACCTGCGCGTCCTGCCCGGGGCTAGTCTATCAACATTCAGGACAATTTCTCGCGAATACGAAACTGGATAGAAGTGATTGCTGGTACAGTATGGTACAGTCCTCCATTGGATCTAGCTCCCAAGGCTGTGTCTCACCATCGTCCATGGCTTCGTCGTCTGATTTAGCAGATCCAACAGTACTCCTTCGGGCCTTCGACAACAAACTCGCCAAGCTATCCGAGGTGGTGGTGTACCAGCTTTCCCAACTAAAGCCGGGGGTAGTCTCGGGGACCTCGAGAGCATGGCTATCCACAATCTTGACCAATGCATCTTTGACCATGCCAGTGGTAAACCACCTCCCATCTAGCTGGCTAGCCCAACTCAGGAGCTCCCTCGTGGCACGATGTCGAAGGCTGTTAGTGGGTGTCAGTACCCCTGTTTCCCGGATTTCACATAAACGAGGCTGGCATACCTTCTCCCAGATCAACTCAGCCAGTCTCTCAACCTTCTGCTTGCGACTTTGCTCAGCAACGTAGGAGGGCATGGCTAGCTACAGTGCAGGTCTGGATGCAATGATTTCCACCGTACGTACAGTGCAATATACACTGCTGCATGCATGCAGGATCACATGCTGCACATGTTTCGATTTAACATGCTACAGGCCGGTGCTCGATCAAAAACCCTGTGGCATTCGTTTCCATCGATCAATGGTCGAACTGCAGCATGCATGCAAGCACACATGCATGTGATCTGATGAACAGCACCGACAATCGCCTCGATCCAGAAATGCCCAGCAAGGGCTCGTTCCAACTCGGACCGATCCGTGGTCCAACTATTTGACAGAAATATATTGTTATGTATAAAAGCTGTGTATGTATATATATATATATATATATATATATATAAATATGTATAGTTAGCCTGATATATTTGTAAGAGTTATGTATTTGTGGTGTCTTAAGGATTTAAGGTCTTTTTGTTTTTTCTCCCGTCGAAGTATCACACCGCGATCCTCGTCGCGTGATACTCGGTATATAGTAGGGGTGAAACAGTAATGTAGTAATGCCCTGTACATGGACTGTACATTTACGTTCTTGATGGTTCTCGATCGCGCAGAAATATGGTCGGTTTGTTGTCTCTGCGGTACGGAACGATGGACAAAATCACTCACTCGAACAACAAGTTTTCGACACAGGATCTAACAAGCGAACAGGAACGAACTAGTGATTGGGATGCAAGCATCGAATAGCCCGTGGTGGTCTGGCCAGATCCATGGATGGGAATGGGCACTTCTTTCGTGATAAACTGGCTTTTGAAAGTCGCCAGATTCGTAGCAACGCCGTGCGAGTCAACCACGACTTTGGACGCTGCACCATTCTCGTCGTCACACACTACAACATTGAACTCCAGCAAGTCGATGCACCAGTGCTGTTGCCCTTCTGCTGAAGCCACGTACGGTCCATGAGCAGCATCCTCCAGCAAGAGCCATCCTCCCGCGGATGCTTCCAAGATCACATCCTCGCCCGTGGTGCCGTTGTGTAACAGTTGGCGGTCTAACTTGAGGTCTTTGTACAAAGTCAGGTCACCGGCACGCTGCATTTACACACCAAAGACAAGACAAAGAGTGTCACAGGGCATCGCCGAAACCATGGGCAGCGACAGCTGCCAATCACGACTATACATTATGCTACTGTTGTGCCGGCATATTTTGGGACCGCTTGAATCATGTTGGAGCGATTTACTAAAAACCCAGTTTTGAAAATCTATGCCCGAAATATCCTAACATAAAAAATCAAGCGAACCTAAAAACATCGAAACAATTTATGGTTTTCGCTTGGTGACGGTGGCCATTGATAGTAGTCACATGTACTGCAACATGGTTACTGTTGGGGCATATTCATCCAATTTCAAAATGCGAGTCCGAAAGCTGCGATGCGGCGTGGAAGGCAGTAAGGCAAGTCTGCATACTCATGCTGCTGCGAAGCCTGCCGAAAAAAAATATCAACTTGAACGCAACGGACAAGCTCCGGAAACCTCAGCAGTGACCTGTCGGCTTCATGCCCGCGCAAACGCAGACAAACAGCAGTGTGACCAGTTGTTTCGGGCGTCACGCTTGAGAAGTCCGAGCTGCAACCTTCCTGTGACACGGCACCCAGCGGAGAGAGCCAGGCGCCAAACAACTGTACGTTACAGGAGCGCTTCGCTGTACTGCTACCCAAAGCCCCTACTCGACGCATGGCTGCTAGCAGTACACGCTGCCATGTGGAGACCCTGGCACTCAAAGTGCAAAAACACTGCACGAAACGCTCTATGACTGCTTCGGAGCCTGAGAAAATCGTGCAGCGGCGGCCTTAAGCAGCTCAGACTTCTGAGGCGGCAAAGTCGGTGGAGGTCGTTTCTCGGCATTTGCACCTCGAAGCTCGGGAACTGCTGCGTTGCTTGGCGGAGTCTTCGTCGGGCTTGGAGAAGGAGTGAACGCGGCGGAAGAAGACTTCGTAGGAGTCGGCTCTTCCAAGTCATCATCTACGTCCAAGAAAGACTTCGAGAGCCTTTTCTGGAACTTCTCGTGAGCACTGAAGAATTTGACCATGGACAGCTTCATGCATCCTTCTTGCGGGTTCACGAGGGTGGCGTCCTTCACACTCCAGTTGTCCCAAATCTCCCACGTCCCATCCACGACGAGAGAACGCGGCAAAGCCACCTCGTCTTGACCACAAGCCACATGAGAGAAACGATGCTGGGCAGGATCGGCATTGTCATCTGGAATCGCTGGGCTGAGTTTGTACGTACCGGATGCCTCCCAATCAATCTTGCCAACCTCGTCCACCTGAAGCGAACTCAGTTTGGAACCACACTCACGGTAGCGATCCTCCATGAGCTCCTTCCACTTCACCTTGTCGTGGTACCCGATTCTGTCGTTCACTTCGATTTCGCATGCGTAGCACAGCAACTGAAGATGAACTTTGCTGTCCTTCTTCCCGAAGACAGTCCATGCACTTGTCGGCAAGAACATCTCTGACAGTTCGCGCAGCCAAGGCAGTCTGAAAGACTTGGGCAGCTTGTTGACGAATTTGATGCCGGAGTGAAAACGATCTAGCTCTGCACGTGCCTGGCCTCCGCCGGAGAGAAACATGTCGGACATCACGGCGATGTGGCACGCCTGCAGCTTGGCAGGTTGACTCTGCAGCTCGGCAACTATCTCGTCAATGAGGCGCCGCTGACGGATGCCTTCATCCTCCGCAACGATCTGCATCAGCTCTTCGCCGACTTTGGACTTCTTAGTCTCCAACTTGGCATTGCTCATTTGACGCCGCTTCTTGGGAGCCATTGGCGCCAAAGCAAGTTGGAGAAAACGGCCCAAATCGTTGCTACTGACGGCTTCCAGCTGCAAATACTTCCTGAAAACGGTTACACACTAGTGGCTGCCACTCCCTACGATCCTCGCAAGCTCTGAAAAGTTTACAGCTCCAGAGCCGCAGTACATTTTTCACGACCGGAAAGAGCAGCCCCGCATGAACCTTCAAGCTCTTCCGTGTGCCTCGGGCCAAACATTTCCCGACAAGCCCGTTCCAAGAAAACTCAGATTGTGCCCACGTGCTGTCGCCGACATACGACTTGGATGTGTGAAAGAGAAGCATGTACTGCGGAATCGACCTGTAAACAAGAACTGTGTAGGAATGACGATTCTGGCAACTGAACCTGCTTTGGTCTCAGGATCCACCCCACCTGTTTTCTTTGCTTCATTACGAAAGCCTGGTGTTTAGATAGTACGCACCGCTGCACAATACGAGGATGGCAAATTGTGACATACGACCGACTTCATCAACCTTGCCTGCTTTGGACACAAAACTAACACCGACCTTGGGCTTGCAGCTGTGTCAAGATTGTGCTTAAGTACTGAGAGAACCAGAACCTGCATTCCTTGGTCACAACTAATTAGCACTCTATTCACTAAGGCTCGGGGTCTTCCTATGCTCTTGCTTGCAGCTGCCTCATACAAGACTTTACGTACCTTTGCGGTCCAAGCTACGCTCCTACTCCGTTTAGCTTCCTAAAAGACTGTGTCACAGCAATGTCGCCTACCGGTTGCAACTGCAGTTCCTCATCATGTCTCGACACTATTACAGAACTACGTGCAGAACTCTACTGACAGCAACTGTTGCAACACTTTCTTGTTCCCAAGGGCATTGATTCGGCTACACATAGACTAGCTTCTGGGGGGCAAACTCTGTTTACGTAGTGCCTACTTAGACTGCGTACGAATGCTTGTCCAAGAAGAAGGGAGGCGCAGAACCTGCTTAGTGAGATCCTTATGTTTATGTGCCGCGTTGGCTCCTGATTTTTTAGGGTTCCTATTCAAATTTAAGGCGTAGATCCAAAACCCCTCAGTTACAGAATATACCTTCATTGGGGTTCCCATTATAATTTGCGGCATATTCCCCAATTTACGGGGATTTAGGAGGAGTCTCCGGGACTGCGACTACCACGACCACGACGAGTGCCTAAAGTCGACGCCAGTGTAAGCTTGCGCATCAGCGTGGCTGTAATAGGCACCCCCCCAAAAAAGCACCCAAGCAAAAATGAAGATAGGGATATCTCATAAAAAGCCACCCTTCTAATGAAGCCCAATAAGGTAGGGATGTCGCCTAAAAAATGTTTATGCTTATGTGCTGCTTGGGTCCCTGCTGTAAAGCTGGCAGTGATATGAGGGCTTAACGCCTTGCCTTGACCCCAAATCACCAACCCTGTTTGTTTTAGGGAGTCATATAAAGAAACCATAATAAGGAACCCTAAAAACATAGGTTTCATAGGCCCTAAACCCTAAACCCTAAACCCTAAACCCTAAACCCTAAACCCTAAACCCTCGCGCGGGCCTGAGCAATAGCCTCAAGCCCGGGATCTTCGATGCGATTGCGCGCCAAGGACAGCCCTGAGGAGGGCTTGGGGTTTCAAGAAGTTCCCTAAGGGTCCAAAGTATCTATATAGTAGAATGTAGGGTTTCTATATTAGGAGTTGCCACTATGATTTGGGGAAGTATCCCCCGTAACAGCACCTAGGACCCTTTGGGCTTATGGGGTTGAGGGTTTAGGAACAGACCGGAGTGGGGGCGCCTAAACCCTGAACCCCTGCACCCTAAACCGCCTTAACCCTAAACTCTGAACCACCTTAACCCTAAACCCTAAACCGCCTAAACCCTAATTTTTGCCATGTCGAACTGGTTCAGCTTGGCACTTATGGGGGTTTCCAAAAATATATAGTACCCCAAATACTAGGGTCCTTGTTATAAGGACCCCTAAATAAGGTACCGCTATTTTCGGAAACTCCCTGATATATCGGTTTGCAGCAGCATGGGCTTTCGGCATCGGAGCCTCCAGTCTCTCGTGTTCGCTATGCCTATGCTTCAGAGGTAGCCACGGAGAAAATATAGATTAGGTACTGCCCCTATACAGTAAGAGTCTATAATAGGGCTACTATCAAGGTCCTAATATATCTATATTATGAATATTATTCAACTATTACTGAACGGGGGCCGTACCCAAAGAAAAGACTTTGCTTCATCACGGCTACTTCAAGGAACAGGTCCAACATAATGTATTCAAGCATGGTAATTCAGAACCCAGACAGATTCTTCATTTTGGAGATGCCCGCAATCCTGAAACTTGAATGCTGAGCCAGAGACCCAAAATCGCCAAATCCCTACATCCCGAAACCCTGAATCTGAATCCTAAACCCTAAACCCTAAACCTAAAACCTAAACCCTAAACCCTAACACCTAAACCCTAAACCCTAAGCCCTCTAACCCGAATCCCTAAGCTCTGCAGTTCTTTGACGCCGCACCTCTGAGGACGTTGTTGTGCGCCAATCCCTTTGCCAGAAGCCGAGCACCTGAAACTCCTGCGATCAAGGGCTGTACTTTGGGGGCCTAAACAAATACCAATACTATTGTGGGGCTTCCTTGTATTTATCATGGCATGATGGGGCACCCAAATGGTCACCCAAACCCTATTTCTAATTATTCATTAAGGCCCCTATATGATACCGTAGCATGGCAGCAACTGTAGTGCGTAGTGAAGAAGTCAAGGGTGTTAACTCGGGCTCGACAGTCTCTTACTCTAAACCCACTAAACCCTACCTTAACCCCGAATAGCCTACCTTTTTTGAGGGCTTTTAGTTTTAAAGTCCTTAAAACAGGTAGGCTAGTCGGGGTTAAGGCAGGGTTTAGTGGGTTTAGAGTAAGAGTTATAAGGAAATCATAATTAATGAGGAACCCTGAGAAGGTAGGTTCCTTAGGGTCACTACAAACCCAAGAGCCCACACTCTGAGCATGACGCTCTACTTGGAAGGGCAGGGGACCTAGTAAGTAGGTTATAAGTAGGGTTATATTTCGGGTAACTCCATGTAGGGTACTGATAACTCTACTTATAACCTACTTACTAAGTCTCCTGCCCTTCCAAGTAGACCCTGGGTTCCATGGCAGGAGTGTACCTGGCTCTCCCGTCACAAGTGGCTCACCCTATGCTCCGCATCTTGAGGTTTAGAGTACGGTTTAGATGATAAGATTGTACTGGTGTGAGCCGCATCTCAAATCCTTGGTGCTGGAGGCCAAACGATAGCTAACTTGTAGTACAAGAGCCCAAGAATCTTTAAGAGGCAGGGTGCAAAAGTAGCTGGCTTTTCGAACACCAGCCATAAACACGAGAATATAAGAGTTTTCTGGCATATTCAGAGATAGTTCGTTTGGGGACGTCCCTCGGGATGTTGTTCATTCCGAGTTACCCTAAACAAAAGGGCCCCTAAACCTGTATAGCCCTTATAGTAACCCTTATAGTCCCCTTTAAGGTCCCTAAATCCCTTCTAGTAGCCCTTATAGTAACCCTTATAGTCCCCTCTAAGGTCCCTAAATCCCTTCTAGTAGCCCTTATAGTAACCCTTATAGTCCCCTTTAAGGTCCCTAAATCCCTTATAGTGCCCTTATAATAACCCTTATAGTCCCCTTTCAAGGTATTACTACTAGGATACCCAGTAACCTAAGAATAAAAAGGCCTCTCTTTTTGGTATTGGGTAACTTTATAAGGAACCTAGGACTACAAAAAGGGAATAAGGGTACTACTGGGCATCCTAGATTACAGGGCCCAGGAAAGGTTCCGAAGATGCGACCACAAAGCCCGATCCTAAGCCGTTCTCGTCGAGAACAAGGCGCTGGAGAACAGCGCCGTCCTGAAACGGGCTAGGGTTTAGGTTAGGAGCTGCCCCCACCCTGTAATAGTGGTATAATAGGAGCAAAATAGGGCCCTAATATAATCCTATATAATCCTGCTAGGGCCCAGAGACTCCAAAATCCCTTAATTAAGGAATATTCCTTAAATCATATTAAGGATCCTACTATAATTTAAGGAATATTGGTTTGGGGGTTTAGGGTTGAAGGGTTTAGGGTATATAGGGGCTACTTGCAGGGGCAGGGGACTTAGTAAGGGTTCTTACAGGGCTCCTTAAAGGGATCTATAGGGTTCCTTAAAGGGGTCTATGGGGTTTAGGGTCTACTTGGAAGGGCAGGGGACTTAGTACGTAGGTTCTAAGTAGGCTTATAATTGGGGTAACTCCATTTAGGGTACTGATAACTCTACTTATAACCTACTTACTAAGTCCCCTGCCCTTCCAAGTAGGGTTTAGGGTTTGGGGTATTGAACTAGCAAACCCTACTTTTTGTAGGGTCCACATATATAGGTGGTTGTCAAAACTATGGCCCCTTGTTGGGTACTCTAAATATCAGGTGCCGTATTATAATCGGACCATAATTTTGACAGCCACCCGCATGAATTCCATACCCTAACCCCCTAAACTGAGAACCTAGGCGGGTTCAGGCTTCAGCGCTCGAAGGAGCCTGAGACCTGAGCTCTCCGAGTAGAGTGCAAAACGCCACCTACTTGCCGAGCATCCCGGGAAACTAAAGGTTAACCTTTGGGAGTATACTTGGAGGGTAAGTAGCTTATAAGTAGAGTTATAAGTACCCTAAATGGAGTTACCCCGACTATAACCCTACTTATGACCTACTTACTAAGTCCCCTGCCCCTCCAAGTATATTGGGGTTATTTAGAGGCTAGAGACAGTACCCCAAAAAAGGACAAAGGGTACCTAGTCTAGCACTAGGTTGAATGATGCTGGAGCTGTGTGGCTTCGATTGTGTAACTCCATTTAGGGCAATTATAACTCTACTTATAACCTACTTACTGAGTCCCCTGCCCTTCCAAGTTGTATTAAGGATTACTTGGCTCGCCTTCCGCGATTTCGTCAAGCAGACGGGGCTGCCATTGACATAGAACAAGTCCCGGCGTAAGCCTCAACCCTTCTTCAAGCCAGGTGTCTTGCCCTCATTGTTTCAAGCCCATTGTAGCAAACCCTAAACCCCAAACTGGCATGGCCCTTCTTCTGCGAGAAAGACGAACCAAACACGCTACGTGACACCCTAGACACACTAACTTTACTCTCGATCGTCATCCCGACTAGGCAATCCCGAATGCACTGCGAGACCTTGGATTGGGTGGAGGCTGCAAGGTTTTGAGGTTGAAGACAAACAGCATCGTAGCATCATAATAACTAGAATGGTCGTGATACTAAGCGACAAAGCATATGCAACTATTCTCAGATAACGGCTTGTTTGGCAAGTATGCCCCACACACACAAACATATTCTAGACCGAACTTCCGTCATCAAGCTCCGAAACTGCCGTAAAGCCGCAAGCCGGAACCTCAAACCCTCGACTGAATCCAAACAGAACCCCCACCTTCTCCTTCATCTCCAAAACGCGAAAGAAGATGTGCATGCCTCCGGTATGGCTCTTGGGCTATTTTCCGGACTAGGGGTTGACGATGTTGTTGGGTTTTTCTCACCTCTCCAGCGGTTTCAGGGCTCAAAGATTAGTGGGCTAGGGCTGGGGTCTAAAGCTGTAGGGGGTTGGGGCTTTCGGCCCTCCATGTTCGAGGTAGACCCTCAACTGCCGTAGTATAGGGGCCTTAACAACTAGACTGGGGCTTTAGAGTATACTTTGCTACAACATCATATGATTCCAGTCGTGAAAACCCGGTCGTATTCGAGCACCTTGACCACCCGAACACAGGCTTGGGGCAGCCAAGGGTGCGGATTAAGGGCCCCCCAGAGAGTCCCATACCCTTTAATTCGGCGTTTGTAAGGATCTTTACAAGGTTTGTAAAGCTCTTACTGTATTACATCATATAGTTAAGACCGCCTGAGTTTGGGGTATATTCCTTGATCGAGGGAGACTTTGCTTACGAATTGTAAATGCTACGACTTACGTTACATTCCTCAATCAAAGCCTAGACCCAAGAGTAACCTAGGAATAAAAAGGGTGCCCTTTTTGGTTTAAAGGGACTTATAAGGGAACCTGAACCCTAAAAAAGGGAATAAGGGCCTACTCTAGGTCCTAGAAGCGTATTGGCTCTCCGGGTGTGGAGCTTCGGGCACCCTGGTGCGGATACCATCGTGCAACAAAGAAATGCATTGAACAACGCATTGGATGTCAGGGACCCAGGGATGCCTCCGCTCCACCAGTGCTTCGTGAATTGGTGGTCGATCGCGCAGCTGGCATCAAACAACTTAAGAGAAGTGGAGCCGCATTGAACCACGTTGACGGCCGGCTGAGCTTCCAACAGGAGCTCCATTTGAACCTCCCAGCGCTTGAAGCGCTGGCCCGGCCTAGGCCAGCAAGAAGGACTTCCGACATCAAGAAGAAGTACTTGGAAGGGCAGGGGACTTAGTAAGTAGGTTATAAGTAGAGTTATAAGTACCCTAAATGAAGTTACCCCAATTATAACCCTACTTATAACCTACTTACTAAGTCCCCTGCCCCTCCAAGTAAAGCCTGAATTTGGAGGATGCCTCGCTGCGAAGCAAACATGGGCTCATGACGTCCATGGCTGCTTATTAAGGTCTAGCACTCAAGGCGTTTAACGGGACTGCCAGTGTTTGAACTCTGAAAACCTGCATAGAACCTCTCAATCGTCAGCTCCTCAAGCTACCGAGGGTCAGAAAACCCAATCCCTAAGACCTGAACGTGAACCCTAAAAGCCTCATACTCCTCAATTCAAGAATATACTTTTAGGCCGATGACACTAAGTGAGCACCTTGTTTGTAAATCACGGTCGATTCTGAAAAAAAGGGTATTGAAATCTCTGGCTAATGCTTGAAGCATACATTGAACCCACAGGCTTGTGCCTACCGGCCCGATGCCGTTCCCTGTGAGGTCCAAATTCCACACCTGCCGGCAATAAGGACTTTGGGCAGTCAGCGTTAGAAGTTGAACCCAGTACCCATCAACTGCCCGATAAGTTTGAGGATATCTGCTAAACCCTGGACACCGGATCCCCTCAAATCCTAAACCCCAGGGTTCTAAAGGCCTGAACCCCGACCCCCAAAACTATAAGAGCGATCCAACTGGGAACAGCCTAGTGCAAGTGTACAGTATCCTAGGAACTCGAGGTTAAGCTGCGGTTCATGCTGGATAATAATACAGTACAGGGCAAAGGTTACTTACTCTACTACTCAGCCTAAGCCGCAAACCCTAACCCTAAACCGTAAAGCCTGCAGAGCAACCCCTAAGGCTCCAAGTATACAATAGTACCTACTTTGGGGTCTAAAGTCTATAAATAGTACCAACTTTGGGCTATCTGGAGTCTTAGGGAACCTCCTGAAACCTTCCTGAGTCCTAAAGCTCGCGAATCCTGGCCTTGCAAAGACTCAGATGGGTGGTTGTCAAAAGTATGGCCCCATTTTTGGGTACCCTAAATATTAGGTGCCGTACTATAATCAGGACCCAAAAAAAGAGACCCTAATTTTGACAACCACCCAGATGAACAGCCATCAAAGGTCGAAGACCCCTTGGGCCCATAATGGACTGCACCAGTGTTGATAACCCTCGTGCCCTAAGACTCCAAGTATACAAATAGTACCTACTTTGGGGTCTACAGTCTATAAATACTACCCACCTTGGGCTATTTGGAGTCTTAGGGTTGGGCTTGTATGCTCACAAGAAAGCCCACGATTCCTGCAAGCAGCACAGATTGAAACCGCAGTCTCAGAAAGACATCACTCCACGTGTACATGGGAGTTTCCGCAAACAGGGGACCCTAATACAGTACCCTACATAGTAGGATCCTTATTGCAAGGACCCCAAAAGAAGGTACCCCACATTAAGGGTCCCTCCTTGTCCCCTTGGATTAAAGATCCCTTCCCTAAACCCTAAACCCTAAACCCCTAAACCCTAAACCCCTAAACCCTAAACCCTAAACCCTAAACCCCTAAACCCTAAGGAACCCTTAAAGGATCCCTTTAAAGGTACCCCCCCAAGACTCCCGAGCCGGGACGCGACATCCATGCTTGCAACTTACGCCTTAGAGCTTATCAGGTTTAGGCTTTAAAGGGAACTCCAGAAAGTTGGAATATGGTTTCAGGGTAGGATACCCTATAATGTACCATAAAGGGTTTAGGACAATCATATTCCAACTTTCTGGCTTTTACTTTAGGGGTTTAGGTTAGAAGCTGCCCCCACCCTGTAATAGTGACTATAAGGCTACTACAAGGATTATATTAGGGCCCTATTAGATTTCCATTAAACCACTATTACAGGGTGGGGGCAGCTTCTAAGGTTTAGGCTTTAGGGGTTTAGGGTTGAGGGTTTAGGGTTTAGTGGTTTAGGGGTTTAGGTTTAAGGTTTAGAGGTTAGGGTTAGGGTTTCGGAAATTAGGGATTTAGGGGTTTAGGTTTAAGGTTTAGAGGTTAGGGTTTGGGTTTCGGAAATTAGCGGTTTAGGGGGTTAGGTTTAAGGTTTAGAGGTTAGGGTTTGAGTTTCGGAAATTAGGGGTTTAGGGGTTTAGGTTTAAGGTTTAGAGGTTAGGGTTTGGGTTTCGGAAATTAGGGGCTTAGGGGTTTAGGTTTAAGGTTTAGAGGTTAGGGTTTGGGTTTCGGAAATTAGGGGTTTAGGGGTTTAGGTTTAAGGTTTAGAGGTTAGGATTTGAGTTTCGGAAACCCCGAAGCTTGAACACTAATCGTAAACCTTGCACCCGACCCCCCCCCCCCCAAAAAAAAAAAAAAAAACTGCAGACAGGAGCTAGAGACCCTGAACACCCAAAATGCTGAATCCTAACCTGAAAACGCTCGCTCAAACTTTGATATCCTGCAAAACCTCAACTTACCCTTTATAAGGCTCCATAGTAGTTCGCTTTTGGGATTCATATACAAAATCCTATGAGGTGATCCCATAAAAGGAGCTACTATGGAGCCTCTGGGTAAACAGCCCCAACGCCTTAAACTCGAAAAAACACCACCGACTATCGACCCTGATTGGGGCCTCAACTCTGATAAGAGGCCAAAAAGGGGGGTGTAAGATTCTTGGGGTACCCTGAGGCTCCATGTACCCATATAGTAGGTACTTAGGCTTTAAAGGGGTCCCTATTGGTACTTTAGGGCCTAAGCACCTACTATATGGGTACATGGAGCCTTTGGGGTAGGGATTCCTCAATATGGACAAAATCCTGCATGGCCCTAAGGACTCTAAACTATGGGAACTATGGTATATTCCTTATAAAGAGTAATGCAGGATTTGATCCATCAGCAGTACTGTCCCTAAGACTCAAGTAGCCCAAAGTGGGTAGTATTTATAAACTTTAGACCCCAAAGTAGGTACTGTTTGTATACTTGGAGTCTTAGAAACTACCGCAAGAATCTCTTGCGATAGCAAGCATTGCACGTCTCTTGCCTTTCTCTGCCCTTCGTCAGAAGCGAGGATGCCCGAGCCGACCAGGTCCTCCCTGAACTGGTGGAGACCGAAAACCAGATTCCGGATACCACTGAGTCCCAGAACTCTGGCTCGGTCGATCTGTTCTTGCACGACCACGTCTAAGCGGCATCGAGCAAGATCTTGCTGTCTCAACTGCATGAACAGCCACATTGCCTTCACATTGAGCTCCATCATGCCGATTAGGCTTGGCTCGCAAATCTTGCATATTTCTTGCAGGAGCTGGTTGTTCTCCGCATCATAAGGATCTTGCCAAATTCAAAGGTCCTGGCAAAATCGCTGCCCGAGCAGGTTGTCTCCTACGAGGCCCAAGAGGATCTCTGGGCACTATTATGGGAACCCTGATCCGTACTAAACCCCCATAGGCTAAAACCCCTTTTGGCCTCCTATGAAACTCATCTTGAAGACCCATGCCTCAAATGCTGGGCCAGCCCCTAAACCCTAAACCCTAAACCTCTAAACCCTAAACCCCTAAACCCTAAACCCCTGAACCCTAAACCCGAACCAGTAAAAACGCCTTCAGCGCGGCTCTGGCTGGCTGTTCAGGAGGGGCTGGGCCGAGCTCCTCGTCCGGTGTTGCCTTCGACGCCGGTGCTCTCATTTCGGGTTTAGGAGTTCGGTGTGGAGGGTTGTGAGGCGAGCACAAGTAGATATTAGAGCTTTGCTTTTGGATGTGTTCTTAACTCCATTCGGGGTGTCTAAAGGGCAGAGGTTACAGGGCTTGGGTTTACAAAGAGAGTTCGGGCTTCATGCAAAAAAAGATCCATGAGTCAGATGTCGCAGATGCTCCATGACTGGTTCCCCGAAGGCTCCATGCACCCATATAGTATACAGTACACTTGGGCCTTAAAGTACCTATATAGGGACCCCGTTATGCCTTAAGTATCTACTATAAGGTTACATGGAGCCTTTGGGTTCTTAGAGGAGCATGGGACTGAGTAAGTATGGTTGTGGATATCCTAATTGGGTCTACCTGGGGGTCCATAGACCTACTGCTTTAGGGGCTAAACCCAATAATTAAGGGGGTTTGCGGATACAGGTATACGTAATTCGAAGAACAGTTATCCTAATAATCACCTTAGCTACTAAGTCCCATGATCCTTTAAGTAGATGGTGTGACAACCCCAAGTTCGTCTAGGGCAGGTATCACCAAGCCCAAAGCATGTAGTGTGTATATATGTATATATATATATATATATATATGGGTAAACTGGCGGCCAACTGATTCATCATCGAGTGTATATGTTTCAAGTACGAGATTACGCTGATGTTTACAGTGCCTAACTACAACTATTCTCAACTTCTGGTTTTGTAGCGGGCAGTCGGAGGTTCCATTTCAAGCTAAACCCGCTGAGGATTTCTAAATCTAAATCTCCGCCGAATTGAAACGCTACCGCCGCAAAATCCGACGAGAACCTTACGGATAAGATCTCAAGAGCCCAGCAACCTGCCTGATCAACCCCAGCCAGTCTACAAAAGACCGGAATTTCTGAATTGCAGATTGCAGCCGCACACTGAAAATTCACAAGTTCAACCCCGAAACCCTCAAACTCCCTGAACCCGAAACCATCAAACCCCCGAAACCCCAAACCCCAAACTTCAAGCCCTGAAGCCTTGCCTTCAGCTGCTTCCTAGTCCTCGCCGGACGCTTGGATGGGCGCGGTGCCTCAAGGAAGGCCTCTCCAGGCTGCTGCAGGCTTAGAGAGCCCCATGCTCCTTCATGTATATATATACATACACACATAAAAAGATATAGAAATGTCTTGATCAAAAATGAAGCAAACAAAAAAATGACTGAGTGTATATGTATATATATAATCATACATACATACATACATTTTGGGGTGTTTATGAAGTTTCTATACGGTGTTGCAAGCCACTAAGCAAGGAATCCGCTCCAACGTATCAGGACATGAACATTATGCTTCAATGTGTATTTCTTCTTCAGGGTGAGGACGGTTGCAGGGGGCGGGGGGGGGTTGGTTTAGGGTTCACGAGGCCTTCGAGGTTGGGGTGTAGTGGAGGTTAGGGCTTCGGAATTCGAGGGTATAGCAAAAAAAAAGGTTCGGCAATGTCGAACACAACAGGTGCTCAATGCAACCAGCCGTCTAGCAGGAACAGGGAACTTGCCAAGGAGATTACAAAGCAAGGCATCCAATAGGTATCCCCTCACCGGTAAACCCTTATCTCACTGAAGCCGAAACACTGAAACACTCACCCCTAATGCCTCAACGCTGACAATCCATACAACTAACTACAACCTTAGTTTCCCTCCAGAACCCACAAAACACTAAACCCAAAACATTGGGGTTCAGGGTTTAGAGTTCAGGGCTTCGGGTTTATAGGGTTCAAAGTTCAGGGTCAGTTGCCGGTCCTGAACCCTGAAGTGATCAACCTTTATAAAAGCTTAAAGATCGAAGTCGAAATGTGCCTGCATCAATGCCTCCACGCCCTCAGGACCAAGGAGGCAGCCTGAGTTTCGCGAAGAGCCCCAAGTGCTTCGGGCTTAGGGATGTTACGGGCACTCGGGGTTTTAGAGCTTTAGGATTCTGGTATTCGGTCTTGTGGTTGCCTGAAACATACAACTGCGCAAACATCGAGCCGACATCTGCTAGGTTCTGATGAGTTGGGTTTGAATGATCCTTCTCATAAGGCGATGCGACAACAAACCCAAATCCTGCTTCATATCACAACAGGGCTTTTCGCTGTATAGTTATATTGCACACTGTATGTCTGTATGTATTGGCATGAGAAGGAGCTCTCATCAGGCGATATTGAAAGACATCATCCTTAAAGCTTTGTCTTTCCTCTGAGTGGCTCTGCAGCTGCAATGACAGCAGCTCGCATCCCCTTGCCAGAGCCTTGTCGTAAACCCTAAACCCCAAAACCCTAAACCCTTTAGGGTTTAGGGTTCAGGGTTGGGATACAAGCTCCTCCATGAGGGGGATTTCGGAAAGCCCACTTCGCAAGAGGTCTGAATGTTTGGGTGGTCTGCTTCTGCTCTAGAACCTAAACCTCTGAACCCAAAGTCCTATGCTGTTTTCACAAATAAGGGCCAAAGAATCCCCGAACTTCATTTTTGCTGATGATGCTTGAGGTTTTCGACTTGTTGGTGCTGTGGGTCTGAAAACTTGATGGTTTCGGCTTCTTACTTGTCCAGTATCCTAGCGGAACTACAGGTGAACCTTTGGGATTACATGTGGATTATCATACCCAACAAGGGTTAACGGTGATCTGCTCTACTACTACAGATTTAAGAGATTGCGGAATAGGTTTAAAGATTTCTGCTCCAGGGTCGTAGGTTCCAAGTTGCCCCGGAATCTACCCAGATAACATCGATCGTTTAGCTGAGTGATCAAGCGAACGCACTGAAGGGCGCAACCATTCTTGAACTAGCCATCTCGTGGGTGATCATGATGATCATGATGATGATGAAGATGATGACGATGATGCAGCACATCTCGTTTGAGCCGAGTCTACATCTAGCTCGAACGGCCACGTTTGGATTCTGACTTTTAGTTATAGGCTTTGGAGGTTAAAAGCTTCCCAAACAATCCGAAACCTGACTCATAAACGCTAAACTACGACAGGTGTGGGTCCAGGGTTCAGCGCTCAGGGCTGAGGCTTCTGCGCTGAGAGTTCAGGGTTCGTAGTTTTCTTGTTTGGAGGCGGGCTTAAAAAAGGCAGTGCTAATTTGAAAAGTGTTGCTGTAAGAGGTCTTTGAAGGGTTGTTAATGTCAAGGGTTCTAGAAAGGATTCGAGTATAATGGTCTTAGAAATTAGACAACGTCTCGGGGCATGTTTTGTTGCAAAACAGTTACACCTAAAACCCTAAACCCTAAACCCTAAAACTATGAGCAATTAATCAGGCTTCTAGGGTAATCTATGTAAGCCCTTTAGAAGAACCCGTACAGAAACTCTTAAATAAACTCTTCGCCTAAACGGTTTAGGGTTTAGGGTTTAGGGTAACATACCCTAAACCCGAAAACCTAAACCCTGATCCCTAAACCGTAAGCTTTAGACTTTAGGCTTGGCCCGGCCTGGGAAAGCACTTTGGCCCCAGCTTCTGTGAGGGCGTTGCCTGGATGCTCTGGGTAGAGTTCAGGCATAAAGTAGGGGCCTTAAGGAAAGGCTTCTTTTACGGTAATGGGCTCTTACCGGGGTTACTATTATTATATAGGGTTTAAGGGTACAGGCACATTAATTGTTCAGGTTATGATAGGGTTGCGGGGGGGTACATTGCGGAATAAGCAGGATGAGGAACCCTGAGGACTAGTCTGAGTACTTCTCAAGCCAACCCCTCCGTTAGGAACCCCAAACCCTAAACCTTGAGGTCAACTGTGGCCTTACTTTGAAGTCCCACCATCGGTCAGGCATGGTCAGGCACATAATCACGTCAGCTGTACTATACGATGTTTCCACCAAAGCATACCTAGACCGCAAGGGAAGCGCATGACGAGTTCTTGAGCATCTTCGTTTGTCGGGTTGCAACAATGATGATGGCTGTTCTTCGGCAAGCAATAACCGTGTTCTTACTCATGAGATCAGTCTGGAACAGCCTTCAGTGCAAAATGTGTATGAAATACACTGCAAAATAGATGCTGCGACAGTTCTTGTTCATTCTGATTGCTGTAGTTCCGTCCTTCGAGCAGCTGTCACATGCTGATCAGCGCCACAACTGTAAGTGACCTGGGACATTGCACCGACGAAACTATGCCGCCCTGACCCCTCAACGTGTCCACCCCACCGATCAATTCAGAAACCAATTCGGCAATCCTGTGAAATACCTGTCCGAAAAGCAGCCATAAGGTGGGTGGCTGTCAAAATTATGGTCCCTTCTTGGGTCCCTATTATGATACGGCACCTAATATTTAGGGTTCCCCAAAAGGGACCCTAATTTTGACAACCACCCAGGTAGGTTCCCGATGTTGCTGGGGTTAAGTTTGCAGCGCCTTCGACGGAACTGTATTCCTGCGCAGGAACTATCATCCTACTGTTCCCATCTTGGGCAGCAAAACCCGGACTGACGTATCTTTTTGAGGACTTCTATATAGGGAAAGCATAAGGAGGAACCCAGGTCCCAGGTATTCACGGTTATAGTTAGACCCTGAATATTCAACCCTGGCTCCGTAGAGGCCGTGCGGCCCGTAAGCCCCAGCGATCGCACTGACTTTGTCGAGGCATTGAGGAGTTGCAAGAGTTTCGGCAGGGCGTTGACCTCGAGGGTAGTGTGTGTTTTGGGCTTGATTCGGGTTTGCGGGGTTAGCAGGTTCGAGTGCTTGTTGGGTTAACCGGGGGGAGGGGGGCTGATGGGCTGCCAATATAATCCAGCTCCAGGGAGTTTGCAGATGCGGGTTACAACAGAACGCCCACCAAGAGTAAGGAGGCTAGCACTTGCACGAGTTATCAAGCGTCAAACCTTTGTGCGCAGTGAATTTGACCAGCGACCGACCAATCAATTCGGAGAAGTTCTTTCGAGCAACAGCATGTGTGTCAAGACCCAAAAGATGGTGAACTATGCCTGCAAAGGGCATCGTCAGGGGAAACTTTGACGGAGGCTCGTAGCAGTACTGTCAAGCCTCAACCCTAAACCCTAAACCCTAAACTCTAAACCCAAGACCCTAAACCGGCCTCAAACCCTAAACTTTTTTCCAACGAGCACACACATCAAGGCTAGCTTTCCCAGACCCTTGGGAGGATCCAAACAGTAGATCCTGAAGAAGGTTCCTTTTCGGGTTGCGTTGATAGGGGTTCCTTTAAGTGCGTTCCTACAAAGGTATACTTTGGTAGTGTAAGGCCCCAAATTAGGGATTCTACTTTTCAGATCCTCCCGGCGGTCTGGGTTAGGGCCTGGTGTATGGTTCACGGTTCGGGGTGTAGTGCGGTTACTATAGTATAGGGTTTTAGAATAGGATCCCCGTTAAAGGATACGATAGGGTCTAGGGTTCACGGTTCGGGGTGTACGGTCGCCATCATCGATGATGAAGAGAGGGCCCATTTCGTCCGCAGAAATCCTAGTGTAAGCTCTAAGCATCACTAAGCGCCCTGGGACAAAAACAACTATACTAACCCTGGAACCCCTAAAAATCCCTCTCACAATCTCACAAACCCCTGAAAGTTCAATTGGGTAAACCTAAAGCTCCCAAACTCTAACTCGAAATATCACTATACCCCCAAACCCTGAACCCTAAACCCTAAAACCCAACAACCGCCTGAAAAGTCCCTGCCTGGACCCCAAAAGTATGTAGAATAATTGCCTTTTATAGGTTTTGGGCCATTATTTTACCTACTTTGGGGGATCGAGGTAAGAGCGCCTGGTTCGGTGGCATTTGGAGCTCGATGACCGGTGTCTGCAGATTCTTCAGACGATCCGTGAAGCTGGCGAGCTGTGCTTCGGTCAGCACCTCTGGTGAGCTTTAGTGCTTATATAAAGTTTAGGGGTTTAGGGCTTCAGGGGTTTAGGGCGTAGGATAACTTTGGTATTTATAGGGATTTAAGCGCTCAGAATGCAGCAAAGGCTCTGGGATAGGGTTGCAGTTTAGAGATTTGGGGGGTTAGGGCATAGGGTTTAGGGGCTTAAGGGGCCTAAAACTGCAGCAAAGGCTCGGGCTTCCTATACTCTCCATTGTGTTCCTTTTTATGGTCAGGGTCCTATACTAGAGCTTTGCTTATCCAAAAAATGGAACTACAATGGAGACTCTAGGTGGGGCCTAAAATGCAGCCAAGGCTCCGGCTTGCCCTAAACCCTAAAGGCTCGGGCTTGCCCTAAACTTAGGGTTTAGGCCCTAAACCCTAAACCCTAGGATTTAAGGGCTTGAGGGCTTAAGATGCAGCAAAGGCTCCGGCTTGCTACTCAAGTCCACCGGCACGCAGACGCCGTGGGTGGCGGCGAGCTCGATGAGGAAGTCGAAGAACAGGTCCCAGCTAGAGTTGAAAACGATGTCCTTCTAAAGTTGAGAGTTGAGGGTATTTAAGGTTTAGGGTTTAAGGCTTCGGGTATATTAGGGTCTAGGTTTAAGGTTTAGGGTTTTGGGGTGTATTAGGGCTTCGGTAAATTAGACTTATGGGTTGTCCTTTTAGGGATATATAGGGTTCCTTAAGGGGTTCCTTGAAGGGTTCTTTAAAGGGATCTATAAGGAGGGTTTTAGGGTTCCTTTTAGAGTTACAGATTTAGGGGTCTGATGGCTTTGGGGCATATTAGGGTTCGGGCTAGAGTCGAAGACGATGTCCTTCTAGGGTTTTACGGTTAAGGGTCTATTTAGGGTTCAGGGTTGAGGGTTTAGGGTATGTTGGGGTTTCGGTATATTAGAGTTACGGGTTGAAGGTTCTGATGGCCTTCAAGCATATTAGGGTTTGGGCCAGGGTCGAAAACGATGTCCTTCGAGGGTTTTAGGGTTGAGGGTGTAGGGTATGTTAGGGTGTAAGTAAGATTGTGGGTTTAGGGTTTTGTTTTAAACGGTGTAGGGTATATTCGGGTTTCGGGTCAGAGGACGATGTCCTTTTGGAGTTATGGGTTTGGGATTTCCGGATGGCTTTAGGGCATGGTAGGGTTTGGGGTTTATTCGAAGACGTTGTCCTTCCAGGGCTTAGGGTTGAGGGGATCCTAGGGTTTAGGGTTTAAGCTTTAGGGTATATCAGGGTTTAGGGTTTGGGGTATATGAGGGTTTAGGGTATATAGGGTGTAGAGCGTATGTCAGGGTTTAGGGTTCCAGGGTTGAGGGCTGAGTTGAAAGCGATGTCTTTCGAAGCTCCAAGGCCCAGGCGGTCCAAAGTACCGTATACTAGACCCAAGAGTAACCTAGGAATAAAAAGGGTGCCCTTTTTGGTTTAAAGGGACTTATAAGGGAACCTGAACCCTAAAAAAGGGAATAAGGGCCTACTCTAGGTCCTAGTATAGTAGAATGTAGGGTTCTGCCTATAGTCTCCATTGTAGTTCCTTTGGTCTAACCAATTTTATATTCAGGATCCTAAAAGGTAACCCCAAAAAGGAACTACAATGGAGACTATAGGTATATTAGGAATTACTATTATGATTTGGGGAAGTATGCCCCATAACAGTACATAGGACCCTTTGGGAGGTGGCCAACTCAGCACCCGCAGCATCGACTGTGCACGTCGAAAGGAGCTTAGGGGGTACTTGGAGGGTCGGGGGACTTGGTAAGTAGGTAGTAAGTAGACTTATAAGTACCCTAAAAGGGACCCTAATTGGGGTTATGGTACTTATAAGTCCCTGAAATAACCAGTTACTAAGTCCCCCGACCCTCCAAGTATTAGGTTTCGGGTATAGAGGGATACGGTCTTGGGGTTATAGCGGCGTAATTATTATAGAGAGCCTTTCGAGAATCATGTCTTCGACCCTAAGCCCTCAACTTCTTCAGTCTCCTGGAAGACAGCTAAGTATGTTTTCAAACCTTGGCAGACTGAGTTGAAAACTTCTACCTAATTACCGTAAGGCTCCATGTACCCATATAGTGTATACTTAGGCCTTAAAGTACCTATATAGGGACCCCTTTTAAGGCCTAAGTATCTACTGTAAAGGTACATGGAGCCTTTGGGCTATAAGCCTCCTGCCCCGGCGTCAGGATGGCTCTTCTGAGGGCTTAGTTCCTGAACCTTCGTGCTAAGCTTTAGATGTGCACATTGCTCTGCAGCCTACAAAGCCTAGGCTGACTACTAGGAGCCACAGACAATCACAACTTGACAGAGCCATTCAACTCCTTCTAGGGGTGCATGTTTTATATTCATGTAGTCTATATTTTGACCTTAAAGCACTCCCTATATGATGCCTAATATGGGTACTGGGCCAAAGTATATGCTGCTTGAATGCATGGACCCTAAGGGTCCACAGTACTCATGAACACCCCGAAACCTGAGCGCCCCACACACTTCAGCCCTGAATCCTAAACTGATGTCTCCCCAGAGACTCCAATATCCCTTTATTCAGAAATATACCTTAAATTACAATAGGAGCCCTAATATGACTTAAGGAACATCCCTTAATTAAGGGATATTGGAGTCTGTAGGTCATGACCGGGCCGAGAAGGTTTCCAATAGTTATAGAACCTCTACATAAACCTCCTTAAAACCCTTATGGGTGGTTGTCAAAATTAGGGTCCCTTTTTGGGTACCCTAAATATTGGGTGCCGTACTATATAAGGGACCCAAAAATGAACCACCCCCTTATAGAACTCCAAAAGAACTGTTGTACGGCTTCCTCGGCAGGGGGGAGACCAAGCACGCGCTTCTCGCCCATGTAGCCTTGACTTGGCACAACAGGCTTGGCTCTATTGTAAGATGACACCGGAATGGGTTCGGGGTGTAGGGTTTACGGGTTTAGGAAATCTTAGGGGGAGACGATGATGAACTGCACCCACAAAGAAGTGGCAGATGTGGGATGGGCTGTCAGGGGTCGCTGTAGCCAAACATGCATAGCGAGTCTGCTTTCGGCTTTGGCCAGAACATGAGGCCGATTTAAGACTTAGGGATTAGGGTTTATGGTGTTCCAGGACAGGTCCTTCAAACTTACTACTCATGCAGGCTACCCACTGCAGCTGAGCTAGCAACAGCACAGGTACTGGAGTTATCTGAGGAGTAAGTCCCACACCCTAAAACTTTAAACGAAATGTTCAGGGTTTTCGGCCGTCAGGCCCTGAATTTTCAGCCAAGGTGCGCGTGAAGCATCGGGCCAGAAAATAGTCGCGCAACGGCAACTCAGTACATGTTGTGGTAAGGGTGTCAGGTTTGGCTTCGGTGTTGTGCGCGTTGCAGTTTACGAAAGTGGGGGTTTCCGAAAATAGGGGACCCTAATATAGTACCTTAAATAGTAGGATCCTTATTATAAGGACCCCAAAAGAAGGTAGCCCTAATTTTCGGAAACTCTAAACCCTAAACCCTGAACCCTTTATAGAACCCTTATAGATCCCTTTAAGGAACCCTTAAAGGATCCTGTTAAAGGTACCCCTAATTTTCGGAAACTCACGAAAGTGTCAGTTCTTGAGTTCGAAGGTTCAGTGTTTCGAGCTTGTGCCCTTATGGTCCCTATTAGTGGAGGGTTTAGGGCTTAGGGTTTGGGGTATATGAGAGGGTAGTTGGGGGGTCTAGGTAGGGTCAAGGACTTAAGGTGCTTTCTTTTGGCCTTTAGGCTCATCTTTCCGAAGGTGGGGGGTTTGAGGGCTGCGGGGTCTAAGCCTTAAACCCTCAGCCCTTCTTGCAAGGGCACCTAACTAAATGGAGCTCTTATTGAGTAATGTGCCGGTCGGTTTAGGAATATGGGCTCCTTTAATGCGTTTTCTCCGGGGCTAATTCCGACCGGTACCAAAAATTTGGGCGGTCTAATTAATGCGTTTTTTTTTGGCTGGTGGGATTTTTGGGGGGCGGGGCTGTGCTGTTTGCTGATGGTCAATCTTAAGGCAGCCACGACCTGAAGCCCCCACCCAAACCCTAAAACCCTGGCCCTGAAGCCCGAAAATCTCTTGCAGAATTGTTTCGCTTATTGGGGCGTCAGGAATGAAAATCTCTACTACTACTGTACTACTACTGTACTACTATTCTACTATACCTTGATTATTGGGGGGGGCTGCTAGGGTGAACCGCCGAATCGGGGATTGGACCCTAGCTCAAAAGAGGCCTCTCCAGTACTAAAGTTTGTATAAAAAATTAAGTTTTGGGTCGAATCTGGACCGACCCCCCTTTGGAAGGGTTTAGGGCTTAGGGTTTAGGGTTTGTTATAGGGTTTAGGAGTTTAGGATTCGTTAGGGTTTAGGGTTTGTTAAGGTTTAGGGTTCAGGGTTTAGGGTTTCAGGCGCTGGCTTTATGCTTTGCTTATTGGGGGAATGTGCTCACTGGCTTTATGCTTTGCTTATTGGTACTATTTCTGTACTATTACTGTATTACTACTGTACTACTGTACTACTGTGGTACTACTACTGTACTACTAGTGTACTACTGTACTACTATTGTACTACTACTGTACTATTACTGTACTACTATTGTACTATTGTACTAATATCGTACTACTACTGTACTACTATTGTACTACCACTGTACTACTGTTGTATTACTATTGTACTACTGCACTATTATTGTACTACTACTGTACTACTGTACTTCTGTGGTACTACTACTGTACTACTAGTGTACTACTGTACTACTATTGTGCTACTACTGTACTATTACTGTACTACTATTGTACTACTGTACTATTATTGTACTACCACTGTACTACTATTGTACTACCACTGTACTACTGTTGTATTACTATTGTACTACTGCACTATTATTGTACTACTACGGTACTACTATTGTACTACGGTACTATTATCGTACTACTACTGTACTACTATTGTGCTACTATTGTACTACTGTACTATTATTGTACTACTACTGTACTACTATTGTACTACCACTGTACTACTGTTGTATTACTATTGTACTACTGCATTATTATTGTACTAATACTGTACTACTACTGTAATATTTCTACTGTACTACTATTGTACTACTGTACTACTATTGTACCGCACCAAGCTTCATACGTGGTCGATTGTGGGTGGGAGTGTGGGAGTGTAGGTTACGGGGGCAAAAAAAACAAAATGAAGGGTTTTTAGTCTTGGTAGTAATCTTGGAGTGATCGGGGCTTGGTTTCCAGCATTTGGTGATCCCCAGACCCCCCCGACCCCCGACCGCGCATTCGCGCAGAACCGCAGACCCTGCACCCAAGCCAGCCCCCAAACCCCGGCACTTCCCAATTCCCTGCCACTCAGACCCCGGCGTCACCGGCTCCAGATTAATGAGACCAAAACTTTTTGGTCGGGGGGGGGGAGGGGGGGGGGGGGTACCCTAGTACTAAACCGACCACCACATTACTGCGATAGACAAGGCCCCGGTCGATTGAACAAGTGTTGTGATCCCCCAGCAAGATACCGAGAAATGCATCCTAAACCCTTGAACCCTCTAAGCAATAAACTTGATGTTGAAACCCTGGCCGCGTATTCAACATGGCCAAGACGCTGGAGCAAAGCGCATTGCCAACTTTCCGCGCCGCTCGTCATTGAAGGGCCTTCAGTTTGGTGGCTGATGTGGGTGGCTGTCATAATTACGGTCCCTTTTTGGGTCCTTATTATAATACGGCACCTAATCTTTAGGGTACCCAAAAAGGGACCGTAATTTTGACAACCACCCATGTGTGATCATGGTGACAGCGACCACGGCGACGAAGACGATTGCAACATGAGAAGGAGCAGGCAGATGTAGATGATGCGGACCGTCATGTCGATGGTGGAGATACTTCGAGGCTGAGCATAAGGACGACATGAACATGAGGATGGAATCAGCGGGAAACGACTGCAGCAATGGCGACCTGAACATGTATGATGGTGATGCTGATATGTACTGACACCGGCTGGAATTGGTCGTCAACTGATCTTATGAGGCCTTAATAGAAAGCATGATGTTGGTGAGTTGACTGATTCCTGCTCCCATTCACTATATGAAAAATTAATGATGATGACGGCGACGATGATGATGATGATGGCAGCAACTGAGATGCGGAGTGTTGATGAAGATTCAGATGTTGACGGCGCTCATGGCAATGACGGGGATGATACCAAGACTGATAAGAATAACGCTAACCCCAAAGCCCTGAGCCCTACACCCGAAGTGCTTAACCCCAAGCCTTAAAGCATAATCCCGAAACCCTAAAATCTATTCGATTTTACAGCCCTAAACCCTAAGCCCTTAACCCTGAACCACTCCCAGGCCCTAAACCCGCCATCAAGAAAGAAGGCGCTGAGGTTTGCGGTTAGAGCAGCTTGTGTTTAGGGTTCAGGGTTCCAGGGTTCAGGGGTTCAGCGGTTTAGGGTGTACTTGGAGGGGCAGCGGACTTAGTAAGTAGGTTATAAAACGGTGATAATTAGGGTAACTCCATTTAGGGTACTTATAACTCTACCTATAACCTATTTACTAAGTCCCCTGCCCTTCCAAGTAGGGTTTAGTTTAGGGTTGAGGATGATCCGGGTTGAAAAGGTTTAAGGTTTCTGTTTAGATTATAGGATCCTTAAGGGGGGGTGGTTCAAGGGGGGAGGGTACTAGGGAGCTTTGGGGAACCTTAGGGAAGCTTAGGGAGTATTGGGGAATAATGGGGATTACTAGGTTACCTACCCCCCTTGGACCACCCCCCCTTAAGGACATCCTAATTAGACTTTTCGTAGTTTAGGGCTTAGGGTTTGGGGCATTTACGATCAGCGGAGGCGTCTCATGAGAGAATCCCAAGGTCCCAAGTACCGTTACAAAGCTAACTTTGGAAGGGTAGCTACCCAGAGACTCCAACATCCCTGAATTAAGGAATATATCTTAAAGTATTCTAGGATCCCGTTAAGGGATATTGGAGCCTCTGGGTACTCAGCTAATTTCAGGCTATCTTAACAATCCTGTACAGCCTTGACAGATTTGTGATCCTCGGAGGCCAGTTCTGGATCAAGCTGCGAAAGGCAGGTTGGGGATTATGGGGCTTAGGGTAACGGTTCAGGGTTTAGGGGTTTAGGGTAACCTCAATCAAATCGGGTACTTACAAGAACACTCATGCACTACTGACCAGGTCTCCCTGCCCGACAAAGTCCACGGTATTTCTAAAAACCGGACCTAAACCGTTAAGCCCCCATATACCCACTGAGAACTCAACTGCGGCAGCCCCTCTGGAGGAAACCTCTAAACCCAGTGTAACCTCTGTAAAAAGAGTACCCTGAGTGTTATGCACAACTGATCCAGTATAAGTTGTCCTGCACCCCGCAATTCCAAACCCCAAACCAATAAAAAACACAACCCAAAGCCACAAATCCGAAACTAAACCATCCAAGACAACACTACACCCAAAAACAAAAAAACAAACTGATGAAGTCCACGAGGCGGAAGGCAAGGTTCTACAAGGACGAAGTGACCAGTCTCGATCAAAGCCTGCACCTCAAGCTTCTTCGGGTTTAGGACAATAGGGTTTGGGGTTGAGCTCAACCCCTCCACCCTGCAAACCTCTTCGGGTTTAGGGTTTAGGTGTTTGCTAGAATCCTAAACCCCAAAACCCTCGTAGGGTTTAAGGTGGTCCGTGTTGAATTAGGAAGGAGGGGCCTGGAAATTTGGGTTGAGGGCTTCAGATCACTTGGGGGTTAGGGCTGCCTAAAAATGGAGAAACCTACATTTTACGGGCCCTTAGTGTAGATTCCAGATACGCGTGATTGAACAGGAATGTTTTGTTGATGAGGGGGTCCTAGGATCGGTGGTCAGGGGGTTAGGATTCATCGCAAGCTCCAGAGCAATTTCAGTAGCCGTGAGAAGGGCTAAGCCTGTGCAAAGGCCGGGGGCGAATCCTGGGTTCCCGGTTTTTGGATGTGGGGTTTGGGGGGTTTTAAGGGTTTAGGGTTCAAACATCAAGGCATCGCTAAGGCCTAGAAAAGATAGCTAGCCTTCATCAAAGCCCAATAACATACAATAGAACACGCACAGAATCCATATAGAATAAATGCTTGAGCTGTGGAGTTGGAGCAGCTGGAAATGAAATCTTCGGGTGTCGCGTCTAGGGCTGCGGCGTTGAGTTTACGGGTTTCGACTTCAACGTCTACTCTACGAGTCTTCTGCTGATCCTAACCCCCTACCGCAACCCCTAACCTGACCACAAACCCCAGAACTCAAAAAATGAGACCCCTAACCCTGAAGCCCAAAATTTAAGCCCAAAAGAAGACTCCTTCATCTTGAACCCTTCATCTTGAGCCCAAGCAGCAAATGGCCAGCTCCCCACCAGGTCCGGATGTTCCTCGCTTGCGTTTGCTTCCCCCAGAAAGCCCTCGACCCCTCAACTGCGGCAAACATGTTGACTTACAGTAAACCCCATAAAGTTGGAAACCGGATTAAGGCCAAATAGTGCTGCGATTCCCTATACATTAGTCGTAGGGATTGAGGCTATTGGGTTTCCAACAATTGGGCCTTTACTGTTTAAGGGACCGAATGTTAGGATGGAAATTGAAAGGCCTACAGCCAACCAAAAAAGACGATGAATATTCCTTAAGGAACTTCTATTGAGCTTTCTGCCACCCTCGTCGAATTTATCAGCCCCTGTGTAGACCTTCTACAGCCGTTCTACAGCCATGTAAATCCCCAGAAAACACTATAAAACCTCACGCTGGTGCCCAGTCGCCATTTCCAACACGCTGCACATGGCCTCCGGCAGAAGGAGATCACCACCGTCGATCTGAGTAAAGCATTTGACGGATTGACAATTAGGGCTGAGAGCTCGTGGGCTATTAGTTTTATGATTACTATTATGAGTACGATTATTAATATTATTTTTATTATGATTACTACTACTATATTATATACTATTAGCATACTATTAGGGGCTTCAGGGTTCAGGCTTCGAGTTCCGAGCTCTTGGCATGTAGGGCTCAGGGGTGTCGTCGTGGCTTAGGATTTACAGGTGCGCTCTGTGATCCATAAACCCTAAGCCTAAACCGCAGGGTGCCGACTTTTCTATATGACAGATCTTAATCATGAAACTAGGTAAAAAAAGAGGTACGACGGCATGACCCTGTAAGTAGAGTTTAGCGATGGAATACAGCCGTTCTCATCCCAGATTAACGATTTCACGTTTTACGGCTATGTATTCCTAAACTAATCTTCTGCTGCTGCGACGACGGCGCTTTGTTCAACTACTTGCACTACAAGCACTACCAACATCATGAAACATGACGTTAGCAGCCCTGTACGATGGTTTTGACAGACATAGTAAGTACGCAGTCGTCCTAGACTCCTAAACCAAATATCCAAAGGCCCTACCCACCAAAGCTTCATGCATAACTGCATAAGCTTTAAGGGATCTTTGAAGGGTTCCTTTAAGGGCTCCTTTCAGGGTTGTATAAGGGCCCTACAAGGGTTCTATAACTAGGATACCCAGTAACCTAAGAATAAAAAGGCCTCTCATTTTTGGTATTGGGTAACTATATAAGGAACCTAGGACTACAAAAAGGGAATAAGGGTACTACTGGGCATCCTAATATCCGGAAGAGATCGTCGCTCCCTGGGGCTGTGGCGAAAAGCTTCATGGCCATCACCTCGAGGACCTGCGTCCTCGGCTTCTTAGCGTTTAGGAGGGTTTGGGGTTTGGGGGTTTGGGGTTTAGGGGTTTTGGGTTTGGGGTTTTCGGGATTAGGGGTTTAGGAGGGTTTGGGGTTCTAGGGTTGAGGGCTAAGGGTTTTAGGATCTAGGGGTTTCGGGGCTTCGGGGATTTCATGGGGGTTCAGGCTTCCCCCTACGGGTCCATGTATTCACGTAGTATATGCTTTGGTCCTAGAATACCCATGTTGAGAGTACTTTAACACCAAAGTAGATACTATGTTGTATGAGTACATGGACCCTAAGGCTTCAGCACTGTCATTTCGAGCGGAAACATTCAGGTTGTAGGGCTTAAGGTTTCAGGCAGCTCAGGTGAAGGCCTCAACGTGCGAGTTCCAGAACCCAGGGGGCATAGAATCCCAAAGAACCGGATCTTCACTATACGAGGCTTTAGAATAAGGTACTCCTGTTTTCTGTGATGTGCACCCTCGCATCCCTTAGCGCAGAGAAAGTGATGTCGTTGAGGGTTTCTAGGGCTTGCGACTAAGGGCGTAAATTAGGGCTTGGATAAACACTTACATGTATTTGCTGGGACTACGAAAGAAGTAATTACTGGTGACCATTGAGGCAATACCCTGGACCCAAAGTCCCATTGAACAACCAGGGCTGAAACAAGCATTCGTGCGGCCTCACCGATGTAAGGACCTGATTTGGGGTTAGCTCAATTCTTCAGGAATGCGATCACGCATAATTGCGATCGGGTTGAGGGTTTAGGGTTTAAGTCTAGGGATTAGTGATTAGTAAGGACGCAATGGTGAGGGACGTTTCGGGACTTAACGCTACCCGACTGCTGTCCCAGGCGCACGCATGCTGCTGCCCCATCTGGAAGGCAAGCAGAGAGGTGGAAAGTGATCAGATGCCTTAATCACAAGTTGCCATGTTACACAGTTGTGTACATTGGGGATTCGGGTTTACAAGGTGTATAAGCCAAACTATAAGTTACCAGGGTTATTCTAAGAGCGCCTATTATATGGGGGAAACTATCAACACATATACACACCTGAATACATACATGCATGGTCACGGTTTAGGGAATCAGGCGCCAGCGCGAAGTCACGCAAAGTCTTGAGGCCTAGAGCACAACGACCCTGCTGAAGCCCCAATACCTCAAGCCACTTTTCGGTGCCTGTGAGGTTTGTCGGAAACCCCAACCCCAGCAGGCCCTACTGCCCTACTGTACCGAACCCTGATCCTGCTCAGTGATAGCGACCTCGCATTGGGTCTGGGATGTTTTGCAGTATATTATTGCCAGTGCTAGGGCAGCAACATGAGTTCGGCATGTGCACATCGTCACCGAAAGGTTTGAACGGCGAATCATATGTCTAACTTTGCTCCCTCCATCTTGGTTTCAGTTGTGCAATGTCTGCAGTGCATGTTAGCTTCAGACTGGAGTCGTAAATCGACGACATGTTTGGGACTTAATACTAATACTAATACTAATACTAATTCCAATCTCACCAGCAAGCCAAGATGCGGGACAGCCGTGTCCACCAGCTGCGTGAGCAGGTCTGTGCTCAGCTCCTCCAGCGGCGTCAGAGCTGAAGAACCCGTCAGCACCTTAATCTTGAGCCCTGGACCATATCTCAGCACCGTTATTTCATCCAGAAGCAACAACCACAAGTTGTGCTGCCAAGATGAAAGATCGCGATCAACATCGTAACAGCAGATACATTGTAAAGCAGATTCTCGGTAGAATATTGCAGACGCGGCTCGGGCTGGGCTTGTGCAAAGGTCTCCGAGACACCACAACTACGGCTTCAGCCCAACAAATGGCAAGTTCAATCCAGACGAAAACGCCTGCAGCAAAGCACCTACCCTAAACCCTAAACCGTTTTAAACTTAAACCATACCGGCACAATAGCCCGCCCGATTAGCGATTTGTGTTTTAAGGCTTGCCGATTTGGGACAAGGGCCTTAGGGATAAGAGCTTTGGAGTTTTGGTTTAGGGGCTAGGGTTGCGGCTTGTCGGGTTTAGGATTTAAGGATTAGGGTTTAGGGCCTAGGGCTGTAGGGTTCAGCTAAGGGTACGCAAAGTCCGAATACCCTGAACCCTGGGACTGGACAAGCCAACCTCTAATATTGGGGGGTTTAGGGTTCGTCTTACCCCCGACCTAAAAAAAAAAGAACACATCACAAAGAATTGGCTAAACTTGTAGATCAACTTACGGTAGCAAACACATGCAGTAAGACAATAACTGAAGATAACTCAAGTATAAAGAAGTGATAGCCACACTCATAGTTAGTTAATCATGAACATATGGGAAGTTCTCTTCATTAGAATCACTTTTAGTATCCTTTCTAAACAAGGATGCCGCACTATGTGTCCTAGCTTGCGAGAATCTGGCATGTTCCTGTTCCTAGGTTAGCTGCCTACCATCAGCGAAACAGCGGTGTCGATGAGCTCTTCCTCGGTTGGAAACCCATCTGGTGCTCATACCATATCAAGGGTTTGGGGTTTAGGGTTCACGGTTTAGTGTTTAGGGTTCAGGGTTCCGGGTTTAGGGATCTGCTCAGATTATCTTTGCTGCTCTGCCTCGGACCCTGGCCTTGATCTTTCCAACGCAAGCGAAGGGGGGGGAATTCCACTCACACGCTGCTTCAGAGGTGATCCAAGGTCCGAGCATGGCTCGGCAGGCAAAATTTCGTGGACATGCATGGCATCGAAAGTCAGAAACTATCGTCCACACCTTCGCGGGCAGTTTCTTTTGTAAACATCCGCCATTGCTGGATCCTTCTCAGGTAGGTGCGGGCATTGAAAACCCCAAACGCGTTCAGCAGCAGCAGTTGGTGGTCCGGCTCATCTGGTTCATCATACCTAGAGGATCATACCCTACTTTTAAGATAACAGATCCCAACCATAAAACTAGGTATCCTAAAAAAGGGGTAGGGTATGAGCCTCTAGATATGGTGGACCTCGTCGAATGAAGGACCTGCACAACTTCCGAAACAATGCTAAACCCTAAACCCTACAGTAACGCTAAACCCCTAAATCCGAAACTCCTAAACCCTACAGCAAACCCTGAACCCCTAAATCCTACACCCCTAAACCCTTATAAATCCTAAACCCCTATATTAATCCTGAATCCTACACCCCTAAACCCTTATAAATCCTAAACCCCTATATAAGCCCTAAATCCTAAACCACTAAACCCTAAATCCTAAACCACTATATAAGCCCTAAATCCTAAACCACTAAACCCTAAATCCTAAACCCCTATATAAGCCCTAAATCCTAAACCACTAAACCCTAAATCCTAAACCCCTATATAAGCCCTAAATCCTAAACCACTAAACCCTAAATCCTAAACCCCTATATAAGCCCTAAACCCTAAACCCCTAAACCCTAAATCCTAAACCTCTACACCCTTCATCCTAAATCCTCAACCAAACGAAACCCTTGGGGTCCAAGTACCCAATAACCATATACCTTAAGGACGAAATGAACCCTAAAAGGGTTTAAGGGTTTAGGGTTTAGGGTTTAGGGTTTAGGGTTTAGGGTTTAGGGTTTAAGGTTCATATACCATATAGGGATTCATAGTATATGGGTATAGGGCCCCTACTTCTAAGGGTCATTTGGTCCTCCAGGTACTCTCCGAAATCCTAACCTACATAACTACTATCCTAAAACCGAGTACCTGATTATCGGGTCCTTTGGACCCTTGGGGTTAAGGCCCCGGAATTAACCCAGAGGCCCCAAAGTAGTTCCTTTTTGGGATTACCTTATAGGGTTCTATCCCTAAACCCTAAACCCTAAACCCCAAAAAGGAACTACTTTGGTCCTTCGCGCTGGTCGGCGCCAAGCGCGCCGCGAATCGGAGCTCGGCCTGACTGAGGAGCAACGCCAGGCCTGGCTTCGGCAGGTTGGTGGGATGTGCTTTAAGGGTTTCTTAAAGGGATCTATAGGGTTCCTTTAAGGGATCTATAGGGTTCCTTTAAGAGGGTTCCTTTAAGAGGGTTCCTTTAAGGGTTCCTTTAAGGGTCCGTTTAAGAGGGTTCCTTTAAGGGTTCCTTTAAGGGTTCCGGACAAGGGAACTCCAGAAAGTTGGAATATGGTTTCAGGGTAGGATACCCTATAATTTACCATAAAAGGTTTAGGATAATCATATTCCAACTTTCTGGCATTTACTTTAACCCAGAGGGCCCAGGTACCCAAATAGTACGGTTTCAAGCTCCAAAAACTGTTCAGAGCATGGGTTTTAGTACCTGAAACCCAACTATTCGGGTACTTGGACCCTGTGGGAAGGGTTCCTTGAAGAGGGTTCTATAAGGGTTTAGGGTTTGGGGGTTTAGGGTTTGAGGTTCAGGGTTTGGGGGGTTTAGAGTTTAGGGGTGTAAGGGTTGAGGGTTTAGGTGCCCTCAGCGGGTTTGCTTGGGGCATGTACTGCCAATGTTATGATTATGGATGTGTGGCTCGGGTTTGTATGGCGTTGAAACCCCAAACCACCAAACCCTAAACCCTGAACCCCTAAACCTCTGAACCCCTTAACCCTTAGCCCTGAACCCCTAAAACCCGCAAACCCTGAACCAACAAACCGAAAGCCTCAACCCCCAGTCTCTAGGTCTCTTCACGGGAGCCTCGAAACTCAGCACCCCTCCAAACCTAGTTCATGGTTGGGATAGTATCAAACATGTAGATGTTTATTCCTTATTGGCTTTAAGTACCAAAAAGAAGTTGAAAAATGTTACCCGACGATGAGGAAAAACAATCAAGCTTTCAAAGCATTACACCTTCGAAACCCGCCCTACTGCAGGGTGGCCAACTGTTTTGACACCTGAAGCACTTCGTTTAAGCCTAAACCCTTGCAGAGAACCTATGATCCGCGAACCATGAGCCCTAGCCGGAAGAATTGAAGCCCTGGGTTCAATCTCTTTACAATTTCAGAACTTAAGTTATGAGGCCTTTAAGCGCGGTGCGGTAAAGCCCAAACCCCAAATCCTGAGCCCTAAGCCCACCTCCTGGGTGAATGCAGATGGATTCACACGGGCTCCAGGTTGCCCTAAGCTGAGCTTTAGGCTGGGTAGTTGTCACAAATTATGGTCCTTTTTTCGGTATATATCCTTGGGTGCAGGGATTGCGGTTTAGGTTTCAGGGTTGAAGCAGTTTTACAAGCGGTTTATATACAGCTGAGCGCTCTATGGGGGTTACCGGGTTCACAAGACGTTTGCCGTGCACGGAGACCGTTGAAAGCTCTAAGGCGCAAAGGCCTAAAGGGAACTCCAGAAAGTTGGAATATGGTTTCAGGGTAGGATACCCTATAATTTACCATAAAGGGTTCAGGATAATCATATTCCAACTTTCTGGCTTTTACTATAAAAGGGGTTCATGTGCAGTGTCCTATGGGGTCTGGTGGTTGGGGTTAGCAGATATGTCGTCAGTAATTAATACCCAGACCCCCGGGAGGATCCAAAAAGTAGATCCCTTAATAGGGTTTCCTATAAAGTACCCTTAGTAGTATAGGGCCCCAAACTACGGGATCTACTTTCTAGATCCTCCCGGGGGTCTGGGTAAGTGCCACAGAGTGTAAGAGGCTCATGTCCAGCCCCCCAAACCTTCACCCTGACTCAGGGTCCAAATCAACAATCACTATGTGCGACATACCCTGAGGGTCCATGTACCCATATAGCATATACTTTGGGCCCAATGTATCAAAATAGGGAGTACTTTCAGGCCAATGTATATACTATATGAGTACATGGACCCTTAGGGATAGATCCAGGTACTTATACCCCCAAGCCCCCACGCCCAAAGTGGCCAAAGGCCGAAGAACTTCTGCTACAGTTTCGGATTTAGGGCTTACCTTACGCTGCCATAGCCTCCTCTCTAGTTCAACGTACCTGTAGCGAAAAAGACCTGCCTTTCTAAGGGTTCCTTAGTATGGCTTCTATACAAAGTTCCTTACTATGGTTCCTATTTATATGCATATATACATTTATATATATATATACACACCTATATATGTGTGCCACAGGTAGGGTTGACCCGAGCCGCAGGAATTCTGCAGCCGCCGGCGCTGGCAGCCTGGCCGCCGCCAGCCGCTGGAGCGGCCTCGAGGGGCTGCTGCATTGGTGGAAAAAAGTAATGAGATTTACGATTTAGGGGTTTAGGGTTTAGGGTTAAGTGTTTAGGGTTTTGGGTTTAAAATTCTTTAAAGTTTAGGGTTTGGGGTTTAGGGTTCGGGGTTTAGGGTTTAGGGTACCAGGGTTTGGGGTACTATGGTTTAGGGGTCTCGGGGGCTGCTGCATTGGTGAAGAAAAGTAACCCACTTGGAAGGGCAGGGGACTTAGTAAGGGCTCTTAAAGGGCTCCTTAAAGGGATCTATAGGGTTCCTTAAAGGGGTCTATGGGGTTTGGGGTTTAGGGTCTACTTGGAAGGGCAGGGGACTTAGTAAGTAGGTTATAAGTAGGGTTATAATTGAGGTAACTCCATTTAGGGTACTTATAACTCTACTTATAACCTACTTACTAAGTCCCCTGCCCTTCCAAGTAACCCAGAGAGTCCAGGTACCCAAATAGTACGGCTTCAAGCTCCAAACACTGTTCAGAGCATGGATTTTAGGACCTGAAACCCTACTATTCGGGTATTTGGACCCTCTAGGTAATGGTGTTTACGGTTTAGGGTTTAGGGTACTGTGGTCTAGGGCTCAGGGTACTAGGGTTTAGGGGTTTAGAGTTTAGAGGTTTAGAGGGATTAGAGTGTTCAAGGGCTGAATAATTTGAATAGGGTTCCTTTAAAGGGTTTGCTGAAGGGGTCTACAAGGGATATATGATAGAGGGGCCTTAGTGATTGGAATAAGGTTTAGCCTATCAAAGACAATAAACAGGACCCCCCCAAGGCATACTATTGCTAGTTGTTCAGGCTACGATCGTGCTCGTTTTTGCTCGATGGGTTACGGGATGAAGTATGTATGCTATTAATTATGGTTTAGGGACTATCATTTTTCGGACTATCAAAAACTAAGTTGCCTCTTCTTGCTTGGGGTGCATTAGTTTTTTTGTTTAGGCTTTCTGTTCCAGTCTTCATGTTTTGGGTAGTTGTGGGTCGAATCCATGGGGATGTGAAGCTGACCCTCAACCGCTGTTGCTGCCGGCATGCTTGGAGAAGCGCCCCATGCGGTAGGAGGATGTGGCCGCGAACTGTGGCAGGCAACGAGAGCCAGGCTTGCCCTTAACCCTAAACCCTTAACCGAAAGCCAAGCGTGCCTTTAACCCTACACCCCCAAGCAAAAGCCAGGTTTGCCCTAAACCCTTAATACTCAACCCCAAGCCCGAAACCTCAAACCCCGAAGTTTCGGAGACTTGGAACAGGTCAAGGGCTTCAAAAGGTTCAAGATCACCTCGACCCAGACCCAGACCCCCGGGAGGATCCAAAAAGTAGATCCCTTAATGGGGGGTTCCTACAAAGTACCCTTAGTATAGGGCCCCGAATGAGGGGATCTACTTTCTAGATCCTCCCGGCGGGGCTCCGGGGAGGCCAAGACCTGAAACCAAGGAGTCGGCTCTGCCTTAAAGGCTCACGTGCCAGAAAACTCTTCTTAGAGTGCCCAGACTTTCCAACTATCCCTCAATTATGAGAGATACCTTAACTTATTTTGAGGTAGATTACCTTAACTTAATTTGAGGTGGATTCCTTACTTGAGGGATCTTGGAAGGCCTGGATTTATGCTGGTATATTAGGATGCCGTATCTACGGTGGCAACTCTTGAGACTTGTGCTCAGCTATCCTAACCCAAAAGTATTGCAGATTGCATGTAGCCCAACAGACCATTATCTTGTTCAGGCGACGTGTAAAGAACTCTAAAGAAACCATACTAGTAAGGAGCCCCCAAAAGGCAGGTCTCTCTTTAAACCGTAAACCGGGAACTCATCAAAACGTGAGTTGTGGAGAATCAAGACTGGTTGCTCTTATAAAAATTCCGCTACCGCGCTTGGAAAAGGCCTGGATACTGACATGGACTCCAAACCGTCCTAGACAAAAACCTAAACATTAAACCAACGTAAACCCTGAACGCTGATAAACAACCGCCTAAACCCTGAAGGTCTACAATGGGTTCTTCAGAAACACGACGTAGCATTCGGGGATTACGGCCCCTAGTAAGTTCAATCCCGAACGCACAAACTTAGCCTGCCGAGCCCCTAGAAACTCTTTATGAGGGTTAAAATAACAACCTACAAAGAGTTATGATAGGTTTAGGTGAACCCGCAACCCCCAACCCTAAGCCCCAAACCCTAAGCCCATTATTGGTCATAGTCCCCTGAACTTGACCCTAAGCCCCAAACCCTGAACCCCAAGCCCTAAGCCCTAAACCCTAAGCCCCAAACCCTAAGCCCTAAACCCTAAGCCCCAAAGCCTAAGTCCGTCATAGTCAGAGACTCCAATATTCCTTTTTTAAGGAATATTCCTTCAACTATAGTAGGATCCCGAATATGATTTAAGGAACATTCCTTAATTAAGGGATATTGGAGTCTCTACTTGGAAGGGCAGGGGACTTAGTAAGTAGGTTATAAGTAGAGTTATAAGTACCCTAAACGGAGTTACCCCAATTATAACCCTACTTATAACCTACTCACTAAGCCCCCTGCCCTTCCAAGTAGACCCTAAACCCTGAACCCCGTAGATCCCCTTTAAGGAACCCTAGAGATCCCTTTAAGGAGCCCTTTAAGAGCCCTTACTAAGCCCCCTAAAGCCCTTCCAAGTAGGTAGTCCGTCCGGGTGGCGTGATCCCTAAACCCTAATCCCCAAACCCTAAGCCCTAAACCCAAACCCTAATCCCCAAACCCTAAGCCCTAAACCCAAACCCTAATCCCCAAACCCTAAGCCCTAAACCCAAACCCTAATCCCCAAACCCTAAGCCCTAAACCCTAAACCCTAAACCCAAACCCTAATCCCCAAACCCTAAGCCCTAAACCCTAAGCCCCATAGCCTAAGTCCGTCCGGGTGGCGTGATCCCGCAGCTGCCAGCGGAAGCCCGAGATCCAGGGTCTCGCGAAGAGAACCTGGGGTTTCAGGGTTTCGAGGGATTTAGGGTTTAGGGTTTTAGGGTTTAGGGGTTTAGGGTTTAAGGATTTAGGGTTTCAGGGGCTTTAGGGTTTAGGGTTTAGGGGTTTAGGGGTTAGGGTTTTAGGGTTTAGGGGCTTTAGGGATTTAGGGTTTAGGGATTTAGGGTTTTAGGGTTTAGGGGTTTAGGGTTTTAAGGTTTTAGGGCTTTAGGGGTTTAGGGTTTAGGGATTTAGGGGTTTAGGGATTTAGGGGTTTAGGGATTTAGGGTTTAGGGTTTTAGGATATAGGGTTTAGGCTTTGAAGTCACTCAGGAAAAGTGTGGATGGTTGTCAAAATTAAGGGTCCTATTTCGGGTACCCTAAATATTAGGTGCCGTGTTATACTAAGGACCCAAAAAGGGACCATAATTTTGACAACCACCCATGTAAACTGTTCTTGCAGTGTGGTTCCTTGAAGGAACCGGTCGGAAAAGGCATGTATGAACTGGCATTGCAGAATGGCGCCTTGAAGGAACCGGTCGAAAAAAACACACATATAAACTTGTATTTCATAGCAATAGCTCCTTTATGCAACCGGTCGAAAAAAAAACACATGAGCTTGCATTTCATTAGAATAGCTCCTTTGAGGAACCGGTCCCTAAACCCTAAACCCTAAACCCCTAAACCCTAAACCCTAAACCCCTAAACCCTAAACCCTAAACCCTAAACCCTCAAAGTCTGGTGCTCCTGATCCCAGGAACGACGGGGTGGCCGATGCTGGTAAGATGGTGCCTTGGCTGGTTTAGGGTTTAGGGTTAAGGTTGAGGGTTTTAGGTGCCTTGGCTGGCTTTGGGGCATCTGATCTGGGCTGTTACTCATAAAGTGCTAGCAGGGAGTATGAGATTTCGGGCTTATGATGGTTCTTGTTTATAAGGGCTTACGGGCTTTATAAAGGCTTTTTCTGCCCTTGCGTGGGGTTTGGGACCAGGGGACTGGTAAGTAGGTGCCATGTGCAGTTAGAAGTACAATCATCGATCATACAAGGCCGTTTAGGGCTTAGGGTTTATAACGCTTCCGCCCTTAAACCCTCCTTCAGGGTATGGAACTCATTAGTTTAGAGTTCGGGGTTTAGAGTTTAAGGTTTAGGGCTTATAGTGACTCGGGCTTGTTCAGGGGCATAGTGTAGAGCTTAAGGTTTGGGATTCAACCCAGGATTTGTTTTAACCGAAATTATCAAGTTCTTTTTTGTGACGGCCATTGGGCTTTCTGGGGCTTAGACAAGCGAAGTTTCAGGTGTGTGAGGCTTCGGGGGTGCGGGGCTTTCGTGCTTCGTTGTCACGGTTTAGGGGTTTAGGGTCTAGGAGTTTAGGGTTTAGGCGTTTAGGGTTTAGGGTTTGGGGTTCAGGAGTTTAGGGTTTAGGAGTTTAGGGTTTGGGGTTTAGGAGTTTAGGGTTTACTGAGTTGCTCCGGCCGGCGGTGTCTATCGCAGGCTTTAGAGTTGAGGGGTTTACGAGATAAGTGTATCGCAAGGTCGACGTTTTGATCCATGCATCAAGGGCTTATGATTTCTTCTGCATCATGACAGACGGTTTAGGGTTCGGTTTGGGGTCACTATGTACTAAACCCTAAACCCCTAAACCGTTATGTACGATGCTTCTGTACTCAGAGTTCCGAAAGCACGATTCCTAGAAGCCCTGAACTTTCGAATCCCTGCTATGGGCTCAGGGGAGCCGAACCCAAAACCAAGCTGGTTTTCGGGCTGAGGGCCCGGGGTTTATAGGGTTCAGCGATTAGGTTAGGGCTTTAGGGTTTAAGCTTCAGGTTGTGTGGTTTGGGGGCTGAGGGTTCGGGATTTAGGGTTTAGTGGACGCTGTTAGGGTTTAGGGTGTTATGTGGTTTTATGGTGTGGTTGCTGTTGCGGGGGTGGGTTCAGGCTACTAGGATTCCAGGGCCCAGGGCTTAGCATGACACACACACACACACACACCTGGGCATAACCTCAGGCAAAGAAAAAAACAGCATGTTAGGGAATGGTGTGTTGGGGTTTTTGGCACATTAAAGTATAGGTGTGATGGGGTATCCGGATAACCATCAATTGACAAGCACTATACCCCAAACCCCTAAACCCTGAACCTTTCACCCCTATAACCTAAACCCAAAACCCTAAACCCGCCAACCCTATTCTGGCAGAGGATCAAGTAGTGCGTCAGCGCCTCCCAAGAACTTGCATCGTTCTCATCTGCAGCATCCACGAAAAGGATCACCTGGGCAAGATTTGTGAGCACAGGCTGTTTTTTTTGGAATATGTGGGGTGTAGGCGGTGTAGGTTTAAACATGTTTCTAGATCCTTACGGTATCAAATTCGAAGGATTTCTGTAGGGCTTGTAAAGCCCTGTGCAGTTTTACCTTGTCGGCTTTGTAGAAAGGGCGATGACAAGACCGTGGTGTTTTATCAGGGTTTAGGCATTACCTGTATACAACACCCGAAAGCTGTCTTCTCCGGGGGTTACAACACAGAAGCCATGGTAGGGAACCCTAAAACAAGAGGTCTTTAGGCGCGGATGTTTCCGCTTGGTTTATACAACCCACTATCCCCTATCCCCTTTTCCAAAATGCCGCAACAGTACGATCCCAATGAGAATCCCTACTAAAGGAGGGGATTCCCATGACCCGGGGCCTACATTAGGCTGCAGGCGTCCTCCGGCTTTGGCGTTCCGCTTTGAGGTTTCAACATAAACACTAAGGTTAGGTATATAGCGTTATGATAACCTCTCAAAAACCCTACACCATATGATAGTCTCTGCTGGCATCCACAGCTTGATGAACTGTCATCGAAAAGTAGCCTGGAGCAGCCCTCTAGTTTAAGTTCTATCCCTAGAACCCTAACCCCTAGACCCCTATGCCTCAGCTCACCCCCCTCCCGATGTTGATCTCCGGATCCCCAGCTAAGCCCCGACACCGGGACAGCACAGAAAAATGACACATAGACTCGAATCCGAATCCTAATCTCGAGCACCCTAAGGTAGGGGCGTGTAGAATTGGATTAAGGTTTTGGGCCCCTTTATAGCCACATCATAATAGCGAACAATTGGGCTTCTATACTTATACTAAGCCCATATAACAAACAAAGACGCGGAGACAACGTACAAGCAGAGAACAACACCACACACCAAAAAACACAATGTTAACACATCGCAACAAAACGCAACAGCAACACAGCATGAAACAACAAAAATACAGAACTCATGAACCATAAACCCTAAACATCAACCCTCAACCCTAAACCCGAAACTCTAAACCCTACCACCCTAAACTCTAAACCCTAAAATCTGAAACTCTAAACCCTACACCCTAAACTCTAAACCCTCAAATCTAAACTCTAAACCTGGAGGGCCTACTAAGACCCCGGCCCTTCGACTGTAGAGCGCCTGGGGACAAAGGAAGCTGAGCTACTTAGGGTTTAGGGCTTAGGGTTTAGGGTTCAGGAACTCGGGTTTAGGGCCTAGGTTTGAGGGCCTATAGGGTTTCGGGTGTAGGATTTAGGGCTCAGGGTTTTAGGGGTTTAGGGTTTTAGGGCTTAGGGCGCAGGGCTTAGGACTCAGGGGCTACCTTTGAAAAGGAAGGTGTCTTTCTTGCAGCTGCTTTTTGGAGGGGCTGAGGTGGACGGGGTGCGGATTAGAGTTTTGGGTTCAATGATTGCTTTTAAGAGAGCGGCGCAGAGTTTAGGGCTTGCAGCACTAGGACTACGAGGATGACGATTTGGGACTTTCGGGGAGCTCGTGGGTGTTACAGGACAGTTGTACAGCCTCACACGGTTCCAAGAGGATCATTAGAGATCTAACCCTACTGAACCCTAAACCCTAAACCCCTAAACTCTAGGGCTCAGAGGGCTGTGGAAGGTTTGACGGTTATGTATGGGCCTCCTTGTGGTTCAAGAGGTATCGGGCTTTGAGGCACTGTTGATAAGGCCGTGTACAGGTGGGGGCTGCAGGATGTTAGGCCTTACAGTTATCGGATGGGTTTTGGGCTTCCGGAATTTGTTCTGCTGGGAAGGCAGAGGCGGGGCGATAATTGGGGTGTTGGGGCTGGCGCTTACGTATGGTTTAAGAATCTTTGGGTTTCAGGTTAGTCAGGATTGAGGGCACAAGTGGGGTTCAGTGCTTGAGGCCTATGGGCTCAATCTTATATGAGCCAAGGTCTCTTCAACTGTTGGGTACTGGGCTCTCTGGGAAACACCGTGCCTGCCAAAGGAGCGTGTAGGTGGTGTCATTCGGATAGCGCTTCTGTAGCACAGCCTGGCGTTCCAAGGAAAACCCGGACCGACCCCAGTTCCGAAACAAGGCTTCAAAGGCATGGGGCTGGGTGAGAAGGATAGACTTACTTGTCCAGTATCCTCCGGGAACCAAAGGTAAACCCTCGGAACTACATGTGGATTGCACTACCCCGCAAAGATTAAAGGTTAACTACACTACTACAAAGTCATAAGTAGAAGCAGATCCGACTTATGTGTGAGGTTCAGGGTGAACCCAGTCGCTGAGTCTGCTTGATACGTCCCTAAGTACCTACTATATTGGTACTTGGACCCTTTGGGTTAGGCATGGATTATAACCGGGATCTGAACTACGGTTGATGATATAAATCCTGCATTACCTTAAGGACCCTAAACTATGGGGAATTATGGTATATTCCTTATTATGGGTAATGCAGGATTAATATCATCAGCCGTATGAATCCGGGGTCTCCCGTGATGCTCCTAGGGTCCAAGGCTTCTGGCTTTGGTATCCGGCACTCTACAGTAAGTCTCCGAATCTCAGTTTGAAAGAAGTGTGGAAGAGCTTTGCGCTCAACTCTGAGTCAGAGCCATCTCAAGCTGACAATAGACTTTAGGGTTTAGAAGCCAGAAAGTTGGAACATCATTATCCCCATGCCCTTACAGTAGAAGCCAGAAAGTTGGAATATCATTATCGTAACCCCTTTAAGGTAAATTATAGGGGATCCTACCATTAATCCATATTCCAACTTTTTGGAGTTCCCTTTAAAGTAAAGTATAGGGAATCCTAGCACTAATCATGCTTAATCCATGTTCCAACTTTCGGGGTTCATTATACACCGGAGAAGGGCACATACCTGAAGCCCCTCCGCTTTGTCCGTAGAGGCTAGAGCGAGGCTACAAGCAGACATTGAAGTCGTAGATGTGCGAAGTACAATACTCCGAACGTTCAGACTATGTTCGTGGAAATCGACATCATATCATGATACCCTTAGACATTGACGGACGGTACTCTCACCAATAGCCTGGGTATTGAGGCATGAAATGCTGTTGATACAAAGCAACCGACCTGCAAATCCAGAGAAATACTACTGAACCCCCAACCCTAAAGAAAGTCTCAAGACTTCCCGCCCAGCGACATCCAGCACATCACCCTCCACGCAATAGCCACAGGAGTGGTAGATCGTGCTTACCTGCACAGAGACCCATTCGCACATCCCTGTTCCGAGAAGTGTAACTTGAAACATATGCAGGTCGATAGAAATAGCAATAATCAACCATAAACTACAATAGTAGTAGTGACAAGCAATATAATACGTGGCACAGTCCTTAAAAGCAGGGTTCTGTAGTATGTAGGCGGGTGCAAGCCGCGGTTGGGCTGGCTTCTGGGCTTGCCTAAAAGTCTGCTGAAACATCAACCCTACACAACAGATTCTGGCTTCCCAAACCCTAAAAACCCTCAACCCTAAGCTCGAAATCCTGATTCTTCCAAACTTCTGCGATCTAGACATCCGCAAAGATCCCATAGCAAATATGCAGACAAACCACGCAGCAAACCCTATAGCTTGTAACATGGACTTCATATCCCTGGTGTGCTAAGGGTTCTCAGGATAGGGATCCATGAAGGGTTAGGGTTGAGGGTTTAGGGGCTTTGGGTTTCGGGTTATTATCACGGGATGCGGCGTTAGAGGAACGATCATTGTGCTATCTGTGCTCGTGACGAACATGACGACAGTCAGCAGCTGAACCCTGGCAATAGACCCAAATGAGAACTGATAAGGCTACAGGATACCATGCCGTCAGTCGCCGGATCCGGATTGTCAACACTGCCCACACTTGCCCTTTCCCTCCCAACCCAAAAATAATGGCTTCTAGGAAGCCCGGGCACATCCTGGAGCTTACAGAACCCGAATGCCAAAGTCCACCAACCCCTAAACAGAAAGTGGCATAAGATTCAGATCAGCAGATCTTACTTAGCCGACTTTGCATTCAAGCGGCGATTTCCTGTGCCTGAAGGATGATGGGCAAGCAGCCTGGGCATAGAGTCTAGGTTTTTGTGTCGGTCGGGTAAGCTGTACGGGGGTTGGGGTTCGGGGTGTGTGTCTCAGTCTAGTGGCTTGGGCTTGGGGATTTAGGTCATTCGGCCGACGGGGTTGGGAATCGCGGTTTGAAGTTTCGAGTTGTGGTTTATGGGGTAGGGTTTTAAATTTAGAGCGGGCCAACAACGACAAGGTACCTCCTCCGGCAGCAATCAGCGTCTCCAGAACGAGCCGCCTCAAGTAGCAGTCAGTAGCAGGGCGGAAGCCAAGTCAAACAACGAACATTGTACGAATGTAGGTAGACAATGGATGACGCACTACAGGTACGTAAGTGCCAATATGACGATGACTAAAATAGGTACGTACATGTTACATATGCATATGCACGCATGTTCACGAATGGGCATTCACAAGCAAGAGTACTTAATACCACAGACAGATGCATTTATGCCCACACTATCGGGGCCTTAATAATTAGAATCGGGTTTTGGGGCCCATTATACTATGTTGATAACAAGGACTCGAAATCCCCAACAATGTATTGGTAATTATTTAGGCCCATACATACATGAATTGTCGTTTGATGACCGGAGCTTAGCCTGCGTCTGTCGGTGCTGGGGCCTTCCTGACTCTCCAATGCAATTCTCTCATAGTCTCTTTGGGGCTGTTCGGCCACCCAGTGTACTACATCAAAAACCAGTGTGACTTAAGTGGGAGCGATCAGTAACCGCTATATTCCACACAAACAATAACCCTAACAATCCTTGAGCCCTTAAACCCGAAACCGTCCACCCTAAACTGAGGGCGACCGTTTAAAAATCTCCCTCGGCTCACGCGAAAACTGTATATAGTTCTTCTTTGGCAAATCGAAGTAGACCGTAAACCCCCCAACCTAAACTGTGGAAGACCACATTTCTTGCAGACCGGAAGACCGGAGCAAGGTGGTCTTGCCACTTGCGGGCTTGCCCAAGACCTGACTTCCGGGTTCCCAGAGAGCCCAAAAAGCCACAGAAATAAAAGGTTAAACTTTCCGAGTCCTACTAAACTATACGAACCCAGAAAGTTTAAAGGTTAGGTATTATGGATCTAAGTTCCCAGAGAGCCCAAAACCCTTGAACTCAAGAGCACATCTTAAGATTCTAGGGCTTAGGGTTTAGGGGTTTAGGGGTTTAGAGATAGTAAGATAGGACTTGAAGGGGCTTCATGTACGCTTACGGATGTTTACGGCATATGGATTTCTGGGTGTAGAAATTTGCGGGTCTAGCAAAATTTAGAAGACCAACGCCTTCGGGCTACCAGACTCAAGCCCGCAGCCTGCTCGTTCCGATTCATCAAGTAATTAAGGAATATAGCTTACCATGAGGGTCCATGTACCCATATAGCCTATACTTTGGGCCCAATGTATCAACATAGGGAGTACTTTCAGGCCAATGTATATACTATATGAGTACATGGACCCTTAGGGTTAAATCATAATATGAGGCCCCCAATGATTCAAGGTAATTAAGGAATATACCTTGAGTTATTGGGGAATCAAGCAGGAGCTGCTGCAGGCACCCAGGAGGCTCAATCCATTCAATGGGCCATTCTTGGAGGGGCTTTAGGGGACTTAGTAAGGGCTCTGAAAGGGCTCCTTAAAGGGATCTCTAGGGTTCCTTAAAGGGGGTCTATAGGGTTCAGGGTTTAGGGTCTACTTGGAGGGGCTTTAGGGGACTTAGTAAGTAGGTTATAAGTAGGGTTATAATTGGGGTAATTCCATTTAGGGTGCTTATAACTCTACTTATAACCTACGTACTAAGTCCCCTGCCCTTCCAAGTTCGTGAGCAGAGTATACACTGGAATGATGTTCGGATGATGGCAAATTAGGGGTGTTGATACTTTTCGACTTTTCGACACCCGTCAACCTTCACCGCGACGTCCTATACCCTACACCATAAACCCTGAACCCTAAACCCCCTGAACCCTAAAACCTGAACCTTAAACCCTTAAAACTCTACCAAAGCACCTGCGGAAACCCTACAGGCTCGGAACCTCGAGCCGGTGGTGGGCCATGCGACGTTCCCCTCGTTGGTCATCGTCACTCAAAGGGGAAAAGGAGGGACCCTTAATGGGGACCCCTACCCAATAATGGGCTATATAATGGGTATAATAGCTATATTAAGGGTATATACCTAGGGGTCCTATTAAGGGTCCCTTCTTTTTGCCCTTGGAGACACATGTCCGATGACCGCCGACGCAGGTCTCGCTCGCACTGCGCCATGTCGCCAGAAAAGGCACGGCGTGACGCTTACCGCTTGCACGTCTTGCCTTGTCGTTTGCTTTGGACCGGTTGTTGAGCAGCTGCAAGAGCTTCTTTCAGCTCTAGCCACAGCAAAACAGTTTAAACTTTACGAACCCAGAAGTTTAAAGGTGTATTGGGGATCTAAGCAGGAGAAGCCTGCATGCTTAGGTTTAGCGCTTGGGGTTTTGGGTTTAGGATCCACCCAAGAAGGGAATCCTCGTAATGCTACACTTACACTGGCTCGAAAGTCTAAACCCCATACAGCCTGCACCCTAGATAAATCCTAAACCTGAGCCTACACTGAGCTTAGACCCCTAGCAAAAATTAGCATTTTGGCTGCTTCTTGGTGACATAAATGACTAAAAAATGAAAGCTAGTTCTAAGTACCCCTGAGAAGCCCCAAACCCTAAACGCTAAACCACGAAGAAGCCCTGAAGACCCTAAAACCCCTAAACCCTAAAGCCCTAAATCTAAGGCCCTAAACCCTAAACCCGAAGCCCGAAAGCCTAAACCCTAAAACCCCTAAACCCTAAAGCCCTAAATCTAAGGCCCTAAACCCTAAACCCGAAGCCCGAAAGCCTAAACCCTAAAACCCCTAAACCCTGAAGCCCTAAATCTAAGGCCCTAAACCCTAGACCCGAAGCCCGGAAGCCTAAACCCTAAAACCCCTAAACCCTGAAGCCCTAAATCTAAGGCCCTAAACCCTAGACCCGAAGCCCGGAAGCCTAAACCCTAAAACCCCTAAACCCTAAAGCCCTAAACCCGAAGCCCCAAACCCTAAATACACCCTTAGCCCGGAACCCTAAACCCTAAACCTACAGCCCTAAAGCCCTAAACCCCGAAATCAAGGCGGAGAGGCCAGAATGGCTCGCCGAGAGAAAGCCCCAGCCTCCCGCACCTTCGTTGAAGAAGAAATGAGGGTGTTTAGGTCTTTAGGGTTTAGGGTTTAAAGTTTAGGGTTTAGAATTTTTAAGTTTAGGGTTTAGAGTTTAGGGTTTAGGGCTTAAGGTGCTTAAGTTGTAAAGTTTTGGGCTTAGGAGTTTATGTGTATTGGGGTCACGGTCCTTGGGTCAAACTAAGGTATTTAAGTCTTGTGTATTAAGTTGTTGTGTGTTGTTAAAGTCTTTAGGGCTCCGCGGCTTTAGGTGAACTTCGTCTTATCACAAACCGCAAGGGTCCATGTACCTTTATCACTACTTGTCCGACTGCGAAGTAGGCTGTCTTTACGGTTTGTATACTTCGGCCTGAAAGGGGTTCTTGTACAGGTGCTTTCGAGCCATGAGTACACGTGTCGTTCAACACGAGGACTTTCAGGTGTTGTGGGAGCTGTGAGGGAGCATGTTACGAATTTCGCTGCCAGCTCTGGTGCCAACTACCCTAAAGCTACACAGTAGTTCTACTTTGGGGACTCATATATAGAATCCTAGAAGGCAGTCCCCAAAAAAGGAACTACTATGGAGCCTCTGGGTAGGGCGAGCCAGCAACGCAAAACTTCCACCGGGCGGAAGTGTTGCAACACCGCAGATACAGCAGCCGGGATTGTAAATCCGCCAACAATACCCGTCTAGACGCCAGGTGTAGAAGGTTCATACCCAGACCCCCGCACAAAATCCAGAAAGTCGATCCCCAAATCAGGGGGCCCTATGCTACTGTACTAAGGGTACTTTATAGGAACCCCATTCCCTCTCAATAAGGTCAATAAGGTCCCTTGTAAGACGAGCCATAAGCAGGCTTCGGAAGGGTCCCCTTTAAGGGGTCTCCCTGACACGACTCCGACTTGGGAGTTCAGAGCTCTAAGGTACTACTGCCCTGTCTGCTATGCTTCTTGACACAACAGCTGCTACTGAGGGCACGACTTTTCTTGCAACCCTGCACTCCCTAAGCTCATGAAATTTCTGTCTAAATCCTAGATATGCTCTGAACTCCCATACCCTAAACTCCCAAAGCCTGCACCCCGCGCAAACCTATCAGCCCTACCCTCCAGCCTAACCTGTTGGAACATCACCAACCCAAATCTATAGTAGAAGCCAAAAAGTTGGAACATTAGACTCCTCATGCCCTAAAGGTAAAGTATAAGGGATCCTAGCACTAATCCTCCTAAAGCCATGTTCCAACTTTCTGGCTTCTACTGTAAACCAACTCGAAACCAAAACTTGACAAAACATCTGCAGCTGACAACCCCGGATCCTCAAGGCGGAAAGGAAAAGCCCCGAACCAACACCGAAAACCACAACCATCATATCCTCTCAATGCCCGAAAGCCTAAATACTAAATTCAAACTACCTTATACGAAAAGACCTTATACTCTAAACTTTCCCTAAACCCTAAACCCTAAACCCTATATACTCTAAACTACCAATGTAATCAAACAAAGTCCACATCTCCCAAGACCTACAGCCTGCCGGCCGCAACGCTGCTGCCCTAAACCCTGCTATGACCCTAAACCCCTAAACCCTAAGCCCCAGTTCCCCCTTTGGCCTTGTGGGAAATGGGTAGAATGTCCCGCAGCAGCTGGTTCCAGGCCCTGCAAAGTCACAAGCCACAAGCATAGAACCCCGTTTAGGGCTTAGGGCTTAGAAGTTATACAGTTTTACGGTTTAGGGCATAGAACCCCAAAGTGCCCCAAGATGGCGCCCGTTCTGGTACTTGATAGCCGGTATGTGAGGTTTAGGGGTTTAGGGTTTAAGGTTTAGGGCTTAAATTCTATAGGGTTTAGGGTTGGTAATTAATGGCCGGTATGTGAAAATTGAATTGTAACTTGTGTCGGGCTTGGTTGGGCTTTCCAGGCCGTGGTTCAGGGTTTAGGCTTCAGGGTTTAGGGTTCAGGGTTTGCCGTAGAGTGGCGCCTAAGTGGAAGTATCTTGCGACAGTGTAATTTCGAGTGCGTCGTCCTCTGACGATTGGCTCTGCGGCCTGATTGTGGATGGCTCTTCCTTTTTTAACCCTCCCACCCGATGCCGTCTGAGGCAAACCTATTCCTTTTAGGGTTTAGCACCTCGACTCATTCTATGGTTTTCTCCATTTTCAACCGCACAACGGGGCAAGGCGGGCAGGGCAAACCAGGGCAGGGCAGCGCAGGGCAGGAGCAAGGCAGGGCAGGGCAGGCGGCCACGGAGGGTAAGTTCCTTTTCCGGTCCCAAACACCAAACATCCCCTAGTACAGCCACCAGACTTTCTGGAAGGTCCCATTGTGGGTGGGGGCCAAGCCTGGCCGAGAGGCCCCGAATCTAAGGTTTAGGGTATTGACTCTTAAAAGACCAGTACTGGTCCCGAAAAAGAACGTGTTCCGAGACCGGTCCCCGTGAAAAAGGCGGGCGAGCGCATTGGGTCGTTCTGCACCATCGAGGTCGAGGGGCTTAAGCGCCGCCCAACCACGGAAGTGGGTTTAGGGTTTAGGGCCGTTTAGGGGTTTAGGCTTTAGGGTTCAGGGTTTAGGGGTTCAGGGTTTAGGCGTTTCGGGTTTAGGGTTGAGGTAGGGCGTACCAATTGGCCCTACATCCTTGGGTTCAGGTACTCGGATAGTAAGGGTATGATTTGGGGTTGAGGTGGTGGGTAACAGTTTCGCACTTGAGCATGTGGAACTACCGGAACCCCAAACGACCTGCCTTTTCGAGCACAAAGGTAAGGAATTCATAATGAGGAACTTCGGATGACTGCTTCGACGGTTTCGGAGTTGCAGGGCAGTACGCTCAGGGGGGTAGAACCCTAAGCGCCAAACTGGCCAACAAGAGCATAGGGTTTATGGTTTTGTAACTCCCTAAGGGTCCATGTACCCATATAGCATATACTTTGGGCCCAATGTACCTATATAGGGGATACTTTAAGGCCAATGTCTATACTATACTATATATATATATATATATGCGTACATGCTGCTTCGAAATTCAGGCAACCTTGCGTAAAAAAACATACCACAGTAAGTCGAGAGAGCCTGCACCCAAAAACCCTGAAGCCTATAAGATCTAAACCATAAACCTCAAGCCCTCAAGCCTAAGGACCTACGCTGAAGCATGAACCCCCAAACCCGAACTCTAAACCCTGACGTCGGAACCCTAAAACCTAAGCCTCATCAACCAGGCAAGCACTAAACTTTAAGCCGTCTAAACTAAACCCTATACCCAACACCAAAACTCTCTACAGAATCCTTCTGCATCCCGATAGAGGCCCTTAAAAGGAATCTCAGAAGTTCACCGAAACCTATAATGATCCAGTATAGGAGCCCTCAAATCAAAGGGGAAAAGGAGGGACGCTTAATGGGGACCCCTACCCTATAATGGGCTATATGGTGGGTATCTAATAGCTGTATCAAGGGTATATACCTAGGGGTCCTTATTAAGGGTCCCTCCTTTTACCCTTGGCTTAAAGGAATCTGAAATCCCGGACCATACAGAAGCTAGGATGCCCAGTAGTACCCTTATTCCCTTTTTGTAGTCCTAGGTTCCTTATAAAGTTACCCAATACCAAAAAGAGAGGCCTTTTTATTCTTAGGTTACTGGGTATCCTAGTAAGTGTCCGAAATCCGAGGCCCCCGGCTGCTCATGTGGCTCGAGGGTCCTGGCATCCACGCCCTCAAGGTCGCTGTCGTCTGAATCCTCGAGATTAGGGGTTTAGGGGCTTATGGTTTAGGGTTTGGGGGTTTATGGTTTAGGGTTCAGGGGTTTAGGGTTTAGGGCATGTGTGTTTTAGGGTGTAGGGGTTTATAGTGTAGGGGTTTAGGGTGCGCGGTGAAGGGTCTGTACCGGTTTAGGGCCAGTAAGGGTTTAGTTCTTCTTTTTTGTCTGGAGCGTCGGGCTTGCTAAGAGCTTGTAGTCGGACCGTATACGTTTTAGTTGTTTGTTGGTTGGGTTCTTCAGAGTTGGCCGCTGGGGGAGGTTTACGGATTTGCAGCATTTCGGGGTTTCAGGGGTTCTAGGATCCCTCTGGTCCGAGATAGATTCGCCTAAGGGTCCCCGCAACACGTGGCCATGTACTTTATGCTCTAGTTCACAGACTAGTACTTACAGCAGATTTCATGATGAAAAAAAACCTTAGGAGGCATGTAGCAGCTATCGCGGTCTGGATTCTGATCGTGGTGGTGGGTTGCTTCCAAACAAGACTGCCAAGGAGTGCTACAGAAAAAGAGTTACTTCTTGATTCAGGGCCTTGACGATGACGGTAGAGCTGCTGAAGATGACGCTGGGGAGGAGAAGGAGAAGGCTTCTGAAGCTGATGATCTTGCTTCTCATGGTGATGGCGATGCTGATGGAAATTGGAAACAGACGCCGCAACAGTGGTCATGATGGGCAAACCAAATGAGATGGACAGCCATAATAATCATGACGATGCTGAACACTGTGATATCGGTGCAGACAACAATAATGGATGACGATTGCGAGGATGATGATGACGATGATGATGACGACGATGGTGAGAATGATGGCGAGGGTAAACAGAACAACATTGATGACAACGTCTTGACGATTCGGGCAATGCCATGCTGCTGCTGATGTTGATGGTGAAGAGCGTAGAAAAGCCACTGATTAAGACTAACATGGTGGTTACCACTAACATGACAACGATGTCGGTTCGCGCTGACGGCGATGTTGCCGGATTGGTAAGGGTGAGCACGTCATCTGGAAACACAGATGTCAGGACAAGGCCAGGCATATGGCAATGACGAACAAAAACGATGATCGGAAGGCTTCATGAGTAGTGTAAGCTGTATTAGTTTCATGACTCTGACAACTGCACATCGGCTGTTCATAATAATGCCGGCGGCTGGGATGGTGGTGCGCACCCCGAGGGTCCAAGTACCCAATACTCATATACTCTCCCAAATCCTAACCTAGATAACTGCTATCCTAAAGCCGAGTACCTTTTTACTTATTTGGTCCTTTGGACCCTTGGGGACATGTCCTGAAGCATCCTTTTGGAGAAGTCACGAACTAAACTCCCTCCAGTGGCCTGCGACGTATTGCCACTCTCTGCCGACTCCGATGAAGACTCCTGCACACAGCAACCTACTCTAGGGTCGCCGTGCGGACTAGCCCAAAGGGTCCTAGGTATTGTTATGGGGAATACATCCCCAAATCATAGTAGTAACTCTGGATATAGAAAAACTCATTCTCCTACATAGGGACGTTGGGCCCTTTAGGTAGTAAGGCAGCGGTATCACTAACCAAAGCCCTAGACCCTGAACTTTAAACCCTAAGCTCTAAATAGATGGTTTCTGGTTCCAAGTGGACCCTTAATGGGGACCCCTACCCTATAATGGGCTATATAATGGGTATATAATGGCTATATTAAGGGTATATTACCTAGGGGTCCTTATTAAGGGTCCCTCCTGTTCTACGAGGCCCCTAAACCCTAAAGCCGACATAGTCGGTTTAAGGTTTAGGGTTTAGGGGTTTAGGGGTTTAGGGTTTACATTCCCAGGAAGTTTGGAAACCACGACAAAAACCGAGGCTTCCCCGAAGTTAAAACCAAGGATGTATGGTATGTAGACATATGTACATGTATGTATACATATGTGCAATATGTATATGTGCATACGTGAACATGAGCAGCACTTAAGCATCATTGTAACAGCATCTGCGGGCGGAGTGGCTCTATGCATAACAGTGCACAGTAACAGTGCCATTGGCCAGGGTTGAATTAGTGGCTTGTAACGGTCCTAGCAATAAGACTTAGTACCAATGACCAAGCAGGGCAGACATCATGAGAGCAGCAGTCGCACTAGAAATGGCCAAACGCGAACCAGCTTTCTGCAACCTTACAGTGCACGGAACCTGCCGAGTCTTTCGGCTTATCAGTTGTAAGGGAAGCCGCCCATTCTTGCCTTACAACGGATGTATGTGGGATGGACTCAAACCGCGCATGCAAACTGGGCAGGCACAGTTGCAACCGCCCCTGGGTCATGCTTGGGTGTGGCCAGCGCTCTGCGCCTTCCTCTCCAGCCTCACTCCTGCACCCACACCCTGAAGTCATAAACCCTCCAGGTACCGGCTTCTACTTTAGGATTCGTGGTTTTTACGTTCAGGGTTTAGGGTGTAGGGAAAACTAAATCGTCGCACCCTAGACATCGACACCAGAATTCCAGCCTTGTCCTCCTGCTGCCCGCTGATCACGGCGAATGGCATTGCCAGTAAGTCGAGGCGTCGGCACTGGGATGCACTTGGAGGGGCAGGGGACTTAGTAAGTAGGTTATAAGTAGGGTTATAATTGGGATAACTCCATTTAAGGTACTTATAACTCTACTTATAACCTACTTACTAAGTCACCTGCCCTTCCAAGCATTGGGTTCTCACCATGCTTCGCTCGGCGCAGGAGTTGCTGTTCCTGCCTACGCCCACATACCATAACCTACTGTCTTGCAGGGCCCAACTGTAAACCAATCTCGAAACCTTCATAGGGATCCTTAGGGGTGTAGGGGGGGGGGGGGGGGGTAGGGGACTATATTTCCTTAAATAGGCCTTATTAGTCCTTATTATGGGCCTTAAGGCCCCCTACCCCCCCTCCCCCTACACCCCTAATGATCCCTATGAAACCTCAATGTCGTGCCGGGAGCTTACTGGCCTAGGCACCCTGGAGGGTTAGCTCCGAACCTGTCGGCAGAAACACCTATCTTGTTGGGGTTCCCTGTTTGGGTTTCGTGTTAACTGGGGATTCCCTATGCTAATTGTACGAAAAGAAGTTCTGCTTTGGGAGTACTATGTACCCCAAATATCTAAACTTTGAATCCAAGCCCCATCATACCCAACTTCCTCAGCATTCTTATTCTTACTGCCTGAAGGTACGAAGCGCATCTTGCCAAATGTGTATTCTATACTGAACTTAGAACCCTAGCAACAAATGTAATTTTAGCTGTTTCTTAGAAAATTTAATAACCAAAACTTAAAAGTAATTTCTAAGTACCCCTAAGTATTGTAGGGCTCTGGGATTTCCAAGCAGCTCCCCGGGGTTTGGGTTCGACGAGCATTGACTTCGCGCGCTTGGACGTCCCAGTCCAGGACTGCTAAATAATGCAGGATCCTGAACCCAAAGGGTCCAAAGTACCGATATAGTAGAATGTAGGGTTTCTTTTTTTTAGGAACTACTGTTATGATTTGGGGAAGTATTCCCCATAACAGTACATAGGACCCACTTGTAATGGCATTCCCTTGGTGGTCCTTGTTAAAATATTATAAGTCTAGTGAAAGGGATACCGAAGCCCTTTTTCTCTTCATTGAGGCTGCTGTATTATTCACGTCTCCATGTCAAGCCTTTTTCAAGAGCCCTGCAAACCTAAGACTGCAGATAGCCCAAACTAGGTACGATTTAGAGACTTTAGACCCCAAAGTAGGTACTATTTAGAGACTTTAAACCCCAAAGTAGGTACGATTTAGAGACTTTAGACCCCAAAGTAGGTACTATTTAAACCCCAAAGTAGGTTCTATTTAGAGACTTTAGACCCCAAAGTAGGTACGGTTTAGAGACTTTAGACCCAAAAGTAGGTACGATTTAGAGACTTTAAACCCCAAAGTAGGTACTATTTAGAGACTTTAGACCCCAAAGTAGGTACGATTTAGAGACTTTAGACCCCAAAGTAGGTACGATTTAGAGACTTTAGACCCCAAAGTAGGTACTATTTAGAGACTTTAGACCCCAAAGTAGGTACTATTTAGAGACTTTAGACCCCAAAGTAGGTACTATTTATAGACTTTAGACCCCAAAGTAGGTACTATTTGTATACTTGGAGCCTTAGGGCAATCACTGACTGACTGGTCCTCGCGTTGCTTCAGTTCGAGGCTGGCAGGTCTTCATGTCTGTTGAAGGAAGCACTTCTTACTACCCCAATAAGCCACAGAAATAAAAGGTTAAACTTTCCGATTCCTACTAAACTATACGAACCCAGGAAGTCTAAAGGTTTGGTATTGGGGATCTAAGTCATGTCTGTTGAAGGAAGCGCTTGCTTGCATGACTAGACACGCCATGAGCCCCCTAAGCCCTACACCCAGACCCCTAAGCTTCAACTGCCACATTGACGACCGCTTCCTATCTGAGGTGTCGGAATTATGCAGCCTTCTCGCACCATCACAACCTTCAGCCTTTGCCTGAGGCTCAAGCAGACCATCACATATATGTCTTAGAACGTATAACATATATGTCCTTCAAAGTATGGGCTAAGGCGACTGGCACCATGTGCCGAGCCAGGGCGCTGTGAGAGCATCGGGGATGTGGCTGCAGGACATCCAGAGGTCTTCACAGTACTTCGTTGCATGCCTGAGCGAGGAAGTGGGTAAGTTCCCAGAGTATCCACTCGGGCTGCACCTATCTATAAGCCCTGAACTTAAACTTGCGATTCAACGCCGCTGCCGGGCTGAAGAGTGCTACTTGTTGGGCTTGGACTTGAGTGCCAAACATTCATAGGATTAAAAAGCAACCTAAAACCCATGTGTTTGTTTAAACCTAAGTTTTTTTGGGTTCCCAAGACTGACATAGATCAACTCAAGCGTCCCCACAACCTGAAAACCAAAGTCTCTACCAGGACCCCCCCAAGTACACTTGAATGGGTCCTTAATGGCGGTACTTGGGGTACAGTAAAGGGATTATAGGTGTGTATATACATATATATATATATATATACAACCTGAAGCGACTGCACCCAAACGATGCGGCTCAACTAACGACTGAGTGCTGCTTGTTTTGATGCTCGCTGTCCCCCAAAATACCCTCTAAAGTATACAGTAATAATGCATGATCGAGCTGGTTATATAGTACAATATTCTGTCAGATAGTGCGATATAGCTTAGTTTTATACAACATACTATGATATTGTGGATACAATTGAGCACAGGTTAACATCGCATAATGCCGTTTCTTGTAGCGACATAATACATCGTGCCATCGTCACGGATAACAAGATAGTAGTGCAATATGGCTCAGTCTACTGTAATCAAGCATAGCAAGGTAAACTGTGGCATAATGAGGTTAAGATGGGTACAGTATGGTCTCCCCTAAAACCTAAACCCTAAATCCTGAACCTAAAACCCTAAACCCTGAACCTTCAACCCCAAACCTAACCCTATCCCTCCAAGGACCTCATAGTTAGGGCCCTAGACCCCTTAAGGACCCCATAATAAGGTCCCTGGAGGCATAGGGTAACAGTATAGTCCATTATCCCGCAGTCACGGTGCAAGTTGTATCTGTCCAACTTCAGCTTGGCTGGGGTGTGGTTCAACTCATTGAGACTCCTGGGCCGCAAAACTTGGAGGATCACTTGGAAGGGCAGGGGACTTAGTAAGGGCTCTTAACGGGCTCCTTAAAGGGATCTCTAGGGTTACTTAGAGGGATCTATGGGGTTTATTTAGGGTTTAGGGTCTACTTGGAGGATCATGGGACTTATTAAGTAGGGTTATAAGTACCTTACTTAGCTGGGGTTATAAGTGATTATAAGTAAGTTACCTTAATTATAATCCTAGTTGCTAAGTCCCATGACCCTTTAAGGACTTCTTCAAAGGTTCAGTCACCCAAAGGGTCCTACGGTTGATGATCTACATCCTGCATTACCTTAATGAGATTCTGGGCTATGGGGAAGTATAGTATGTTCCCTATAATGGATAATGCGGCATTATACCATCGACCGTAGGTACTGTTATGGGGGCTACTGTCCCAGATCTGAATCGCAATTCCTATGGCAGAAACCCTACATTCTACTATGTAGGCACTTAGGACCCTTTGGTTACGCATGCCTAAAGCCTCACCCCTTTGTAGGCGGTTTCGAGTTAAGGGTTTAGGGGTTTACGGTTTAGGGGTTTAGGGTTTAGGGGTTTAGGGGTTTAGGGTCGACATTACGGCAGGATTTCCGGGTCTACGGCTCAGCAAACTGCCCACTCCAAGCTGGTCATCGCCGCCAAGGTTCATCTTGATCGTCTTCCTGGGATGTGATCCACGGGAAACACGAAACTTGAAATTCGAGGCCCCTCAACCTAAACCCTTACCTATGGTTAGTAGGGAATGGAGGAATGGGGTACAAGTATAACTACTATTACTACCATTCTTCCATTCCCTAACCAAAGGTAAGAACCCCAAACCTTAAACCCTAAGCCTTTCAGGCATGAAGCCCTAAACCCGAAACCGAAATCCCAAACCTCAACAAGCCCTGAATCTTGAAGCAGAGACCCCAAACCCTGAAGCCCAGATCCCGGATCCTACCTCCCTACGGTAAAAGCCAGAAAGTTGGAATATGATTATCCTAACCCTTCTATGGTAAATTATGGGGTATCCTACCATGAAACCATATTCCAACTTTCTGGAGTTCCCCGTAAAGCCTTAGAGGAAAACTTTGGGCTAAGGGCTCACCTACTTGTCGGGTATCATGGGGACTAAGGGATCACCTTTGTGGTTATATAGGGATTATATAGGGACTACACCAAAAAAGGTGAAAGGTTACCTACTCGACTACTGGGTTTAGAGTTTAGGTTCAGGGCTTAGGGCCTAAACCCGCAACCCTAAGACTCCAAAGCGCCACAAATTTATAGACTCTGGACCCCAAGGTAGGTACTACTTGTATACCTGGAGCTCTAGGGGAAAGAGGCGATACCTGAGCCAAAATTGTGTGAGGAGTTGGGGCCGGTTATACTGAGATGTTGGACTTTGCCTTGGACTTGTTGTTTAATGAGCCCAAAACCATAAAGCCGTAAATCCACAATACCCTAGCAAGGTTGTTGTTTAATGAGTTCATAACTCTGAAGCCTATAATTCATCGTAAACTTGCACCAAGTTACGCTAACAAAGAAAACATGCCCTCGACCAGCCCTGAACCCTAAACCCTAAACCCTAAACCCTAAACCCTGAACCCTAAACCCTAAACCCTAAACCCTAAACCCTAAACCCTAAACCTTAAAAACGCCAGAAGCCGTAAGCCCCAGACCCCTAACCCTACAGGCCCTCAGCCCTAGACCCTAAAACTTCAACCATGCATTAGAAGCTGCCTCGGTTTAGGGTTTAGGGTTTGGGGTTTAGGGTTTAGGGTTTAGGGTTTGGGGTTTAGGGTTTAGGGTTTAGGGTTTGGGGTTTAGGGTTTAGGGGCCACCCTGTAATAGGGACCATAAGGATTATATAGGATTATATTAGGGCCATATTATATTCCTATTATACCACTATTACAGGGTGGGGGCAGCTTCTAAACCATGCACCCCAAGCCCCGAAGCCGTGGCAGGAGGCTGTCAAAACAAACAGGCTGTTTCGTGGATTCAAAGAGGTGTTAAACTGACGCCGATTATGGAGTTTCAGTAGGTTTCTATAAGGGCCCTGTGAGATGTCAGTTATGCTTCACGGTGTTGGGCTTGGGGAAGCGAGTGAATGCTCTAGCAAACGGGACACACAGATACGGCCCGAAACCCTAAACGTTAAACCGTTGCTCTAAAGCCCACTTGGGCCCGATTTGAACCATAACCCTGGACTTAGAAACCCTGCGTTATGTTGGGGTTCAGGGTTTCGGGTGTTAGGTGTAATCAGCATTGAAGGGCTAGCACTGATTGCCGTTGTGACTTTACTGGACGGACCAGAGGACTTGAAAAGCATGCTATAATGCTAATAACTTGTCTTCGCTGTAGCTGTAAGCAAGCAACTTGACTTGACAGAATCCTGGTCACACTTGTTGCACGTGATCTGTTGCTCGGAACTCTGGACTGTCGCGGCCTCCAACCCTGAACCCAACATTCTTGACGGTGTAGTGTCACGGAACCTGAACCCGAAATCAGAAACCCCGAATGCCTAATCCATGTTCATCCCTAGACCCAAACGCTTCCTTGATAGTTGGCCCCTGCACCACACATGCGAAAGCTGCAAAACTTACCCCTAAACTTCTAAACCCATTAAGTCTACTGTTTCCAGCCGGCGTCTTCTTGCCCTCACCACCAGTAATGCGGAGGTCGGCGACCCGAAGATCGTGCATGTTTCCGAAGCCGATGCCTTTGATCTGGATTTCTAGTCTTTCGGGTTTAGAGGTGTTTTGCTTGATTGATTGTGTCTGTTAGGGCCTTCCTAGAGGTTTGGGCCTTGCCAGTATAGTGATATACATATATATATATATATATATATAATATACATATCAACGACACTGACAAACTCATGGCGGATATCATCATCACCGTCATGGTGATGATGTTGATGAGACAATCCTGATCATTCTATACACTGTGTTTTGGAGGGCACCGGGTTGTTTTAAGCCGCTTGTGGGAATGGTAAAGGATTGCAATGCTGACTGGATCAATACCACTTCCACGAAGTCGATGCTGCTTCACGACTGGGGGGGGGGGGGAATCTGGAGTGCTTAAGAGAAACTTGAAGGGTACTCAAGCTTTTAGTTTGCATGAGTTGGGCAGAACCGGGCGTAAGGTACTGGCCTTATGGCAGACCTGCCAATTGAGCAGTAAAAGCTTTAGCGCTGCAAGGTAAGGTTTTAGGTTGTCGGCTTTGGACGGCTTGCAGTCATATCGGCTATAAACAGATCCATGGTCCAGCGACGGGGAGTGTGATGTTGATGAGGAAGACGTTGACGATGGTCCTGATGATGATGGTGGCGATGACGGTAATGAAGAGCTGATGGTAAAGAAGAAGATGGCGTCGGACAACACTGATTGCGACAACGGGACAATGCACTCCGACCACTATCACTGCCGACAGCTGTATGCTTGCTGTTGCGACACTGGCTGTCATCAACACACACCGAGTAAGTCGCGGCAGCAACGGTAACATGAATTCTTGCAGGTCTTAATTAGGCTGGGAAAACCTTATGGTGCCAAACATAGTTCATTCCTAGACTCCTAGACTCTACCGTAGCCCACGATCAACTACGGCTTTAAGACAAGCCCTAATCTAGTAGGCCGCTGAAGGTACTTGGAAGGGCAGGGGACTTAGTAAGTAGGTTATAAGTAGAGTTATAAGTACCCTAAATGGAGTTACCCCAATTATATCCCTACATATTACCTACTTACTAAGTCCCCTTCCTCTCCAAGTACAGCAACTTACCGGGCCGGGCCAAAGCAGTCGAGAAGCTTTTGACCATCGCCTCCATCCAGCCCCCATTGACAAAAATGATGAGGAGCCTTGCATGCGGAAGTCTCATACCCAGGAAGCCCTACTATGGGACCCTGCATAGTGCGATCCTCAGCAGGATACCGTAGTTTTCTGAATGCCACCCCCGCATCCCGTGCCCAGGTGTGTCAGAGGCCACAGAAGCCCCAAACTTTTCCTACACCCGAATGGAATCCGAAACTATTCAGTCTGCCAAAAACCCCTGGCTCACAAACTTCCGTGCTGGACTGTCGACCATGAACCCCAAAACCTAAACACTTAAGGTTTGGGTTTAGGGTTTGAAGAGGGTCCATGTATTCTGGCAGATGTGGGGAAGGGGTTACGCAATTTAGGGCTCTAGCCTAAATCCTCAGCCTGAAAGAACCTGAACCCCGGGGCTGCGATTCGGGCGAAAACATCGAGAGACCCACGCAAGAAAGGCTACGGGAGTTTCGCGTTTGATGAAGGTCTAGAATATCAGGACCCACAGCTATGTTTTCGGGCGCGGTGGATCTTGTGAGGGCTTTGGCTCCAAGGGGCATGGCATAGAAGGTGGGTCACAGAGCTATCCGTTGATCAAGGTTATGCTGGTGACCTAGTCACGGAAGTAGAGTCAGGGAACCCAAACCCGGGGCGAGAACAAAGCCTAAAATCAACTCATGCCGTAAACCCTAAACATAAGCAAACATCTTCATGTGTGCCCAGACCCGACCAAAACCCTGAGCAATCGCTGTCCATAACTCTAAACTTAATCCAAAGCTGGCCCAAATGGCTTCATACTCGAAGCCAGTTGGCTGCCGAATGCATCCAATAAACGACACCATAACTACAGACTCTCTCTCTCTCTCTCTCTCTCTCTCTCTCTCTCTCGCTATGTATATACAGATATACAAATATATAGGTATATACATACATACATACATACATACATACACATAAACACAAACACATACCAAAAAGGCACATCGGAAACAATAGGATAGGGATATCCCATATAAGCCCTAATATAATGAAGCCCAATCAGGTAGGGATATCCCTATAAAATGCTTATGCTTATGTGCTTTTTGGGGTCCATGAATATACAGATGTAGTCTCTCAATGACTCTCGAAGATGCCAAGGGACTGGGTCTCCGCATATCGAAAGACGCCCGCGAGCCTCAATGTCGACATCTCGGCCTACTGAGGGTCTTGGGGTGGTTTACCCCAAGGGTCCTATGCACTGTTTTGGGGAACTTCCCCAAAACATAATACTGATTCCTAATATAGAAACCCTACATTCTACTATATCGGTACTTTGGACCCTTTGGGTTAGGGTTTAGGGTATCGGAAGGGTTGAAGCAAGGTGAAAGAAGTGTATGAGGTACACACACACACACAACTACATACAGCAGAAGCCAGAAAGTTGGCACAGCATTATACACCTTAATGCTCCTAGTCGAAACTCAAAAGGATCCTAGCACTGGTCATCCCTCGACTATGTAATGCTCCAACTTTCTCGGACTCCTAGGTTTTAGGGTTTACGATTCCAACCTTCTAGGGTTCACCGTATATGGATACAAAAAGGCATACATAGATACTGCTCTTGCGGTCATGCATGTGTACATGTGCAACTGTCCACATAGAGAAGCACTTCGAGTGGTGACAAAACATCAACGAAGTACTTTACGCAAGAATCCATCGTGTCCCTCCATTTTGAAGCCTTTTTCTATGCAACCCTCAAGGGTCCTGGGTACCGTTGCGGGGAATCCTTTCCCAAATCATCATATAGTAGGAGCCAGAAAGTTGGAACATCATTATCCCCATGCCCGTGCGGTAGAGTATAAGGGATGCTAGCACTAATCCTCCTAAAGCCATGTTCCAACTTTCTGACTTCTACTGTAGTGATTGTCATAATTTAATAGAAACACTTACGACCTTTGGCAATCTCGGGGTTCATACCCTGGACCCTAAACCCTGACCCTTAAACCTTAAGCCCTAAACCCTGTACCCTGAAACCTAAGACCTACACCCTAAACCCGAAATAAATAAAACCACCCCCTTTTCGTAAAGAAACTTAACATGACGAGAGAACCCTAAACCCTAAACAACATGTTCAAAACAACATCCTAAAGAACTTAAACACAATACCCTAAACCCTAAACAACTGAAGACAACACCCTAAAGCCAAGCTCGGGGCTCGTAGTTGCCAGGCTCCGGATCGAAAAAAACACTCTGCCGGGATCCGTCGAGCTGCACTTCATACATGCCTGCGGTTTGTGGACCCTTTTGGAGTTTAGGGGTACAGGGGTTGAGGGTTTAGGGTTTAGGCTAACGTTTAGCGCAAGGCAACCCTAGACCCCGTAAATGAAGTCAACTCACCGAGCTCCAGTACCCTCAGGCTCCATAGTGGTTTTTTTTTGGGATTTATATGTAGAACCCTACAAGGTAATCCCAAAAAGGAAATACTATGGAGCCTCTGGGTATCAGGTCTTCATTGCGTTGGTTATGCTGTCTGCACGGGAGTCACCGCTGCGCTTCAAGAAGATCTTGCCCATATTTCCACAAGTGGCCACTCCACCTCGAACTGGCACCCTGCAGCTGGCGACAATGAAGGTCCAGGTCATGATGAACCCAGAGATGCCAATACCTAGGCACCCATAGTTTAAAGTAAAAGTCAGTAAGTTGGAATATGATTATCCTAAACCCTTTATGGTAAATTACAAGGTATCCTACCCTGAAACCATATTCCAACTTTCTGGAGTTCCCTTTAAGGTCTATAACTCGGATCTCTGAGAGCCCAGAGTCATCACACGAAATTTCGTGATCCTCTGTCGTCTCCGAAGCCACAGACTGAGCAGGAACCCCCCAACAAGGGTTTACGGGTTTAGGGTTTAGGGTTTAGGGGTGATATACGGGTTTACGGGTTTAGGGGAATGAGTGGAGCCTTTATGGTTTTGAATAGTGGGTATTTAGGGTATATTAGAGGGTAGTTGGGGGGTCTAAGTAGGGTAATTGCTATTGGGCTTTAATCGTAGGACCCTAGCCCAAACAAGCCTAACTTGTCAGTTATGGTAGGATTGCATAAACACCAAGAAGTTAACGGTCACCCACTCAGCTACTAAGTAACAAAGAGACCCCAACACAAAGAGGGCAAAAACGGCACTAGTGGGAGGCCTGCCAGACTTCATGGCTCTAGGGCTTAACAGTTTAGGATATGGTCTTTTTTCAGGGCTTATAGGGCTTAAGGTTTAGGGGTTTATAGGGAAATCCAGAAAGTTGGAATATGGTTTCAGGGTAGGATACCTTATAATTTACCATCAAGGGTTTAGGATAACCATATTCCAACTTTCTGGCTTTTACTTTAGGGCTTTAGGGTTGATGAAAGGGCATTTCTATAAATTCCCACCCAGGCCTGCTTAGGCCGTACCCACCCTTTTTCTTAGGGTGCCTGGACCCAGAACGAAATCCGGCAGTGAATGACACCAACTCTGGATGGACAATGGGTGGAGCCATTGGAGAGTGGTCGAATTCAGCCCCTAGGGCTGAGCCAAGCCATTAGGCCCCTTGCGTGGCGCCCATATTCGCAGAGGGAATTCCCGCGAATCTCAAGAGATTAAAACACTAAACCCCACGACCAAAGCCCTTGGTGGTCATTTCCATTTGGCTCCCCTCAGAAAAGGCACCAGAGGGGCCCCCGAGCTGGCAGATTCCAGGGACCCGGGGGGCTCCTGGCAGGTCCTAGGGGGAGACCTGGCGTCTTCTCTGCCCTTCCCTGGCTTTGGGTGGTGTCTGCGTCCACTGCTCCGGGTGAGCTCTTGCCCGCTCTCGCCACCTGCCCCTGAGTCCCTCTATTTACGTCCTTCCTGGCCCCAACAGACAGACCAGGGGCAGGTGGGAATTGAGGGCGTAAGCGCTAAACCCTAAAAGGCAATGTTTTGGGTGGTAGCCTGTATATTCTCACAGCGGGTGGGAAAAGGTGAGGAACCAATATGTAATTGTTTGGTGGTGGAATCGCATTCGAACGCTAGACGTCGATATGCCGCCCCCCCACACCCCTGGGAGTGTTGGGGCGCCATCCTACATAGAAAATACTGCCGCTGCGCGGCGAGACGCCCTAAACCCTAAACCCCTAAACCCCTATAAACCCAACTTATAAAGGGAACTCCAGAAAGTTGGAATATGGATTAATGGTAGGATCCCCTATAATTTACCTTAAAGGGGTTACGATAATCATATTCCAACTTTCTGGCTTCTACCGTAAACTTTGGCAGGATCCGGAGTGAGAAGGGCTGGTCAGTCGGTAGGGCACTTCACTGGGCCTTCTGCATCCTTATCCCTTATGGCCTATGGCCCTCATAACAGAACCCTATGCTAATTCAGAAACCTACCATACTGGTACCTGGGCTTTCAAGGTAACCTTGAGGGCATTTCGTGGCTTCTACGTTTCGTCCTTTAGTCCTTTACAACACGCCCAAAGCTTTCTAAGAAACTATCACAAAGTTAATCAGCCAGCTGTCGTATTGACGCCAGGGACCTATCGTCGCACAGACATGATGCACAGGAAGCGAGGCCACCAATGATAAATCAACTTGCACGTGCACTTTGTTCGCGGCATCATTCCGATCGCATGCGCACGCCACCGAATTAGTCCCAAATCCAAACCCCGTGCGACGCAAACCTTGAACAACCTGGCCCGAAACCGCACATCGAAAAACCACAAGAGACAAAACCTTGACCTCAACCCTGAAACCCCAAAGCCGCGAGGGAAACCCTGAACCCAATTTCGCCGATGACAGGCCTGGATACTGCGGGGACAGCTCCAAGACGGTGCCGCAATGGTTTGGAACCACTTTCATTTTGTCAACCTCGGGAAAAAAGAGACGAGGAATTTACCTAATGTTCGGCGTTCAAATCTTTCAGAACGAAGCCCTCAACCCAACCCTAAACCCTGTACGCTAAGCTCTAACCCTGTGGACCCCTAGAATTCGAGATGAGGGTTCTTGGCCTACCTGAAGCGTCCTCTGGTGTTCTTTTTGGGGCCCTGACAATTATTATTGGCATGACTAATTTTTTCTGGTCTGACTAATTATTTTGGGACACAGAATCTGTGTACCCCTTTTTTTTGGGTTCGGGTGCCTTGTCTACAATCTTGGCTATAAACGACCTTAAAGCAGAAGGAGTAGACTTTGCAAGTGCTATGAAGGGTGTGAGCTATGGATTTGCTCTCGGTGGCTCTGGCATCGTAGATGGAGAACTAGCTGTCTATATGAAAGTATACAAACTTAACACTCGGTGATTGCAATCCCTACAACTCTCTCTCTGTGTAGGGAAAGAATTGGTATGTATGTGTCTGTTAGAGCCCTGAGCCCTGTATAAACCCTATAGTCCCAAATTTTAGTCTCTATATACCTATAGTCTCCATTGTAGTTTCTTTTTTTGGTATATGTCATATAGGATCCTATTATAGGTATATAACCCCAAAAAGGAAGTACAATGGAGACTATAGGTATATATAGACATTACGGTTTAAGACAGTCTTCGGAACCCGGCCTGTGCACTCCGAGAGTTCGCCTGGTGAGGTGTTGTACCCTCGATATATATCTATATATATATATATATACACACACACCTCTAGTCTCGATTGCAGTTCCACGTTTTGGTTTAAGAAAACATATATAATAAGGACCCTGAAATGTAGCTTCTAATAGGAACAACAACGAAGACTATAGGTGTGTGTGTATATATATATACCCTAAACCCCAAATACGCTGTACATATACACTTATACAACCTCGTATAGCTTTTATATATATATATATATATATGCTCTGAACCTCAACCCGTCTGCCTGCGGCCATCCTTTCTTCGGTGGCACAGAGGCTGCCGCTTGTTCGCAAGGTTGAACGACTTTGCTCGGGGGAAGGGAGGGGAGATATGCCCTATATAGTTATGTGTACACTAAATCCCTTGTTCTTCGTATACACCTTCCCACCCCAAAGCAATCGTTTTATAAAGAGCTACATGAGGTGCAGGCTTTAAGTCTTGCCTCCGCAGGAACCTCGAATGTACTCTCGTGGTTGCAGGCTTCCTACAGCATATTGCTATACTTATATATATAAATATATAGTCTCCATTGTGGTTCCCTTTCTGGGTTAACCAAAATGTCTATTATAAGATCCTAACCACAATACTGGTTAAGAAAAGGAACTGCAATGGAGACTATATATTTATATATGGGCTACATATGTAGAAGGACAAGGTAGAATGAAAGTCTGACAGTCCCAGGGCTGTGCTCTTTTCGCGATTACACGCCTTGGGTCTACAGAGGGCTTGGGTGTGGATATGGCTTGATTGTTATTGTTTCAAAAGTGGTTTGACTCATTCCTGTAAGTCCCTGCAGGCCTCCTGTACCGTAGCTGAATTCCCAACATGGCATGTTTCTGTGAACTGGGAAGTCTAGAATAATATCGTATGCACGGTTTTCCGGTGCATATAGATTCAGTTGCTTCAGAATTTGCTATTGGGTATGGGCCGGGATGTTGGTTTTCGGAAGGTGAGACTGGGCTGCTGTGCTTTTCTTCGTCAGCAGTGATGCACACAGGGTTTGGGGTTCAGGATTTATAGGGCAGGGTTTGGGGTTGAGGATTTATAGGGCTTATATAGGGTTTATATATATATAGGGTTTATACTGTTAAGGCCTTAGCAGGTTTATATATATAGGGGATATACATACATATATATATATATATGTACTTACAGGCTCCATTGTAGTTCCTCTTTGTAGATCATATATATATATATATATAGATATAGGACCCTAGAAGGTAATGCCAAAAAGAGAAACTACAGTGGAGCCAAAAGGAACTGCATAGAATTATTTGTTTCTAGAGGGTGGGTATGGTTATCGGGTTCAATCTCTCGTACCACGTATAAGCTACTTTTAGGGTTTAAACTTGCAGGAAGAAGCACGATCGCAAACGCCCTCCAGCTGTTCTGAAGTGACACGATGCATTCAGGGAGGACAGCCATTGGGATTACTTTATGGTGGTCAAGCCTTTCAGATCATTGAGGTGCACCCTAAACCCTAAACCCTAACCCCCAAACCCTAACCCCTAAACCCTAAACCCAAACCTTCGTCTTGAGGACGACGCTTTAGGCCCTACATTTGCAAACCCATGTCAGGTAAAGCTTGAGATATACTCGTACATATACATATAGACCATCCGGTCCAATGGCTTCCTTCAGCTCGGATGCCTCTCCTCCCTCTCACATGCTGCTGAGCGCGGATGACAACCTCGCTGCATTTCAGCTGGTCGAGGAACCTTTATATGCAAGAGGAGTAGAGATAAAGAGGGAGAAAGAGAGAGCGAGTGGGTGGGAGAGAGAAAGAGGTTTAGGAACACGACGACCGCATGTGAAGCATTCCAAGGAAATCTGCAACCACAAGGTGCTTAAGGCCAGGGTTCTTTTGGTCGAGGAGTTCGTCGTATTGCCGCCATCGGACAAGAAAGACAAGAAGAAGGAAAAGAAGAACAAGATCACGATCAGGTCGGAGACAATCAAGCAGAACAAAGCCTCTCGCTTGTGCCAATACCCGAGGTATCCAAATACATATACTATATGTACCTGTCCGCACCGACGGCGGCCTGAGCTCATATCGCTCATAGCTATACTCCTGGGTGCCTCATGAGTGCATTGGTTTTGTTGGTCAAGATTCCAGTAGTGATTTTAGTATGCACGAGTGTGTGCATGTATATGTACACACCTGTGTGTACATGTGTATATGTATATAGGTATGTGTATATATTGTTACTTCATGTGTGTAGATATCACCAATGCTCGCATGTGCAGACATGTGTCTTTATACATATACATATCTGTATGTTCTTATCACTGCTGTCTATAACGGCTTTGCTGCTGCACACACACATGCACATATACATGTATTGAGATATATAGGCATGTATGCAGACACAAATACATTACTTTACGCATGTGTACATGTGCATATGCATATTTATATGTATAAAGCAATATATACCGACAACTAAGTGCACGCATGCATACATTTCCGGTAACATGGCCCTGTGTGTACAGAGACACTTACACCCATACACACTATATATATATATATATATATATGTATATAGACACATGCACGCATATGTATGTATACGTATACATATATATATACATATGTATTCACAAATGTATATATACTTCTGTACATATGCATATATACAGTGTGTATACATATATATATATATGCACACATACCTATATACACCCTGTACATACATAAGTATGCTTCCACGTTTTGTATATACATATGTGTGTATATATACACATATACATATATATATATATGTATACAGGTAACAGCATAATCATGCAACGCAACCCTTCTGGAATGTCTAAGTTCGCATTATTTGTATGTGTGTGTCTGCACAGCCCAGGTTTTGCTCAGTGCAGTGATGCCGAGATTGATGTTCAATCCCAACCTCCTTGGGATTCCGACTCTTGAATGGGCACTGATGCAAGTCGCCGAGCGATGGAGTGTTTTTCGTATGCAAGAAACTGTGTGGAAATAGAAATGTGATTCAGTGATCATGTAAAGAATGACATGACAACTTCGAGGTTGATATGACCTTGAGCCAATGCAATGCGGCAGCTTGGGTGATTAAGAAGAGCCTGAACCTCCACAGTCGTTTGCAGGGCCGATCGAAGACCCGACGGGATGATGAAGTTCAGGAGGTCTCAGCATCGGGGCCGCATTGCATTCGTCTGAGTAAAGGCACAGTTGGGTTGTGGCAAACCTGGGAATGTTGGGGCTTCTATATCTTGCACAGCTGAGGAACTGTTCGATTGCATCATTAGTGGCAGCTTTCCTGTCGGTGTTCCGAATGACATAGCCCTCACAAAGGCATCGATAGGCAAGGCTCCGGTTCGCAAGAGATTGCGATTGAATACAAAGACAACCCCTATCATCCCGAGCCCAGCCACGACTCCAAGCCCAGCTACGACTCCAAGCCCAGCTACGAATACTTCTGGCACCTCGGAGACTGCGGCCCAAGACGTGACGGTGGCTGAGGTTAGTGTTGGTTGCTGTGAGCTTCCGGCAGAGGGTGAGGTTAGTGTTGCTGGCTGTGAGCTTCCGCCAGAAGACATGCCTGTTGACTGCGATGCAGAGGGTGAGGTTAGTGTTCCCGGCTGTGAGCTTCCGCCCGAAGACATGCCCGTCGACCGCAATGCAGAGGGTGAGGTTAGTGTTCCCGGCTCAGAGGCATTGGGACAGGTTCCTTCAGCCCTTTTTGAGGGCGACGGTGTACTTCGTATGGTGGACCTGGTGTCTGAGAGTGAGGAAGAGCAAGGTTCGAGAGATCAGGGTTCGACCGTGGAGCCGACTACGATTGCGCCGACGAAAGCAGATGTGGAAGCTGCACGGGCCAACTCGTCGCAGACTGTGCGAGGTGCAGAGATTGTTTTGTTATCGATTGGGATTGCATATCGTTCTAGCTGAAGCTCATGCATTCATGCAAGTTTGAAGATAGCCCATGCAATGTTGTGATGCGACAGATCGGCGAGCATCTTTGAAGCTGCAGCTGGCGAAGCTGAAGCTTCAGTTGAAGCACCGAGCAATGCGAGCGGCCATTGCTGGGGAGACACCTGTGCGGCATTGGTGCGAGAGACCTCATGTATACAGGTGAGCACAAGCAGAAATCTTATGATCCGTATAAGTCTAGAACCCTCAGTAGCCCTAAGCCCCAAACCTACGTATGCTGCTACATTGCTAGGAAACCCTTAACCCTAAGCCCGAAATCGACATAGACATGCATGCATGTGTACATATGTGTAAGTGTGTATTATAGAGCATTTGTGTGTAGTTATAGATGAATAGGGGTTGTATGTATAGACCTGTGTATATATATATATATATACATAAATATATAATTTGCATGTGTTTATATATATACACACATACATGTTTGGTCACGTGGGTTTATGTGTCTCGTGATTGAACGGTTTATGCAGGACGTAACCTTACATGTACATGTAGACACACACATATATATATGTATATAAGCACACACACACATACACATATATAGATATGTCCTGTATATCTGTACATGTACATATATATATATAGATATACATATGGTGTGTATATATATACATACGCTTACATGCACAGAATTCTTTCTCTCTCTACACACACAAACACACGCAGAGACATTACATGTGTCTTTTCATATATATATATATATATATATATATACATGCATGTACATATATATCTTCGTATATGTTGCAGAATCGTCGTTCGAGTTTGCACACCTATCGTCACACGATTATACAAGGCTTTCCCTTTGCATGAGTTTGTGAAATCATGCAGACCTGTACATTTCATGGTCTGTGAGACCTAGCCGTGCACAGCTCGGTGGTGTGTCTGCGGTTTGCATACATACAAGGCTGCCTTTGTCTCGCTGCACCTGTTCAGGAATATCCAGCCAGACGCCGTTGATACGCTTCCGTGGGATGGTGTGCCGGCAGTGCCCTACGTCTTGCAGCATGGATGCACTCTCAGGGTCACACTCAACGGGTACCCGTTCACGAAAGCATGTGATAGTCAGTGTGAACATGCATTCACAAGCAGGGCTCTTTTTATGTGTATATGTGAATATGCAGATATGTGTAAAGACATACATACATACATTACATTTATATATACACATGTATATATATATATATATACATATGTATATATATATATATATATATATACTTATATAGTCATAGATATGCACACATGTGCATACACAACTTGTATATATACACATAGGTTCAAACTTTCTTGTATGTATATATATATATATATGCATGTACGTGGATGCATGTATGTAGGTATATGTGCATATGTATATATATATATATATGTGTACTTGCATACAAATCAGTCAAAATACGGAAGCCACTTCTGCTCCACAAACAAGGCCCGAGGATTCCTTCATTGAGATTGGCGACAGCGACAACGAGGCCGAGAGCTATTGTTCCAGAAGTTATCTATATATATACATATGTACATATACATACGTATGTATATGTACATAGAGAATGGAACATTCCAAGTCCATGCGGGTACATGTATATGGTCATCTATATATATATATATATATATACATGTTGCTCGGCATTTCCAACCAGTGGCCTTGCAGGTCATGGGCGATGTTGCTCCCGCGAGCACCTCAACTGATGACGTTGGCCAGGGGCATATCGCCCTTTGTCCTGCACTGTGACATATACATATACATATATATATATATATGTATTGACATACAGACACACACACACACATATGTTTACACATATATATATATATACACATACATCTACTACACACATGTGTATATATGTGCTGCATGCGATGCATCTTCGGACACGCGAACACTTTCAGCAACATATCACGCATATCGTTTTGTTATATGTATATATATATATATATATACACTCACAGAACAATGCCGTGTTGCACATGTCGGTGGCTGTGTATATGTTGAGTGACCCATGTACCCACCTGCCCCACCAGCACCCACATACCCATCCACCCACCCACACACCCACCCACCCACTCACCCACACACCCACCCACCCACCCACCCACCCACACACACACACACCCACACACCCACACACCCACACACAGACACACACGCACACACACACACACACACACGCACACACACACACACACACACACACCCCGGACCCACACGCAGAAACACAGATTACATGTGCCGAGGTCGAGCCATTGGACTCGGGTGCCGAGCTCGAGCCGATTGGTGCTGGTGTTGCAAGCTTGGCTGCACCTGTGGCCACGGAAAGGGCTGCAGCAAAAGCTGTGCCTGCGGCTGCGACAGGGTTGGCGGGTGAGCCGTTGGATCCTGTCGTTGTCGCAAAATATGACAAGTTCTGGTCCAAGTATGTTTGCAAAGATGGTGATATTTGGAAGAATGTAGATGGACCCGAGGATGAGGAAAGCAAGGCCAAGCTGAGAAGCTTGGGCCTGTGGCGGCCAAACTTGGCTCTTGACCTTTCTAAGACCGGTGCTGAGGGCGAGGATGCAGGATTTTTGGCCAGGTCACAGCAGCGACTGTTGAAACAGAAGAAAACCGATGCAAACAAAGCTGCAGCTGACAAAGATGATGAGATGATGCCTGCAGTTTCAAGTGCTGCCGTTGCTAAGCCTAAGGCCAAGAGCAAATCCAAGGCTAAGGCTAAGGCAACGAGCAAAAGAAAAGCAGCTGCTGTCGGAGACCCCGTGATCGATGAGAAGGAGACGGATGCAATCGTGCCAGCTTCGGCCCCCGGCTCTGAGAAGGATCTGATTGACCAACTCGCAGTGGTCCCTTGCCCGGAGACGAAGCAGGATGATGAGAACTTGAAGCGGAAGTGTAAGAAGCGGAAGACCAAGAATGATCCCGACTACATTCCATCCTTCGCTGGAAGACCCCGACCTAAGAGAGAGAGAACAAGAGCTGTGTGGGAGGCCTTGAGGGATGCCTTTCACGCCATCATCCGCCCTCGCATTGTGCATCCTTCCTCGCACGAGGACATGAGTGCCTGCTTGATGTCATGGCTTCGTGTGTCGTGCTACAGTATACTTATTACAAGTGAGGTGAATACTGGTTTGAAGGCACTTGAGTGGCAGGCTCACATAGCCATCAGTAGCCTTCTCATGATTCTATATAGCTCAGTCCTCCGCCCTTCTCGACGACTCTCTCTCTCTCTCTCTGACACGCTGTCTCCCTCTCCGTCATTATCTTTCTCTTTTCGGCTTCCATATATATATATATATATATATATCCTTATGAAGACAAGCACCTGCTCCGGTGGGCATTTTCATACTTTAGTTATAATATATATATATATACACAAATATATATATATATATATATATATACAGGTTTTTCACCTCTGCCTCTTTCGCTTTCATCCCCCCCACACACACACACACACACGCACACACGCACGCACACACACACACACACACTCTCACTCTCACTCTCACTCTCTCTATCCATCTCGCTCTCTCTTTCATGGCTCAAAAAATGAACCAACGATGTGTGTGTGTGTGTGTGTGTAGGCATCGCTTATCATCATCCCGCCCTTCCTCCCTCCATCCCTCTGCCCAAGAATATGAACAGAAAAGGGTTCCTGTGTACGTATTTTTCTGAGAATATATATATATATATATATATGCAGTATATGGGTGTGGGGAGAGAGAGAGAGGTAGAGGTACGAACGAGAAACATGTTGCAATGCCTTGTGGCCTTTTGCCTCGGATGTGTTTGGCCGCTCTGCCATTTGCAAGTTTACACTGGTCATGTGCCCAGGGGACGACCGGATGCGAACATTGTTACCTGGAGACGTCACAGCTGGATGGCCAGCCAGCAGACGACTATAGTATATATATATATATATATACATACATAAAGATCGATATACGGAAGCACCACTCCGGTGGCCGCACTATATATATATATATATACATACATACATAAAGATCGATATACGGAAGCACCACTCCGGTGGCCGCACTATATATATATATATATACATATATATATATATATCCAAGTATAGAAAGGTGTTCTCTGAAACCAAATCCCTAAACCCTCAAGCCGGAATCCTCAACCCTAAACCTAGCCTTCTATGTGTTTTACTTATATGTAGATATTGTAAGGATGCACCCCCCCCCGGCGGTTACGAAATGGACCCTGAGTTGTATGGATACTGAATACTGAAGCATATATACAGACAGGTCTATACATCTGTATAGGGTATATATATATATATATATATACACCTATGAGCACCGCCCCGGCGGCCGCTATATATATATATATATATATAGAGAGAGATGTATGTATTGTGTGTGTGTGTGTTGTTCCGTGTGTGTGTGTGTGTTCCTTGAAGGCTGTGCCGCCTTCCTAAACCCTAAAGCTTGAAACCTGCAGATGCCGAAAACTGTCACGTGATACCAAGCAGCACGTTTTGTGTCTTATGGCCGCAAAGTGGAGAGTCGAAGCTACAGTGGAACGCAGGTCTTAAGTGCCTTGCTGTTGTTGCCTTTCAGGATCCCTTTTGGAAGAAGGCAAAGCCTGTCTTGGACATCATGATGGAGCCAGAGCCGAAGGATCTCATGAAGGCGGCCGGCGACGAAGCACACAGCTACCTGCTGGAGGTGGGGAGGACATTTTGTGGGGTCTGAGACATGCTGCTTTAACATCTGGCAGGTTGAGATGAAGTGATTGGCCGTGGTCTGCAATTCGTAGCTCAAGAGTTGGCGAGACATTGCATGTTGCTTGCAGCTTTGTACACTCGGTCAGAGTCGTAGCATATATACCCATATTCACACTATATAGTACATGCAGAAATATAATGTGTATGTATATACACACCAACACGTGTGTGTGTGTACGTATATATGGGGGATAGCTTTGTGTGTGTGTTCGGATTTGCAGAAGACAGGAAAGCAAGGGCTTTCCGTCCCGAAGCTTGTGTGCGAGCTTGATTTACGAGCAACTTTTGTGCTCACGTGTCTCGACGAAAGTACCAACTCGTGAGGCATGCACGCCTGGGCCACCAACTGCCGTCAGAGGTTTGCTGGGTTACAGCACATCGATACTCTACGCCGGCAGGCTCTCCTTGTGTATACTTGTGTATCTAAACCCTAAACCCTAAACCCCAAATCCTAAACCCTAAACCCTACTATATATCATATGTATATAGTTCTATATGTACAAACAAGTGTATAGTCTATGTGAAAAAAAATCCAACCCTAAGCCCTAAACCCTAAACCAGCTGAATCGTTGTCAGTTAATTATAAAGCACACCTCTAGCTCCAATGCAGGCAGGTGGCCGGCTTTTAGTATCTTTCTCGAGACGAAGGCATCCAATAGAGGAAGCCTCTTCTACACGCAGAGCAAGAATTTCGTGCGCCAAAAACGAGGAAGGTCTCTATAGCCTGGATCATACCCGAAAAGATACACACCATGTGTATATAAGAAATATGAGACATGCTGAACCCCTCACCACAAATCCTGTAGGACCCGGAACCCAAGCTGTATCCATATGTGTACATGTGTCATGATCTTGCCAAGGCCATGGGCGGCGATTGGAGTTGGCATGCCACGTGGCTCCCAAAGGCTTCTGGAAAGCCTTTCAAAGTCGAAGGACTCTAGCTGACCTGGCTTGTTTATACGTTCTTGCGATTCCTGAATGGTCTGTGGTGCAGACAGATCGTTGCCGGCCCGTTTCGTAGAGGTTTTGTGCTGCCTGCATCTGTTGCCATTTAGCAACTGGAGAGAGCGATTGGGATAGTCAAGCTCAGTTGAAACATAGACTGTTGTTGGCATCGGAACCGGAGCCCTGCATCATGCTCGCCTGGCTGCTTGCTCTATGCACGCTTGGAACATGCATGAGGCCGGGGGCTTTGCTGATCTATCCACGTTTGTATTTCTATGTACCCCTGCAACCACGCATTCACATAGGTGTATCTTGTCTATATCGTCTTAAGAACTACCTTCAAACATGTGTCACCTTGTAGAAGAAGAGAACCCTGCGAGTGCACGACAGCCATGTAGTATACAGGCACAGTTTCAAGTGTTGTGGCATCCTTTGTATGTAGAATTTTGCTTCAATCTTATGTTGCAGTTGCACATGCACGGTTGTGTATGCATGGAGAAGCATGCACACACGGGGGGTGTTGCGAGTGGATATACAGTGATGCACACAGGTGTGTGTATTCGTATGCCCGTACATATCTAGACTGTTGCACAAGAGGCAGTACCACATACATGCTGTGGTGAAAGGACATACTTGCACATGCCAACGTGTATTAGAAATACAAAGATCCATACAGACACACTGTGCCAGTATATTCGCAGACCTGTTCATGCACGCACACACACACACATGCACATATCTTTAGATGTATCTACATATATATATGTATGTATGTATATGTGTGTGTGTTTGTGGATATATAGATATATATGTATATATATATATATGTACACACACACAGAGACACATTGACGAGAATAGTCACCACACCTGCACATGGTCAGGTCCTCGAGCCGGAGGGACCATGGTGTGCATCGCAGACCGGAGGGTAGCTGGGCCAAAGTTACAAGTCTTGTTTGATGAAAGTAAGAAGATAAATAGTGGAGTTATGTCCGTGCCTGAAATGTCCTGGCAGGCTCTTGTGATGTGGCAGCTCCTCTGGACGTGCTCGTTGCGAGGCTGTGTTTGGTAAGGACATAGAGTCGCTGGGCAGAGACCTAAACCCCCAAAGACCAAAGCTTTGTAGAGACTCGTATTGTCAAATGTCGTTCTTATGGTCTTACTAAAGCCTGGAAGTTAGAGGCAGAAGGAGGGACCCAACAAGTGTCACAGACATGCCGCCTACACGTGCATGTACCTCTATATATATGTGCGGTTTGCATTCATGAGGGCAAAAGCTGTGTTACCCTTTTGTATGCACAGAAAAATTGAACTGTACGCTTCGCATCCGAGGGCTCGCTGAACCGATGCGGTGCGGAGATCGCAGGCACACGAGGCTTGTCTCGACGATTTGCTTTAGGTGAATTTCGTCTACAATGGTGGACTTGAGAATAGCCACGCTTGAGATTTAGTTTGTGGGGATTGTACACGGACAGGAACATCACATTGCCGGAGGGATACGTGCCCCGAGAAGGGCCCGGGGAGGGGTGCATGGGGAAGGGCTTGGGAGGTGTGTTTTGTTTTCCGGTCGCAGGGCTTCAGGGGGGGACCTATATATATATACATATGTGTATGTATGTCTTTGTATGCACCCACAGACATGACTTTTCATCGTACTTACATATATATATATACACACATAGACATGTGTTTGTAAGAATATTTCTTGTTGTTCCTAAACATGTACATATCCGTGTGTACATATGTATGTATATCTAGACACACACACACACACACACACGAAGCTGTTTTGCTTGCCAAGGCTTGTGGAAATCGTCCGGCTGCTCCTGGGCTACTTGCCGAGCAGAAGAAAGTGGCTGACTCTCCACGTAGACAGATTTGCTGCTGATATATCACAGGCCCTTCATAGGTCTTTGTCTGTATATGCCTCGTGTATGCATATAGCACTATATACACGAGATGTACAACCTGTCCTGCAATATCTACAAGGGGGTGTCAGTCTAGATTTACTCATGACAAGCAACAAGCCTGTCTGCTTGCCCCTCTCTGTAGAGATCGCTTTCTCGTGTATTCTCGTCTTCTGTTAGCCCTAAACCCCTAGCCCATTTCGCTATAATACCTCTAAACCCTTAACCCTGAACCCTACACCCAAACCTAAACCTTCATATAGACTGCTGTGGACGCTGGGGAGTTGCATGTGACTATTTCTGCGACAACGAACCCTCACCTCAGTTCCTTTTCCAGGCCCGCAGATACTGATGCAGTTGGTACTTCGGTCTCGTGCCCACTTGTAGACCTTGAAGTAAACATGTGTACTTCTCTCGATTGACCACATATACAGGTGTGTGTATATATATATATATATATATATATATATTTAAAGACACATGCATACATAGCACATTCATCATGTAACACCGCGAACCAACGTTTTCCACGGTGCACATCCACCTGGTACCCATGGATTCGCAGTCTGCATTGATGGAGCTCGAAGACTTGTTCACATACACCGATCCTTCTGGCTGTAAGCGAACGATTCGTTGCAATGCTGGCTGTGGCGACGAGCCCGGGACGACAAGCAAGAAATTCCCCAGGCTTGCCACAATTGTGGGGCTGTCTATGTAATTTGAAATTGACAGGAGGATTCTTGTCTCGGTATGTTGACTCACAATTGTATGACTGTGCCGCACACAAATAGCCCTGAACAGGACCTGCAGCTTCAGTTCCAGTCAGATCCCACGGAAGAAGAACGACCAGGGTCTATCGACCACAGTTTCCAGCATCCGTGCCTGATATGCAATTTGTCTCGGTTTTCCGTAATGCCGTAATGCGAAGGCACACAGCATATAGGTTAACAAAACGGGTCTTTTCTTTGTTGGTAAAATAAATTTTATTGACCGGCTCAGGGTTTGTGCCATGTGTATATATAACTATATATGCATATATATATACACATATATGTAGTGGGTTTAGGTTTGGAGGCTTTGGAGTTGTGGCCTTTCGGACTAGGTTCGGAGGGCTTTATTTAAGTTTTCAGGGTAGGGGGTTTTAAGGTTTAGGGCCTGAGCCTAGGAGATTTGGGGCTTTAGGAGTTTATTTATTTGGGGTTGTCGGTCTTCAATAGTTTACTTGGAGGGGCAGGGGACTTAGTAAGTAGGTTATAAGTCAAGTTATAAGTACCCTAAATGGAGTTAGCCCAATTATAACCCTACTTATAACCTTACTTACTAAGCCCCCGGCCCTTCCAAGTAGGGTCTTAGGCAAGCATCAACACGGTTTGAGACAAAATTGGAGCCCCTCCTTTTTCTGTTTGTAAAATAGTAGGTGTATGGGGTTTGGGGTTTTTGAGGGAATGAGATGAACGAGTATAAACCACACATATGCATCTATGTGTGCACGGTGAAAATATATATATATATATATATATATACATATGGATACGCATATATATATATATATATATATATATATTTATGAACATATATATATATATATATATTCATATTCACAGTGTGCCATTAAGGAGCCGAGAGTTGCCCGACTGAAGCAAATGCCCACTCTGAGCTGGGTGATGACTGGCACCGGTCGCTTCATCAGTCCATTTCTGTGAAGATCCTGCCACCAAATACTCTGACAGGGAAGTTGCTGAAACACTGTGTTTCCAAGGTAAATGAGCTTCGGTCAAGTTTGGGTGGGTTTGCTCTTTGTGTGTACAAAATTGGCATCACCTCGGATCTGAATCAGAGGTGGCAGGCTTACGAACGGCAAAATTTTACCAGGATGGTCTGCATCCATGCTAGCAACAACTTATCCGCTGTTGAACTTCTTGAGGCATCGCTGATCCTAGCATTTAGCCAAGAAAAGGAAGGCTCCCTCCGAAACATTAATTTGGGCGGAGAGGGCACCCGGAAAAAGGGTGGGGCGGCTAGGTTCGCCCCCCCGTATTTTGTTTATGTTGTTGCAGCCAATGCCTCGCAACGAATGTGCATTCTGGGTTGAATGTCTGTGTTCGAACACATGTATATGAGTAGCACACCTGTCTGGCATAATATTCTTGTACATCATCTCACAAGGTTCTAGGCCTGTGTTGTCCCTGCTCGCTTTTGTTGGGTTGTGACAGAGTGCATTCTGGTTGTCTTAGCAGCCGGAAGCCTGGATGCAATTAAATTCAGAGAGGCTCTGACTCTCCGGAGTGAGAAAAAGATCTACCATGTCCAGGTAGCAACGGAAGCTACAGACAACATGCTGTGAGTTTCGTAGGCTTCTCGTATCTTCCATGCTGCAGGTGTGCTCGGGTATACAGAAGCGGTGGTAGTGTAGTTCATGTCTCATCATGCACTCTTATGTATATATACTATATACTGTTGTTTTACTATAGACACACTTAGAGCTGTGAAGTACTGTCATGGAGCAGCCGGAATGGGCACCTATACTCGCCCTGCTGTCACGTGCTCAGTCTTATCTGGCTATCCTACGATGTTTCATCCAGGCTTTGGAAGGTCGATTGGATGCCGCATTCCTTCGTGTGGCAGGCCTAGATTATCGGCATCGGTCTTTCGAGGAAAGACAAAACAGACGGAACGATGAACTCGAATTGGGCTTGCAACGACTGGGTGCTGGGACGCTTGCTTTGTCACAAGCACAAGATGGTGAGATTGCCCGCTTGTCCTCGGACCTTGAATCTGCTCTAGGTCGATTGCATAGATTGGAGCAGGTCGTCGCCATATTATTTGGATGTCTCATGTTGCAGCTCATGCGATTGGCAGCACATTGCTGACACATCTGCTGGTTGCAAAAAACATTCGTCTAGCTGTGACTGGGGCTCAGGTGTCATCTCTAAGGAGGGGATATCAGCTGTATAAGCACCAGGCATCAGGCTCGATAGCAGTGTCATTTCGGATATATAGTTTTAAGTGGACACAAGAGTACTCCTTGCCAGCATGGCCCATTCTACGTGATGTAGATCTGTAATACCGCATGGCATCGTGTTAATTATAACTATATGAGTACACAATGTGTTGTAATTTATAATTGTATAATTAGGACTCTAGGGTTTACTTTCAGGTAGGGTTTATATAATAGGGTTTAGGGTATAGCGAACAAGTACACATGTTCAGTAGGTGGTCACCAGTACAAGTGCACGTATCTGCATATATTTATAGATAGAGAGGGAGAGCACATATATATATATATATATATACACACACATACGCATATATTCACATATATACATATATGTGTATATGTATATATATATATATATATATATATATATATGTAGATGTACATCTATATATTTATCTATATATATGTATATATATATATATATATATAGGTTTACACTATATATGCAGATGCATATCTATATATTTCTGTAAGTTGAATTCAGTATATGTACTAAATATGTATTGATTAGATGCACGATATTTTTATGGATACGTGAGCTTCTGTATATGTAATCATTTTCACTCTATGGCTCTGAAGCCAAGAAAACGGCCACGCAAGATCGCGATGGGAACCTAAAAAAAAGCGCTGGGAACCAAGAAAAAAACGCAAGACCACGCAAGATCACGCAAGATTTTCTGGGGCAGCTGGAAGTTCAAATCCAGAGGTTTGGCACATAAAATTCTTGTGTTTCGTTGGTTTCTTGTTTCCCATTCTTGTTTTCTTGTGCAAGCATATATAGACCAGGCTTGTGCACAAGATATTTCTTGTAGTGTTCTAGTCCATGAGCCACAAGAAACTGCTCCTTTGTGTACAAGATAGTTCTTGTCTGATACTCTGCTCGAATAGTCTTCGTAGATCCCAAAGCAAGTATATAGGTCCACTATATATGCACGATTCGATGCTTGTGTGGTTCTTCTGGTCCCATAAAATCGTGCAAAACCACAAGAAACTGCCTATATACATAGGTCGTGTACATGCACAAGATAAATCTTGTGTGGCTCTCTGGCCCAAAGTATCTCTCTCTCTCTATATATATATATATGTTTGTACATGTACATATATATATATATACAGACACAAGAAACTATATAAACATATATATACATATGGGTTCGCTAAGTGCACAAGATGTTTCCACTGTATATATATATATATATATATATATTGTATGTGCACAAGATATATCTTGTGTGGTTCTCTTGTTGAATCAAGTTCGTACTATAGAAGCCACAAGAAACTGTAATTGATTCCACTATATGCACAAGAAAAATCTTGTGTGTCTCTCTGGTTCAAAGTATATATATATATACACACACTATATTTCTATACATATATACAGAGACACAAGAAACTAAATTTATATATACATATATATATATATATTTATATAGGCCCCCTATGTGGGAAAGATATTTCCATTGTAGTTCTTTGTGTCCGATACTATTCGCAGTCCACCGTGTGTATATATATATACACATCAACAGGTTAATATGTGCACTGACACACACATGCAAGTTTCTAGTGTAATCCAACAGATGTAGATATCCTGGATAAAACATGTACACACTTGATATCTATATCTATATATCTATATATATACACACACATAGATCTGTTATCGCCGACCTCCTTCAGGATTCTGGTTTCCGACCTGAATACATATGAGTATAGGTATGTGTATGTACATACACCTTTCAAGAGCTCCTCAAGGATGGTTGTATATGATGTGTGACACACACACATACGTCACATACGTATATGTAACTGTATATATTTGTATATATGCACACATGACTATACGTCACATACGTATATGTAACTGTATATATTTGTATATATGCACACATGACTATACCTTTGCGAGCCAGGTCAACCACCCACTGCCAAGAGACCCCGTCGAGATGGTGGCATCGGTACGCCCGCCACAGCCGCTTGCTATGGGGTATGTGCTTGGTTTTGTATCCGACTCTTACTTCAGTAAGCTATATACTCTATAGACCCCAGACCCTGGCCTAATATATATATATATATATATATATATATATATGATACTGATACTAGTATATATATGGAGTTTCTATACTCTATATCCTAAGTACTGTCTGGATCCCTTGGGCAAATAACAGATCTTCAGGGACTCCACGAGTTATGTGTATATATTTACATGATGTGAAGCCGCATGTTGAGCTGTGGGATTCCTGTTCTCGCCGCAGATCTACGGCCGCAGGTTTGCGACGGAGCATTGTGTATGTGTACGCTGGCCTTCTGATTATACATGCACTATATATATATATATATATATATATATATATATATAGGTTTGTGCTCTGTGTACAATGGCTGCACACCTCGCCGGCCAAGCTGTCTCGACAGCTAACCCCTCGGGCCCACAGCCAGTGACGCCGCCACGCCAGGCGGTTTTTTTTTACACAAGTGGGGGGCATCAGAGTAGATGCAGGTATATTTTATCCATAAATATCCGCCAGTGTAGCTATAGTCACATTTGTATCACGTCGTTACTTGTGTACGCATACATGTGTGTGTATGTCTTCCCAGTATATAGAAACTGGTATATGTATGACACATGTATAGAGAGCATATATGTGTAGGTTCTCTGAATACATGAATGCATGTTCATATGCCTACATATATATATATACACATGCACACAATTACACCTTGAGTGTGTATCTACATATATAGATATATATATATATATATATATACATACATATATTATAATACTTGGTTCAATACAATTTACATGCCTCGCTCTCTGTGTATATAAACACATATACCTCTATACATATATGCATATACAGACTTTTCGTAAACCCACGCATAACTCTATGTCTGTCTCAATTCTATCCATAGAGGATATATGCTGCAGTTGAAATGGACAGGTGAAGGCCGAGTCGGTTGATGAGGACAACTTGGGTCTCAGCCCCGAGACGCTGTCTCTTCTTAAGGCCTTGCCGGACACCCCGAGCAGCACACAGATGAGGGATGAGATTGTGAGAGCAGCCCAGGAGCTACGCCGAGGACTGTTCTTCTTATGCGGAAATACGCACAGAAATCTACCACCTCCATGATATGCGACATACACACGCATAAACTCTTCGCACATATATATATATATATATATATATATGCATATAGTCATGTGTATGTGTATATATATATATATATATATATACACATATATAATTATATATATATATATGTATGAATTATATATCTACGTCAACATGTATACACCTAAAAATCTATCTGGTGCACATATATACACACTCATATCGATATGTGTTTGCACGTTTTGTGTTTGCATATGCACATATCATACACATATTGTAAAGTTATAGATATGAGCACAACACATGTTCCTAATTGTGGCATCAGGACAATCCGTGGTATCGAACGTTGCACCAGCTCCGGCCTCTGAGATCCCTCTTTCTGAGCAGCCTACTTTGCCTGCTAACCTCGGCGAAGGGTGGGGCAACGGTCTTGCACCCAGTGGGGGTGTCGAGACACCTGGCGGGATGACGACTCCGGCCCATGCCGTTACGAGGACTTGGTCCCAGCAGTCGATTGGATCGTCTGCGGCTCCAGGCCAGCCCTCTTCCCAGCCGGTGCTCCGGGACTTGAACAACCAGTTCAACGAGGCTGTTGATGAGCTGGAGATGAGCTTGGCTTTCCAGGTAGATCGTGAGGAATTGCAAGAGCAAGTGGAGGCCAAGGCTGTTCAGAAGAAGAAGCTGGAAGAGGAAGTGTATGCTTTGGAGCAGCTGCTTCAAAGCAGGAAGAAAAGACACGATGATGCGATTATGGAGATGGAGCGGGAGTACAACGAGAGTTGCAAGCGGCACAAGGTGGAAATGGTGAAAATGCAGCAGGAGCAGCAAGCGGCTTCGCAGGAAGTCCAGCGGCAGCAGAATTTGCTGCAGACCGCGAAGAAAGATGCCACAAAGGCACAGCTGCAGGACTTCTTCTAGAAGACTAAGGGGAGAGGTGAGTTTTGCATGCTTATACCTATATGTCCATATATATATATAAATAACACATATGATTTATACATACCCTCACATAGATATAGATATAGATATATATATATATATATATATATATATATGCATTATATTATAGACATATAGTTACCCACCTATGTGTTTATATGTAGCTATATATATATATATATATACATATACATATACGCACATATACATATATACATGCATACGCCGGCCTTAACCAACTGTCTATCTACCCATATCTATAGCTGTCTAGCTCTATATCTCTATCCGTATATAGATTATAATAGCCGCACATGGCAGGCATGTAGCTACAAGAAAGCTTTCATCAATCATTTTCCCCATATATCAGTACTACCAAATATCTGTGCATCCTGCCAGGACCGGATGAATTCTATATATATACATATCCTGCGAGGACAAGATGCTGCAGATGGGTGTCGCGAACAGGATGAAACAGGAGCCTCAGACACCCCTTCCACCCGCCTTGACACGGCCCAGTCTCGCAGCACCTCCCGTGTTCGCTGCAACCCTGCAAGCCCCTGCTGCCGTTCCGCCACCAGCCGGCATGCCAAACCATCCGCCTGCTGTACCTACCCCTCCCGCTAATCCAGGAGCCACCATGCCAAGCTTTCCGCCTGCTGTTCCTACCCCTCCCGGGGCTGCAGTGCAAAGCCATCCAGCTGTTGTGCCTACCCCTGCCGCTCCAGGAGCCAACATGCCAAGCTTTCTGCCTGCTGTACCTACCCTTCCGGGGGCTGCAGTCCCTCCGGCAGCCAGCATGCCAAGCCATCCGCCTGCTGTGCCTACTCCTCCCAATGCCTTTGCCGGAACGACGCCACTTCCCGCACAGCCCGTCGCCGACTTCAGGACAATGGGTGTCCCCATCTATGGCGGGCCAAACCCTCCCCCCAGCCCAGCCACGCCAGCCCACGCTGGTATGACAGTCCCTGCAAGCCAGCCAAGCCCGGCAACCACGCCAGGTCCGACCACACCCGGCCCGTCCCCGAGCCAGCTTCCCTCGCCGAACCAGAGCCCTTCCACGACACCGACCAAGCCGCACCACTTCGAGAAAGTGACATCCTCGACCCATCCCGCTGCATGGCAGTTCCTGTACCGCTTGGCTGGAACTTTGGACAAGTTCGGGAACAGGAAGTGCAGTGAGGACCATGCCGATTGATTGTGCATTCTGGCACGTGTCTGTGTACATGTGCACATGCTTTTGAACATAATATATATATATATATATATACATATATTATTTGTTTGTGTGTATGTATATATATATATATATATATGTCTTTATGTACACACGCACATCGCATACACATACTCTCTCTCGCACTCTCTCGCTCTCAATCTCGCCGAGTCCCTTTCAGTCGCTCCACATATATGAACTTAAAATGTTTGTTTGTACGTATGTTTTCCTTCAACCCGACTTTCCTCCCTCCCTCCCTCCCTCTGCCCTTTCACTCGCTATCTATATATATATATATATAGACACACACACACACACCACGCACACACACACACATATACACAAGCACACATGCCACACACACACACACACGCACAGGAGATGTGGAACCAGTGGCATGACACCAGCAAGCGGGACAAGCTCCTCCACGACTTTGTGCACCGATGCTGGAAGCCGACGGAGAGCCACTCCGACAACAAGGCTGGGTATTCGGTGCATCGGGAAATGGTTGGAGCTGTCAGCTTTGTTGGCACACGAGATTGTACTTGTAGACACACGCACACGTGTTTGTTTGGGTTTGGGTCAGTATATATATATATATACAGCCCATGCAGATGCACGGAATGTCTATATGTCAGTATATATACACATATATGTATATGATATGTCTATGCATCTGTATATATATATATATATGTGCATTGTTCATACACATACATATATGTATGTATATACATACACCTGTGTATAACTGTAGCCGCACTTAGAGCCTGGCCCGAACGTCACTATGATCAACTATGGGGTTTTCCTTTTAGTATATTTATATATATATATATATATATATATATATATATATATATATAGTATGAAGATATGTATATATACACGCATGAGCATGCACATATATATATATATATGTGCATGTATATAATTTATATATATATATATATGTGTGTGTGTGTGTGTGTAATCCAGCATGTATGCACATCCCTAGATGCACGACTCGCTCCGCCACCCTTTGGCCGTCGACGCCGATCGGTTTCCCTACTGTTTCTTGTATATGCCCATGCACACACAGGCATGCATCCTCATAACTATATATATATATATATATATGTGTGTGTGTGTACGTGTACACATATTCGGTATTGTCGACATATGTCGGTATCTATCTTTGTAATCTTTATATATATATACATAGATAGATAGGTGTAACCATAAACTGATATAACCTTGTATTTAGTCCGTGACGGTGGCACTAGGACATGTTCTTCTATATGTCATTTATCCCTGGCCTTATACATATATATATATGCATGCAAAAGTATCTATATATTCATGTACACACGTCTGTGTAAATATACATACATGTATATTGTTTACAGAAGTATATGCACATAAAGAACAGATAGTATGCACATTCGTGATCAGGTATGTATTACCATTGTAAAAGAAATCTGACCTATATCTATATGTATATATATATACACTTATATATGTATAGATAGATAGATAGATAGATAGAACTGCCTCCGCTGCAGAACCGGTTGGATGCGATCATCCGGCTTCGGCAGATTGCGAGCGAGTGGCGGTCGTGCTTGCAAGGCTATAGTTGGCATACAGAGGCCGAGATGGTGTCCGAGCTCAAGTGGCACGAAAGCAAGGTGAAGGGGGCCATACAGCACTGTACACAGAGACGTCTCACTAAAAAATGTTTATACTCTCAGGAGTTAAAATACTTAGTGCTTGTCTCCGACAAAGTGGAAAGCGGCTCGAGCCGGTCGAGGTCGCTCGAACAGGAAATGACGGAGGCCGGGGTCTGGGAAACCGACTTTTCGCTGGGTGACTTGATCAATCTGGACGACGAGTCGGAAGGCAAAAATTCGACGGAGACGAAGGAGACCAAGACCCGGATCCCAGAGTTTCCGGCTGTGGATGGCCCGGAATCTCTCCAGGAATTCCTAGGCCAATATAAAAAAGCCTGTTTGAACAAGAAAGCAGCCATGAAGGCTGCCAAGGAGAGGTTCCAGAAAGATGGCACCACGGGCCACGAGTTCCTGGATTAGTGAGTAAAAGTTTGCTTCACTTTGCAAATATCTATATATGCATCCAAACACATAAAAAGAAAGCCACAGGGACAGGGCGAGGTAGTGTGACTACATTTGTGTCTGAGAGAGGAAGAAACAGCCGACTCTATCTGTATTATAAGCCAGAGGATAGAACTTGGAATAATAAGTAGACACACTATATGTATAGGTCGTATCGAATCTCAAACAGAACCTAAAACGCTAGGACCGACTTGGGCGAGCTCGAGAAGGTGCACAGAGACTTGGCAGACTGGAAGTATCACCAAAACAGGTCTCTGGACCTGACCAGATGTGTGTGTGTGTGTGTGTATGTGTCTGTATACATCTCTGTCTGTCTTGAGTTTACCGGGCCTGTTTGCCTAGCTTGAGCATGTTGCTGTCCAAAACACTAAAACATCGACGCACACACACAGATGTATGTACATGTACATACATATACACACATACACTACTTTAAAAAATATACATGTATGTGCACATAACCGCCTTTGCTGCATATGCAAGTGTAGTATTTATAGTTATAGTTGCAGAGATGTGAATATATATATATATATATATATACATGTATGTGTGTGTATGCATATATATCTCTATATATATATATATATATGTATGTGTGTGTTAATGAATACAAGTGGGGGTGTGTTTCTGTGTATGCATGTGCATCTTTTTACAAGTTTGTATGTGTGTGTCACGTCTGCCTGCAGGTATGTATGCATGTTTATATGTATATTACATGTATAGATATATAGGTATTGGTATAGATGTATATATATTTATATGTATAGATGTACGCATATGTATATGTAGGTATGTGTACAGGCCTGTGTATGCTGGTATATGTCTATGGTATATTATATATATATGTATACTTCTATGTATGTCCATCTGAATAGAAGTATACGGATGTAGGCATGCTTATGTGTACACATACAAGACATATGTCTATGTATACATGTGTGTCTGTGTGTGTGTGTGTTCCCAGCACTCTTCGCATCGACGCAGCTCAGTGAGCAACCCGGAAATTTCTACAAGAGCCTCAACCCTTGGTCTTGCAGAGAGACAATGGACGGGCCTTCTAATTCGGAGCTGTGTCTGGAGTCCATTGGGTTTTGTGGGTTTAGGGCTTCTAGGTTGTCAGTTTACAAGGACTTATCACTGGTGGTTCAGAGTGTTTGAAACCTTCAGAATCTAAAGGTCTCGGCCTCTTGCTTTATTGCAGAACTCTAGCAACCTATGAGCCCCCCAAAAGCTCGAGTCGCCCGTACCTCGCAGATCATAATGCTCTACTTCCGGTAGCGATTTACCGACCGAACTGCTGTATAGGCTTCTGCGAAGCTAGGACCTTTAGCTTGTTAAAAGTACAGGACCACCGGTTCTCCGACCTGCATGGCTCTGTTATAAGGATGGGCTTTGGGATTTGGAATTGAGGTCCAGTAGTGTGTGTGCATGGGTATTATACATTCGCCGTACTACTCAAAGAGTAGTAGATCTCGAACTTGGGAGTTGCCAGCTGGCAAAAGAAACTGATGAACGAATCCTCGACTTCAATCCCTATATACATACAGGCTCCATAGTAATTCCTTTTTGGGGACTATCCTGTTGAATTCCTATACGAGCATCAAAAAAGAAATCACTATGGAGCCTGTATAGGTATCCTATAGTCTCCATTGTGGTTCCTTTTTTTTGTTTAACAAACTATATAATCATAGGATCCTATAAGGTAACCCCAAAAAGAAACTACAATGGAGACTATAGGTGTTCTATATAGAAACCCTAGACTCGAAACTCCCCGATCCTAAAACCCTAACCCGATAGTCTATATTTGCATATCTTAAACCCTCCAAAGCCGAGGCAACATCGCTGGTCTCTACCAGCAGCTTACTGGGCTGGAGGTCACCCCGAGCGGGAGTCAGCTGGGGCCCCGATGCGACGTCAAATCTCGGTCCTGCACGCACACGAGAGCGAGGGAATTTTCCGTGGCTTCAGCCTTGCTTTTTTGTTTGGGAGTATCGCCGCTGTTTCTGATGTACTGAGGAAGGCATCATATGGTGCCATCATCAACAGCATCCGCCTCCAGATACTTGCTTGAATCAATGAAGCTTACAATGGTTCAACACCTTCGTTCCCGAACCCAGGCCCTATGTAAGCTTTTGATAAGTATATATAGGTATGTGAATATATGCACACTGGATACGCATGTGCATAAAAGACCTGTATATAGACCCTCAACCCTAAACCCGTGAGATCCTTGTGGTTTAGCTGACTCTCGTGAAACTCTTCCTGTGAGCCTCCCTGCTTCTCAATCGCTGCAGTTGCCTGGACTTCGGCAACAAGTATTCCCTGGTGAAGTACCCTGGCTTTCGATGTATATGTGCATGTGGCATATGTCAGAGTGTGACATCTCTGAGACATGTGTACACGAAGTGTGCATTTCAGGCAACACCTCTATAAATACATAGAAATGCCTTGTTCAAGAATATCCATTACTCAGGATGCATTTCGCGAAGACGACCCCGAAGGCAAAGGCAAAAACGGCAGCAAAAGCGACGCCTTCGCCACCCCCTACTCCGTCTGTTGAGTGAGTCTGCTGTTCCTCAAGTTTTGCTTGCAATGCTGTGCGGCTCTTAGAAGATCGTTGGAGCAGTGGAGGGCTCCAGTGAAAGCCATAGCCCTAAACCTTGAATGTTAAGCCCCTTATAAACCCTAAACCCTGAAACCATATATATATATATATGTATATGCATATATCTTAGATCCCCCGCGACCCTATGTACAGGCTACTGTGGGAAACACAAAGTTGGATGAGTCCTTGTAGGAGCTATATAATATATATATATACACCCTAAAACCTATAAACCCTAAACCCGAATATACTGGCCCTAGGCATTCTGAGAGGTCCCCGACCCCACTGTCCTCGACACAGATCTGTCGGCTGCAGCATGCAGAGACAAACCTGGGCAATGCTTGCTGTCTTTAGCTCTGTTGGGTCAGAAGCGCCAGGAAGTGTTCCTGTTTCTAGAATTGGATAACTATATACTTCCTTCGTAAACCCTGTGTACCTACTCAAGACAATCCCCTTATCCTCTAGAACACCCTCCGGCCCTAAGGTTTCCCTACATATAGGCTAAATGCAGCAGGTTTATGTGTTCTTCGAGAAGTCTATACACCTGTACCCCTCCTGTAACTCTCCCGCATATCGCCGGTGGCCCAGCAGAGATGGACAGAGGTGCCCATACGCATCCGAAGTCAGTGTTATGTCGACACTGCACATTTTGCTTCAGTTGGTTGGGTGCATACGCTTGTGCATGAAAAAAGAGGCATATAGGGTCTGTATATATATATATATATAAATATTTAGGGTTTATATATACATATATATATATGTATATTCATACCCCAGGGATTCTTCAGTGCATCCTGACCAGACTCTCCACGCACGGAGATTTCAGTGTGGGCCTGCTGGACACAAGTCTGTGTACACGATGTGTGTGTGTGTGCATATGTTTCCACGCATTATAATGGGATCGAGAAGCATATCGCACACGTGTCCTTGTGCCCATGCGATGAGGAGGTGGCTTTCTTCAAGACCGCACACCGTACACGTGTGCCTGTCGAAAAAAAAGAGGTTTGGCTCCAGGTTGCTCTTGAGTGTATATAGCGGATGTCCCTGTAAACCCTCCCTACACTATATCTACAGTCTCCATTGTAGTTCCTTTTTGGGATTATTTTAAAGGATCCTATATATATATATATATGGTGAAACCTAGAAAAGGAACCACCATGGAGACTGTAGGTATAAACCCCTACACGAGAAATAAAAAACAAACCTTGCCCCACGCAGGAAGACACCTGGTGGTGGCGGCAGAAGACCCAGACGGCGACTCTTTGGGCCCTGTACTTGATACTTTCGTAGTACCTGTGTTGCAATAGGACCCGAAACCCTATATAAGACCACTATATCGATTGTACTGAAACTCAAAGGAGAAAAGGAGGGACCCTTAATGAGGACCCCTAGGTATATACCTTTATAATACAGCTATTATATACCCATTATATAGTCCCATTATAGGGTAGGGGTCCCCATTAAGGGTCCCTCCTTTTCCCCTTTGAGAAACCAACCCAGCAACTCGCAGCTCTAATGAAATTCCGACCTTCCCTCGACGCCCTCAGGAGTCTTTTGTCGGTCACGACAACCGTAATTTAGGGATTCAGGGTTTAGGATTTTGGGTTTAGGGTAGGTTGAGGGTTTAGGGTGGTGCGGAGAAAAAAACGAGATCCTGTGGAACCCTTTGCATCCCGAAATCCTGTTAAGCCCAAGAGATCCCATATCCAAGATCCTAGTCCTAACTCTATATTTATCCTTGATACCCCAAGACCTTAACCCGACACCAACTGGTTGGGGGAAGAACACCTGGAGCTGCAGCCCGCGACCTATGTTGTATCGCTGCATCCCAGAGTCAGCTATAACAGCTGAAAAGCCGAAGCAATTATAGAATTACCCCTAAACCCTAAACCCTATGTACAGGCGATGCAGCGAGCTCGGGATCTGTATATATAGGTGCGAAACCAGGAATTATATGGATCGATCTCCTATAGTCTCCATTGTACTTCTTCTTTTAGCAGAATACCTGATTAGTATCCTATAAGGTACCCCCCAAAAGGAACTACAATGGAGACTATAGGGATGCTGCAGCTCAGCCACTCCTAATGAAGCTGATGCTGGCATACTGTTGTGTGGTTGAAGCATTCTACTTTCGCCTCTGCAATACAAAGTGCAATACCATTTAACTCTGCTATGCTGCTATAGGCTTAGAATAGAAACCTACTGAGTTGATCCGGGTTGTAAGGTTTAAATCTAAGGGGTTTAGGGTTTTAGGGTTAGGACACGTAGGGTGTATACAGAGAATTAGAGAGAGAGAGAGAGAGAGAGAGAGAGAGAGAGAGAGTGTGCATGAGGTCAGACTTGTAGCATCCCGCTATCTAAGGCAACATCTGCCAAAGCGGCAGCCACACAAGCGGCGGGTGCCGCCAAGAATGCACAATGGACCCCGGACTATAGCGAGAAGCTTCGGCTACAGCAGTTAGGGTCGGGGAGAAAAAACGTGGCCAGAAACATGGCCAAACGGCTTCACCGCCTGGGGCTCATGCTGGATGTGCCCATTTCGTACGTCGACGCAACTTCGTCCTGGTGCAGGGGATCCGGGTTGAATAGGGCTTCCTATAAACCCTTGTAAACCCTAAACCTTGAATAGACATGAACACACGTGTGTATAGGGCTCAGGGTTTTATGTATATATATACATATATATATAGTATACATGTGTGCAGATTCATAGTGCAAACCTATATCTAGGTGATATGTGTTTGGGAAGTCCCTCCAAGGTACCGTATGTCAAGAAAGGGCTGTGCAAACATGCTATGCTCAGTGTAGTTGACTTCGCTGAGCATCTCGCCAACTCCGAACACTACGCTTACAAGCTATTGGCTGGGTGTGCCAAGAGGGAATCGTGCAGATGGAAGGCCGAATTTGCAAACTTTTGGCAACGGTTCGCGACCATTGAGCCGCATCATGATGTGTATAGACGCTACAGCCACTGCTTGGGGAACTGTTGCCCTATCTTTCTTCATGGGGATGAAGGCACGAGCTACGGCAAGAAGGGCCTTTTCCAGTTTTCGTGGTCCCCCGTTTTGAGTGCTGGTGCTTCTGGTCTGCACAGGTATTTCATGATTTCGCAGCTGTCGTACAAGTTCTACGCTAAGCTTGCTAAGGGCAACGCCAAGGGAAACCCAGCATTGGATGCCATCATGGCTGCAGGTTGCCACTCCTGTTTGGCCGCTTATGAAGTTGGGGTCAAGTGCGGCCAAGAACGCATCTACTTGGTCACCATCGGCCTGACAGGTGATCATGTGTTTCATGCGAGCCCTGGTCGTGCCAGTACATGTATTTATGTGCTGTATATATGTGCTGTATATACATGTATATATATACATACATATGCATATATATATATATATAGACATTTATACACATCTATGTAAGTGTAGTTGTATATATATATATATATACATGAATATATATATATATATATATATATATATATGTATATGTATATGTGTATGTATATATATATATGTATTTATATACTTGTGTGTGTGTGACTAATTATATATATCTATCATTCCATATATCTATAATTTCTTTACTGGGGAACCTCTAACTGTATTGTATGTATGTATATATGTATATGTATGTATCTGCTTATGCACACCTGTGTGTCAGCTTCTTGTACATTTCTGTAGATGCATGTGTTTGTACGTGTATATATATATATGTACATGTATACATGTATATACAAATATAAGTGTGTGTGTGTTCGTACCTATGTATAGCTATATATATATATATATACAGATAGATATATACATATAGGATATGCATTTCAACATTCATGTACGTGCACATCCACACATGCTTATATATATATATATGCACATACTACTGCACGGGTTGGTCGATATAGTAATGTATATATATATATATATATGTATGTATAGTATATATAGTTCTATATACACATGTATACACATGGCCAGTCCTGCAGCTGCAATGATGTGCCCCGATGCAAAGAGCTCTTCCTGTTCAGGAAGTCTAAGATTACAGCTTCATTAACCTACATACGCAAGTACGGAGTCTAAAACCCTAAACCCCAAAACCTAAACCTATTTAAACATATGCAAAAGTATATCTACACCTCGTTACTCCCGCTTCCTTCATGTTGGTACACCCCAATTGATCGTGTAAGGAAGGCCATGCATCTTGTACGCAACCACGTTTCAGCTGCCGTGTGCCCTCACTGCGAAGCTAACATCACGAACATTCCGTACGAAGACTGTTCGGCTGATGCTGCTTGGATTGCAACCATTGGCCGGTCGAACCCTTGGAGAGTGGAGCCAGTTTTTGGCATCCTGCCGGGTGGTGCCGATGTATCTTTTATAAGATTGGATACCTTCCATTTGGGCCCTTTGGGAGCTGGTCACTATGCGGCACCATCCATTCTATGTTTGCTAGTGGACGCCTTCGATCATTTCAAGCCACCGACTGGTCCCCACCGGGACATCGAGAACTGCCTTGCCTATGCCCACACGTTTTTTGAAAGCTTTTGTAAAGCGATGAAGCAGCCGCCAAGAGACTTGAAGGAATTTACAAAGGACAAACTACACTGGCCAAGCAAGGCCGCATATCCGATGTTAACCTGCAAAGCCAGCGACACGACATTGATGCTGTTGTGGTTGCAGGACTACTTGGAAAGCATTCCGCACGATTTGTCAGATCCTCTACTGAAGCTGTGCCTTGAGATACTTGTGGCTTACAATGGCTTTTGGCGACTCTTGTCGTTTGGCCGGTGTCTAGCATCGTTCCAATTGTCGGTTGCTACATATAGTAGCACGTCTGTCATGCTGTACGCAATTATAAGCCACAACCCCATATGTAAACCCCAAATCCAAGATACATTTATATAACCCTATACCTATATATATACTTCCCCATGCAGGTACACATCGGGTAGCCGCATCTGGTGGACTACGAGCGAAGCAACGCAAGGCCTAACACTGTTGACAACCTTCCTCCGATGCTACGCAGATGCTGCAAAGATGTGTCATCACAGGACCTTAATCGGAACTAGAATTGGATTCAGGGAACGCTGCCTGCCTCTTTCTTTTTAGGTAGGGTTTCATAGACTTTTAGTGCCTTGGGGGTTGTATGGTTTTGGGTAAGATTAGGGTTTATATACCTATACAGGCTCCATTGTATAGTTCCCTAGTGGCACTATATATATATATATACACCTTCTATAGGATCCTAAGTATATGATCTATATACATAAAGGAACTATATACAATGGAGCCTGTCGATAAGGCCTCAGGTTTGAGGGCTTTATGATTTAGAGAGTGCATATATATATATATATATATATATATATAGTGTTTATGAATGAAGGGCTGTAGGGTATATGTTTATATATATAGGTATGTGTACAAGCCCCAATACCCTCAGAGGATAAGGAAGCAATGTTTCCATGAGATGTACGGAGGGTTAGGGTTTATATATACTTGGAGTTTAAGCCATGCAAACCAAAACCCCGAACCCGGTATGTATGTATACATATATTAGAGAGAGAGGGAGAGAGACCCTATAAGACCCATATACGGACATAGTGTATATATATATATATATATATATCCTGCGGCCTTAAGAACCCAAACTCCCAGTAATAGCGAAGTCACAATCCCAGGAGTCTCTCTTACTTCAACCTGGTGCCTAAACTGCACTACTTGGCACATGTCGCCCTCCTTATATACAATGCACTCGACAAGGGAACCGACATTCTCAATCCTTCTGTTTGGGCGACCCCTATGGCAGAGGACTATGTTGGTAACGTATGCAGGATGTCTTTGAGTGTGCATCCATCCCAAGTGGCGAAAAGGGGTACTGAAAAGTACCTTGTGAAAGCTCGAAGGGAATGGATGAAAGTCATACGGACTACGCAGGGGACACCTTTGTAGCTAAATGCCTCATGTGTCGCTTCCGGCCTTCATCTGATGTGCGAGCCGAGCACGGTCATGGCCAGGTGCAAAACTCCGATCCGCTTTGAAGGCTTCTTTAATGGAGTGTTTGTTCATAAATACCTATAGTCTCCATTGTGGTTCCCTGATTAGTTTAACCAAATATGTAATTAGGATCCTATAAGGTATATAACCCCAACAAGGAACTACAATGGAGACTATAGGTAAGGGTATAGACAACAGGTAAGGTTTATATTATAGGTTTAGGGACTTTCAGAGTCTTTTCCAGTGCAGGGTTTATATAATGTGGTCCTCCAGGCACGTGTACGGGCTGGTGTATGTGCTGCGGGTATCTGCGGGTGACAAAGATTCTGAGTCGGAGCAGCAGGCTGTTGGAACCCATTTGAAGCCGCAAACCATCTATGTAAACGCCGAAGCAGTCAAGATTTACGATCACTCACGCTGCACACACTGTAACCACACATGATCTCGTTGCAGAACATAAATAGCAGCAACACGCCATACTTGCTAATATTATTTTTTTTGGTCTGACCAATTTTTTTTGTTATGACTAATTTTTTTTGGGTTCGGACCCGCACGCAAGAAAAGGAACCCCGCAGGAACCTTCAGGTAGGCTCATAGCAACAATAGAAGCCAGCGTTCCGGTGTGACAATCAGTCTGACAGGCTTGTGTAATGTCGGGCTCGGGACTTTAGTCTAGGCCTTTATGCTTTAAAAATAACGTAGATTTTATATGTTTGGGGTTTGAGGGTTTTAGCGTAGAGCTATGAACGTCCCGCTGTCTATAAACCTTAAACCATCAACCCCAAACCCCTAAATCCTAAAGCCTAAACCCCCGATGATCGTCTTGTCCACCCCATAGAGACCCTGAAATCTCAAAACCTCATCTCACTCGTCTATCAGAGCTGAGAAGTCGAAAAACAACAAAAAACACACACACACACACACACACGCACACACAACGTCCCCTTAAACCCTTAGCCCCAATCCCTAAATTTTGGGCCAGTTTAGGTAGCCCCTAAACCCTAAACCCTATAGATCCCTTTAAGGAGGCCGTTAAGAACCCCCCTTTAAGAACCGTTACCAAGTCCCCTGATCCAGGGTTTGGGGTCTAGGGGCGTAGGATTTTGCGATGAGCGACCAGCTTTGGGGCTGAACGTGGGCGACCGGTAAAGACTTCAGGTTTCGGAGGTACCTTAAACTACCAAACCCTACTTTTTTGTAGGTTCTTATTATAAACCCTAATCTGGAAAATATAGGGACCCTACAAAAAAGTAGGTTTTGGGAGGTACAGTAGAAGCCAGAAATTTGGAATATCATTATCGTAACCCCTTTAAGGTAAATTATAGGGGATCCTATCATTAATCCATATTCCAACTTGCTGGAGTTCCCTTTATGTCTTCGGGGCTGAGTACCCTAGCCCAAACAAGGTTGATCTTTCCATTATGGTAGGATTGATGATACAACCCCCGACAAGGTTAAAGGTTACCTTCTCAGCTACTCAGATGTAAAAGGAGTTAGGGTCTGTGGGGTTACAATCATGCTACCCGAAACTAGTCAAACTGCCCCCCCCCCTCCCCCCCAAAAAAACACACACACAAACTAAACCCCCGAGCCCCAAACCACACACGAATCAACCCCTGCACCCCAAACTCGAAGACCTTCAATACCCCTGCGCCCCTGACGTCGAAGCCTGATATGCCATAAACCGTTTAACGGTTTAGGCTGTAATGTGCGGCTTCGGCTTTGAGGCATGGTTTAAGCTGCAAGGTACGGTTTAGGCTTCGAGGTGCGGTTTAGGCTTTATGTGCATACCATATAGTTAAACTAAGGAACCCCAAAATAACAAGCAACCATTAATTAAGGCCCCTCTTGTTGTTAAATGGAACCCTCAATGATAAACGGGCCGGATCTGGCAAGGCACCTGTGGCTTGCCGTCGGCTTTGTCCTGGCTTCGCAGTTGCTCGACGGTTTGAACTTAATGGGTTAGGGTTTAAGGTTCATTTAAGGTTAGGGTTTAGGGTTTGGGGTTTAGGGATGAGGTTTAGGGTTAGGGTTTGAAGTTTAGGGTTTACGGTTTAGAGACTGATGAGTGTGCAAACAGGACGCCGGTACGATCTCTGTACTTTCAACAAGCTATGTTGGTATTCGAAGTGGAGATCTCTTTTTGGGGGGGGCGCAATGAAACTCAGACTGCGTTTATTTATTTGCGAAGGTGTTGCTCAGTCATGTTATGTCTGCAGGGCCCTTAATATTTAGATCACGGTGTTGGGGGTATTATGAACTTTACAGGATAGCTGAGCTGTATTAAAGCACCATCGGAAACAAAACTACGAAGAATTCAGGCAGCCATATTATCTTGCAGGCCCTGCAGAAGCTTAGTATCCAGCGCGAAATCATGACCGATAGCATGCCTTAGGGTTTCTTTCAATAAACATATGATGTTATAGTCCGAATTGCCCCAAACCCAATCTTACTGCTCATGCCCCTGTACCTCTGTGTAGACATCTTGGTTGTAGAACCTGCATATCCGCTTTAAGAACCGTTGGTAACGGAAGCCTAAACCCGACAATTTGGGAGTAGATTTCCTGATTGTAGAACCTTTATATACCTTAGAAGCTGCCGCCACCCTGTAATAGTGACTATAAGGATGATATTAGGGCCCTATTATATTCCTATTATGCCACTATTACAGGGTGGGGGCCCCTTGCAATATATACCACTTTTTTTAAGAACCCATTGAAAAATACTACGCCTGACAACTTAGGATCTCACCCAGGTCGTAGAAAAGGGAGACCTGGCTGGTCGCTGTTCCTACATGCCTAAGGGTCCAAATTACTCACAAAAAAACAGCTTCTATAAGAAGTATGGAAGGAATTGTTGAGTTTTAAAGGGCGCCACTTGGTACTCTATGAGAAGTCGTTACCCATAGGCCCCAGTGTAGGTTGGTTGGTTGGTTGGTTGGTGAGGCCTCCAGTTTAACTGGTGCCGCCCGCACTCTTCCCCCCCCGCATCTCAGGGCAACTCCGGAAGCGTCATAGCTGCCCTCCGCGAAGGGTTCAAGAGGGGGTAATAGTGCAGCCAAGGCGCATGAGACAGGAGGGGGGGAGAAGAGGGACCCGAGTAAAAAGGAGAAGGGGAGACAGGGGGGGAGAAAGAGAGTGTGGGAGGAGGGAAGGAAAGCAATGGAGAGTAGGCGAACCACCCAGAGCAGGGGGGACGGGGGAGGAAGGCGGGGGGGAGGGACCAAGGGGCCGGAAATGGGGAACGGGATGCAACCGAGTAAGCAAAGAGCAACCTCCTTGCTGAGCTTGGGGGGTTGAGGGAGAGCGGCGGGAAAGTACAACGCAACCGAGCAGGGACCAGCTGTTGGGACCGGAGGAGACAACCACTGGGCAGCGGGGGACAGGCAGGAGCGAAAAGGTGGGGAGGAGGGACAAGGGGAAGGGGAGGAGGAGGGCCGCAAGGGGAGGTACCGTAAGCGCCCACCCAGAACGGCAGCAGGAGCGGGGGAAGGGGGGAAGAGGCAGGAGAGGGAGAACGGGGTGTTTCCGAGTAAGCAAAGGGCAACCTCCACCCTCAGCTGGGAACAAACACGTCTCGAGGGCCGGGAGGGGGCAAAGACAGGGGAAAGGGGAGGGGGAAGAGAAGAGGGAAGAGCCCGTAACCAACAGTGATACAGCTGGCAGGCACGATGTTTTCAGCTCGCAACTAGTCTGCTCGGCCTTCTGCTTGCAAAGCTTTGCAGGCCCGGAAAAGAACAGTGCGGCGCCAATCCGGGGTGCTGTGAGGCGCCCACTGCCCCAGAGCGCAGAGTAGGGTGTCCAAAGTAGCAGGTCCTGTCCCCCTCAGGTGACTGAGGAGCCAGCGCCGAACACGGCGTAGGGGAAGGTATGGCGCGGGGGAAGAGGCCGAGCCAGCCCCAGCAATGCAAGCTGCAGCCGAGGCCTGCAGGTGTTGTGCGAGTGCGGAACTCGGAGGAGGTGTGTCCTGGTTCCTTGCCGGCAAAGCGGCGACCGATTGGTGCCAGGTCCAAACACAGTCCGGACACAGTTGCGGGTGATCTGTCCCTCGGACTGCGTAGGACGGGTGGGCGCCACGGCCCCAGAGGCAGTGACCCTTGAAGTGGAGGACAGAGTGACATGCCTGACACCAGGTACCTTCAAGGCTGCGGCACCATGGGCACGGTGAGGGGGCGGTGGCCGCCGGAGGCAGGAGCAAACCACGACAGTGCCAGCAGGCGGTAGCTGCGTGAACTGGTGGGTTGTTAGCACAGGTGCAGCGTTGGGACAAGCAGGCAGTGAGGAAGGTCCAGTTGGGACGGGAGGCACCCCAAAAAGGTGCAGAGTGGAGCAGGGTAGGGATGCCAGCCCCATGCAGAGCGTCGGCCAGTAAAGAGGGGCTGCTGCGTCCACAGTGGCGGGCGCGACGCAGGCGGAGGACGGCGGCATCCTGTGGCAGGAGAGCCCAGCGGAGTTCTCGTACGAAGGAGAGAGCCGCGGGCGAGTGTAGCCACTCTGCCAGAGTATCCGCAGGCAAAGCTTGGGGTACAGCGGGGTCCAAGTCGGGGGAGGCCAGTACCGGGTCAGCAGGGGCGGGAGGGAGGGAAGCTTGAGCCAGCAGGGCCCAAGCCTCCAGTCGGGCAAGGTATGCCGCACGGACGAAGCGAAGACCAAGGGCAAGGCAGGTGCGTAGGCGATCAAGCAAGGAGCCTTTCCCAACTCGGTTTGGAGTATTCAAGGATACCGTGACGGTAGGTACTACATGGAGGGGGGAGGGGAGGAGGGGGGGGGCCAGACAGGAACCGGGAAGCAAGGAGCAACCGAGCAACACCGGGAGGGCAGGGCAAAGTCGAGTAAGCAAAGAGCAACCCGACAGGAGGGCGGGGAGGAGGGCAGGGGGGGCCAGGAGGGGGGCAGGCAGCAGGAATGTAACCGAGTAAGCAAAGAGCAACCGAGCAACACCGGGGGGGAGGAGGGCAGGGAGGGCAAGGAGGGGGAGGGCAGGCAGCAGGAACGCAAACGAGTAAGCACAAAGAGCTGCAACCGAGTAAGCAAAGAGCAACCGAGCCACGCCGGGGGAGGGGGGCAGGGAGGGCAAGGAGGGGGAGGGCAGGCGGAATGCAACCGAGTAAACAAAGAGCAACCCACCTCACACCTACACTGGGGAGAGGAGAGCGAGAGGGGGGGGGAGGGAAGGGGGAGGGAGGAGAGGGAAGAAGGAGGAGAGGGGGCCTGGGGTCGGGGCGGGGAGTCTGAGCATCAGTGAAGCGATGGCCGAACCAGGCCGCCCTGGCCGGATGTGTTGAGCTCACAATGGAGAGCCACACAAACTTCAGCCCAAGCAGGCGGAAGGAACTGCCTCCCATATTCAACTAAGAAAGAGAGATCAACAGACCGATACAAGCTATTGGCTGGGATATGAGCCGGAGCGAAAAAAAGAAGCAAGCTATTGGCAGGATATGTGCCGGAGACCGAATATATGGAAAGGAAAGGATCAACTCGCCCGACGGGTCCGTCAGGAGTTGTCTCTGAAGAAGTATCGAAGAACAGAAGAACAAAGAAACAAGTTATTGGCTAAAATATGAGCCGGAGTGGATAATAGGCGAGAAAGCGCCGGAGAGCGTAAAGGAAAGAAGGTGTCGACTCTACTGGCATCGGCCAGGCAAGAGAGACACTGCCTTTGATTGAAACTTCTTGAAAAGGGGGGTGATGAATCAAGTTATTGGCTAGAGTATGAGCCGGAGTGGAAATATATGCCAGAAAGCGCAAAAGAAAAAATGCTTCGACCGAACCAAACGCCGAGGACGGCGCTTGCAAACATGCCTGGCGGCCAAAAGGCCCCAAGTTAAACATGCCTCTAAACCCCTAACCAAGGAACAGGCCGAGAGACCTGAAACCCTTGCAGAAGAACATGCCGAGAGGCCTACAGCCCCGTGCAGACAAACAGGCAGGGAGGCTTACTACCCCCAAGCAGATAAACATGCCGAGGGCAACAACCCCTTGCAGAAAAGCAAGCCGACAGGCCTACAGACCCGTGCAGACAAACATGCAGAGAGGCCAGCAACCCCTTGCAGATAAACATGCCGAGAGGCCTGCTGCCCTTGCAAAAACAATGCCGAGAGGCCTACACCCCCACGCAGACAAACATGCCGAGAGGCCGCAGCCCCGTGCAGATAAACAAGCCGAAAGACCTACTACCCTGGCAGGAAAACAAGCCGAGAGGCCTACGGCCCCATGCAAAACAAACACGCCGAGAGGCCAGCAAACCTTGTAGCAAAGCAAGCAGAAACCGGACCCCTTCCCTCGCAAAAGGACATGCCTTGAGACCTAACCCCTGGCAGAAAAACCAAACCGAGGCAACAACCCCGCAGAAACCCAAGCCGAGAGGCTACAGCCACAAGCAGAGAGACAAGCCGAAAGGCCCACGACCCCTAACAAAAAACCAAGCCGACAGGCATACACCCGTGCAGACAAACATGCCGAGAGGCCAGCAAACCCTTGCAGATAAACATGCCGAGAGGTCTGCTGCCCTTGCTGTAAACATGTCGGGAGGCCAACAGCCCCGTGCAACAAACGAGCCGAGAGGCCAGCAACCCCTTGCAGATAAACAAGCCGGGAGGCCAACTACCCTATGCGGAAAGACAAGCCGAGAGGCCAAAAGCCCCATGCAAATAAACATGCCAAGAGAACATGGCTACACAAACATGCCACGTGCAGCTAAACATGCCGAGCAAACATGCCTGCGCAGGCAAACCTCCCGGGCAGATAGAACCCCGAGTAAACGTGCCAGCGCAAACAAGCCGCGCAAAAACCCCAAACCCGAGGAAGAAACCGAGACCCTGAACAGAACCGAAAGCGCACAAGCGACAAAGCAGGCCACCTGAACGGAGAAGAGCCTGAAGTCACAAACCGAAAACCAAACCCTAACAACACCCAAAGGCAAGCGAACTAAAATGAATCCCGGCCCGGTAAGCGAGCCAATAAGCAGAGCGGGAGGCCACCGGAATGGCTCACTAGCTTGGCTGTAAGAGAAGCGCAACAGACAGGCCTACTACCAAGCTACCAGCCTGCTACAGCAGGAACACTCCGAGGAAGTTACCCACTGCCAGCCAGACTCGCAGGTCAAGCAGCCTAAGGGGCCTAAGGGGGAAAAGGGCCAGGCACCCCACAGAAAGAACCTTTGAAGCAAGCTCCAACGAGAAGATAAAAGGCTGGGTCTTTCCGAAAGTGCAAGAGGGGACAAATGTACAACCACCTAACCCTCAGGGAACCAACCAAAAGCAGGGACCTGAACTCCTAGCAAAAGGCAACGAAGCCCAGAACCAGCCCACCTACGTAACCCGGTTGCTTTTCCTTACGTCCGCCAGCGTGCTTCTGGCAGTTTAGAGAGCTCACAAAGCAGCCACTCCACAACATATGCCTCCATCAGAGGCAGGGAGATACCCAAAGCCGTACCAGGCCACAAGGGGACCAGCATGCGCACAAGCACATGTCCCCAACGGAGTGCCACAGGTTGTTCCAGGGGGGACAACCTTGGTCTACGCAGCAACAGGTTGAGACCGCGAAGGGCCCCTGGTCCGTATAAACAGGAGACCATACGGTCGGCAGGACAGAGGGTCGCAAGCCCTAGTGATCTGAGGTTCCAAGCCACAATGTTGGGCCAGAGCGTGTTAAAACCACGTAGCCCAGATAGAGCTTTCAGCAGAGGCAGCCAAGCCGGCTGACGCGCGATCTGCAAGATGCGAAAGCGAGCCTCCCAGGCGGCTGTGACCGGAGTGAGGATACTGGCGGAGATAGACCCGAGAAGCAAAGATCTGTCCCGAGCACGACGTGCTTTAGTAAAGGCGTTCCTTTGGGCGTTACATACCTCCGGTGGAAGCTCCAAAAAGACACCATCCAAGGCACCAGCGACCAGCATTTCGCCAACGGAAACAGGATCCCATGTGCCGAGCCAGCCAAGTTGCGCCAAAGCGGAGGTGCCGGCACGGAGAGCAAAGATGATGTTGAGGAACACCATCTCCGGAGAGGCCCCTGGGGGGATAGTAGCAGCATCAAAGATGGGACGCCGTAGTGAAGGGAGCCAGCTGCCTAAGTTGTAGAGCACCGGCATAAGGTGGAATGCTACTTTGAGCAAGGCGCCAGCCAGGCAACCGGGACGAGCCACCACGTCAATGAACTGGATGGCGGATTCGATGTCAGCAGTGCCCGGTACTAAAAACCGACGCGATAAGGCAGTGGATGGACTGCGAGGGAGAGCGCCGCCATGCTGACTGCAAAAGCGGCAATGATGTAGCAAGCGCTCAGAGCTAAGTCGGGAGCCACAACCAGGGTGCTGGCAGCAGCGCCGTTGAGCACGCACCCGCACGAAATGCGGATTGCCCCGACGGATGTGAGGGCCATGACGGGCGCAAGTGGAGAGTCCACGCCGTGCACGTGCCCGGCTTAACTGAGTTTGACAGCCCGGGCGAGAGCACATCAGCACCATACCAGTAACAGTAGGTGTGGCATGAGACAAGTAACGTCCGAGCCAGCTAATGGCTGCGGCATGCGAGCAGGG